GAAAAGCTCAGCGTTTTAAACGTTTGTTAAATACCTTTAGTTAATACGTAATAGTGCATACGACTTCTAAATGATAGAAATCATCTGCCATTTTCCTCACGATGCTTTCCTTTACTACGACTAAGTGTTGAATAGACAGAACTGAAGTCCGTTGGCGCACAGACGGGGTTCGAACCTACGACCTCAAGGTCGCACGCTGATCATTTTAGTTGTCTGATGGCATCAATTTACCTATGAATTACTGAACAGTGTTATTTTTTAGCTTTTTTCCTTAAAATGTTAATGACACATGCAAGTAATTAAGTGATGTCATATATCAGTAGGTATTTTAATGCATGACTATTAGTTTTACAAAACCCGATTACGCCATAATGTATACGAATATTTGGAACACGCAATACTATAATCTATTTAGGTAAACCTCTTTTATTAAAACAATTGTTTTAATTATGGTAACGAAAATCGTTTCCAAAAAATAAAATTTAATTCATTTAAGTATTTAAAACTTTAATGTACTTGATCAGCTGGGGGTTAAAAGCCATTTAGATATTAACAATGCAAACATTTTCATGTACACATTTCTTTATAATACTTCGATACTTCATTGAAATATGACACTGCTACAGTAAAAAATAAATAGAACCAGAGCCATCTAGTAGAGAATAGCTAAAGTTTATCTAACCTATATTTCAGTACGATTTCAGGAATAGCATGTTGTCATGATATATTTATAAGTATAGAATATGTATGCATAGTTTTTTAACTGAAGTGTCACCGTATTTATTTGACTTGGCAACGACATAGAGAACAAAGTTCAGAAGTATGTTTGGCTTCTAAAGCATTTCTTATGTGTACGTGTACCGTAATCCTTCGTTGTACTTACTTATAATCTAATTAATAATTCAAATATCAAATATACTTTTGCGTATTCGATATCTTATTAGCCAAAACTTTGATATATCGGTATTTATAATTTGATGCCACAACACCTGCTACGAATATGTCGAATATCAATTATAGAAATAGTTCTATAATAAAAGTAATTTTTTGTGTCAAATTACTTGAGTTTTCAAACGATATCTTTTTCTTTATTATGTTCGAAAGTATTTCCTAAAATCACCAAGCCAAAGGATCTTATTACTTATTGAATTCTCTAGTAAACGTTACATCCAACTAAAATTAATGAGGAAATTAATCAACTAATGCCCTTTATCTTAATTATCTCTGTAATTTCCGTTGTAAAGACGTGGCTTTGATCGGGCAAATTGAAATGTAATTGATATAATGCAGAGATTTAAAACGTCAGCGGTATTTGAACTCATTTAATTTGATGATACATGTCATAAATTACGTAGATGTATTTAGTATGGTGAAGTATATTTTATTCAAAAAATAGATGAGGCGACAGAGTCAAGACGCGCGGCGCCACTGGCGTTGGCACGGTCTTTATGAACAGTGTTTGTTTGTGAACGTCTTCCCATCTGTTTCGTTAAACATCCGTCTGTTTTAGTATTGAAGCAATTCTCTTCACAATCAGTGCTAGTGGAAAACACGTTGAAAATTTACGTCGTCATTTTTGTCCAATTAAATCCAGATCGCTACCAAAATGATCTCTGTGTTACGAAAGTTCGTTGTGTTACTGTTTGATATTAAAGAAGCTTTCAGTGAATTCCTTATTAATGTACTGTTGAAAGATAGAGCGGAGACAATCCTGTAAGACTACGTGATTAAATTTCCTTCTAGTAATACGCTTATTCGTGTAGGAAAAGACAATAAGACTGTAACAGGTCAAGAAAATTATTTCAATGTTTAGTAGAATGTCGGGACTAAAACGATGTTTAAGTCAAGTGTCAATGTTTCTTATGACCGAAAAAACGGTTAATTCTTCAGAATCTGCTTGGAAAGAGGAGCTAAAAAAGTGAGTAGAAAATTTTGAAGAATGATGTAAAAATATGTTTCTACTGTTAAAACACAGAACGTTCGTTTGTTTATAATTCGTCGAGTCCTTATAATAAGGCTAGGAATATGGCAAAATAGTTTCTTAATACGAAGCCATCGAGTTCTTTTTCATAAAACAAAAGTTTAAAAACGATGCTTTGCGGTTGATAAATAAAAACGATTAAACACAAATTTATTTTATAATTTGTTTGACTAGGTATCACGCTAAGTAATGAAAAAAAATTTCAGCGCTTATTCAGGTTGGTCAAAACAAGCTACAAACATACGTGATTTGTATGTAATTTATTTATTTCCAAGTTATCTTTATTGATATCGTATGGCATTCTTCTTCGTCGTTCGCTCTTTATCTCTGCTTAAAGTATAATCAAAATAAATTGTTAAGAAACACGCGTCAATTTGGCGATGTTTTTCAGCTCATTCTTACTTTTATCTTTTCAATAACCTTACCCTTAGATATAATTAAATTATACTATGACTTTATAACATATATTTTTTTACCCAAGAAAATAAAAAAGACAAAAGTAATTCAAACTAGCATTATGTGTGGCCTCGATAGTTGGTGCGGACGGCGTGCACAAATATAATGCTTATTAATAAGTTTACATAGATTGTTATTAAATAATTATAAAAAAAGATCTAAAATTACAAAATGTAGCAAAGGAACCTAAGAGATTGATGACAGCGTGCCCTTTCTATATGAATGGTCGGTCCGAAAAAATATCAAGATCTGAAAAAATGTTTTCTTTTTTTGAACGAATGAACGGAAAGAAACTTGATGAGGTTTACGCAGCTGTATAGTGTTACATATATCTTTAAAAAGTTTACACACAAGATTATTTTTATTCGTTTCAGCCGCCTAGATACCAAATTATTTTTGATGTATATAATAAAATAAGTGCTGCGATATATATGGAATAGGTGAATCTGATAGGGATTGTTATTCTAGCTGGAAAGTTGTGTAATTTAAATAAAATAAATTAATAAATCAGTGGTGCTACCTTTTTAGGTCTGGGCCTTAGATTTCTGTATCTGTTTCATGATCATTTGTCGTTAATATATCTATCTAAATAAATGTAATGCCTGAAACACGCCGCCGACTTTTGGGGTCTAAGACAAGCCGGTTTCCTCACGATATTTTCCTTCACCGTTCGAGCGAATGTTAAATACGCACATAGAAAGAAAGTCCATTGGTGCACAGCCGGTGATCGAACCTACGACCTCAATGATGAGAGTCGCACGCTGAAGCCAACAGCTGTACATATCTAATTTAGCCAGAAATAAACCTAATATAATTATTATTCATAATATACGAATTTCTCAGCATAAAGACAACAAGCAATTCCGAAACAATGATGTGTATAAATATACCAATCTAACTTGATAAATAACATTCATACAAAATAAATCATTCATTCAATACAAAGTCAACTAAAAAAACACGTTTATTAAAGAAACAATATTATTAATGGCTTCTCATTCGAAGAAATAGCGATGTTTTGCGATTTCATTTATTTATAAAAGATTCAACGGGGTGTTGTATCAAAAGTAAAGTGATTGCCCGCCCATGGCAATTATTTAATGTTTTATTTTATTTATTTATTATTCTTCCAAGTTTTTGATTGACGTTTTATTGCTTATAATAACTTCGCGGTGGCTTTGAATAAAACTTGACATAAAGGATATATAAAATATATGTATACCTTTTTATATACTAGAACATATACATATACCTATATATATATATATATATATAATTTATACACCTTTTACCGTTAAAGAGATTTATACGAGAGCAGTTTGATACTCAATCGATTTTAATACAAGCCTATAATCTATATATTGTAAAACAGTAATCTGTATTACACAAGCTGATTTTCCGACCTTTTATATATTATGTTGAATGAGCTTTACACCAAAATCATACAAAATGGTTAAGCAGTTTAATAATGAAATAAAACGTAACAATACCATTACAACTAATTAATATATATACATAATATACTCGTATATGTATATAATAATATTTATATATTATATATACATTATAGTATAAATTAGATACAATAATAAAAAATAAAATGTACCACAATGTTCTTTAATGTTAAATTAAAACGTATTAAAACTTTGCAATAGGTACATTGGTAATTATTAGGATGAGATAAAATGTATCATTTTTGCTAGTTTATTTGAGTTTCGGTAAAAGCATTATCTACATCGATAAAGCTTATCTGTATTTTGTTTTACCTAAGGGACATAGTGCTTTTGCCTTTTAATCAATTTATTGATATCATAATGCCGGATTGTTACAACAATACAAAAAGATTTCTGCAATACTCAAACACATTCAAAGTCATGTTCATAACATACGTGTATGTAAATTAATTTTTCCTGTTTCTATTTTTTCTATTTTGATTTATTTGTGACGTTTGCAGTCAATGTGCCACCTATTGTTTAGATTGGTTATATCGTAAGTCAATAAATAACTATTAATTACCAATGATAAGATTGGAAACATAATTTATAACTTCCTTGTATCTTTAAACAGATCAATGAACTGTAGTAATGAAAAAAATTATATAATACACGTCATATGATATATAATAAGTCATAATATATAAACTTATCTGAATAAAAATAAGCAATTTAAGCGTAAACAGATGAGGCACTTGAGATGATTAATTTCAGTGATATTACGCAGGCATGAGTTGACGTCGTTTTGAATTCGATTAGAATGAAATGAAATGCTCTTCAAATGTTTGTGAAGTTAATGTGTCTGTAGAAAATTTAACCTCTATACTATGGATTGTTAATTTTTTACTAAATGTGAATAAAACCATATTGGCCTAATAAATTTTAAATGTTATAAGCTTGCGATATTCTGTTATTGTTATATTAATACAAAAATAAATTATATCTCTCCAAATACAATAATTCCGTTTATCCCAGTCTGATACAATATCTTCTAATAATTGATGTACTTTTTTTTTCTAAAAGAAATTAATATGTAGTGCCCGTGTTTAATGTGTCATTTACATTTTCAGATACCGCCAAGCCAGATACGCAGCGAGACGCGTGAGAAAGCGCGTTATTTTTAAGCACGGAGATTGTAATGTAGTCCAATGGAACGTGGCTAAGCGCAGGCGCCGATACCTTCAGGATATTTTCACAACCCTTGTGGACGCACAGTGGCGTTGGACGTTGCTCGTGTTCGCTCTATCCTTCATCCTCTCCTGGCTCCTGTTTGCTCTCATCTGGTGGCTCATAATCTTCACCCACGGCGACTTGAATCCTTCCACTAACTCCAATGAAACCTTTATTCCCTGTCTCAATAATGTCAACTCCTTTACTGGTTGCTTCCTATTCTCTGTAGAAACACAACACACTATTGGTTATGGCTCCAGGACAACAAATGAAGAATGCCCCGAAGCGATTTTTGTTATGTGTCTTCAAAGCATTGTCGGTGTTTTCATTCAAGCTTTTATGGTGAGTTTTACGTTTTGTTTTGACTAACGAGTTTAATAGTCTTTAAATCTTACGGAGTTATTTTAAAAAATCACACCACAATGTGCTGGCCTGAATTTATGACACCTATTTTTTTATTGGTTACTTTAGATTACAAGATACGTGCCTTTTTTGTTAATTTATATGGATAAAGTATTAATAAAAATGAAATCTAATATCTCTTCTATAAGGTGCCTATCAATACGAGTTTTCTATAGAACCCTTCCCGCTTCAAAGCCAATAAGATAATTTCATATCGAAATAAACTTGACAGACTGCCAAAATTATAAACGTTCTAATTTGTGATCCAGATGCTCTTAAAAATTATTACTTATTTTAAGAAACCACGTAGGTTTATTCATTTTTAAATCACGATAAATCTGTTTGACAACGTATTCATTTTATCTGTCGTTAATTATTAGTACCGCGCCCAAAATAACAAAAAAACTAGTAAGAAGTCTACCTATTTTAAAGTTTGCAAATACATTTTGGGTTTTTGTCCAGCGAATAAGTCAGTCGTCATCAACGACTACGTCACTTATTTCAACGTCGCATCTAATTTTAGGTCGGCATCGTATTTGCCAAACTCTCTAGACCTAAAAAACGAGCCCAAACTTTATTGTACTCCCGCAACGCTGTCATTTGCCTACGAGAGGGTCAACTGTCTCTGATGTTTCGTGTTGGAGATATGAGGAAATCTCATATAGTTGAGGCACATATAAGAGCTCAGATTATTCGCCGCAAGGTATATTTTTTCGACAAAGCGGATACTGGTTAGTGATTGGGGATATCAGACGGCACGCTTATAAACTTTCAATAACTTGAGGTGACTTAACAACTCCCTTTATAAAGAAAAGTGGTCGTTTGAATTCAGATAAAGTTTTATACGTAACGTAATTTTAGGTCAACAGTTTCTTTATGAATCTCAAAACCACTTTCTCTTGTCCATAGGTGGGTCTAATATTCGCAAAGCTGGCTCGAGCCAAAAAGCGTAACACTACACTTCTGTTCTCGAGGAACGCGGTAATTTGCCTGAGAGATGGCGAGTTCTATCTGCTTTTTCGGGTCGGAGACATACGCAAATCTCATATTTTGGAAGCGCATGTTCGTGCTCAAATTATTAGAAAAAAGGTACCTGTTTTTTTAATTACAGCTACTTTTACATTGTTGGTTTGTGTTTATATACATGCATTTTAAGTCTTAATGGTTGAAAGGTGTTTTTCTTATTAGACCCGTCTATGGATTCCCCGGCAATCATTCATTTTAACCATTCTTGCATGATACTTAGTACTAACATTGTCTTCAAATTGTATGCACGATACGCTTATGCTTTTTCCACAAGTTAACACTTGTTATTTCAACAGCAACGTTTCTTAACACTTTTAAATTCTTAATTCGTATTTGGTGCTTTAATGTGTGTGATGTCCTTTGCTTAAGCTCAGCTTATGAGGTATGATTTTAATAGTAAAATGACAATAGATGTAGAAATATATTAATGTAATGATAAATTTAATAGATTACCAGAGAAGGGGAATTATTACCATTCTATCAACAAGAGTTAAAAGTGGGAGCTGACGGGGAAGAAGACAGATTAATGTTCATTTGGCCCATGACGATAGTTCACAAGATCAATGAAAAGTCACCGCTATACAACCTTTCCGCCTCAGATATGTTAAGAGAGAGATTCGAAATTGTAGTTATGTTAGGTAAGACGTTATTTTATTTAAATTAGTTCGTAATGATGATTATAAATATTAAATAGGAAATACAAATAAAATCGGCCGCTAACACACTCAATCTCAAACTCAAAATAACTTTGTTCAAATAGGTAACCAAGTACACTTATAAACGGCAACAGAAAAGATGTTAAATTAATTCTAAATTTACTAACAGTTCGCAAGTCAAATGGCGTAGAAAAAAAAAAATAATTATTCTTTATTAATATCAACAACGAGATGTTCCGTAAAACAGATCAGTCAAAATTAAATGTTATTGTTATAAACTAAATATTACAAAACATTCGTTCGTATATTGTTGGCACTTCCTTGACAGTGACTTGGTAGATTGCCCTGCCTTTACATCGTAATAGTTGATAGATTATTCATAAACTTTATTGCACCATTCCATGAATTGTTCCAGAACTTATGTATACTAAAGTAATCAATCAATGTTATTGAATTCATACAATTCAATGTTCAAACCATGAGTAAGATTTTATATTCAATAAATACGTATCTCGCATATGTGAAATTCAACGATAAGAATCATGTTTTATTTATATTTTATATGCTCTTGTCTAACATTAAATACATTTATAATTGTGAAAAAGCTTATACTATATAAACATTATTTACCGAGGCTTCACTTCGTTATTTTAGCAAACATACATATATACGTTCTTTATCTTATCTAAATAAACTTCTTCGTTTTATAATAGTTTTTATATGAGCTTTCGCAATATTTTCAGAGGGTGTCATCGAATCAACTGGTATGACAACGCAAGCAAGGAGTAGCTTTTTACCATCTGAAATTTTGTGGGGACATCGATTTGAAACAATGGTATCTTTTAGAAAGGATACTGGTGAATATGAGGTAATTTTTTTTTTATCATAAATTTTTGGAGTTTTCAGCCATAACATCAATTAGAAACTGATCTTCCTTATTGAATACCTATATGTAAAGTACAAACTTTTCCATATTTCCTTATAATTATAATATATACAATGGCCGTAGATATTACTAGCACATAACGAACTATAATATATAATATGGATAATTGCGTGAATTTTGATGAATACATATAGAACAATTGAAATCGTCCGAATCCTATACATTTCAATGAATTAATCCTTTTCCTGATCCTGATGCTAAGAGATACTACCGGACACTGCCATAACTGTAATAGGCGTATATGGCTTCATTGCCTACCTCAGGATTGACTATATCTGCCTTAGGATGGTCTTTCCCTTTTTTTTTTTTTTTTTTTTTTTTTTTTTTTACTTGGGAAATGCCTTGCGCATACCCTACCGCGGTGCGACTGCTTAGTGCGGGAGGGTTATGTGGGACTCGCGAATGTGCATACCCACTAAAACCCCAAGGCGCCACCAACAATCGCCTTAGGCGGGATGCGGTAACAGCAGAGCCTTATCGCTTCCCGACATGCGATGCGGCAGTTGTGTCCGCCTCTCCCCGCCCATTGTTGATTTGTGAAGATACTTGACACAGCAAGTACCCTTCACAGATCGGGCCATACGCTTTTATGGATAGCTAGGGGAGATCGGGTCCAGTGCTTGCAGGGATGGATCACCATCCCTTCTATTGAACGCATGGACCCCTGCTTCCCCGCTTGGGCACTCTTTAGGTGGCGAGGATTTGACGGGCCTGCGGTTTCTTTCGCCGCCGCGGACGAGTTCCGGGACAAAGCTCCCTGGTTCTTCCCGCTTCTTCTTTGACTTTCATGACCGACTCGCAGAAATTATAGAAGATTTTCCACGAGCCGTCATTTCCTGCGCTCAATATGGCTTTCACTACGTTTGGCAGTATTGCGTCCTCGCCCTGGAGAGCATCTAACAAAGGTCTCCTTTCCACTTCCCATGCTGGGCAGTCCCTCAGTGTATGCAGGGCGTCGTCCCGGTTGTCTCCGACACAGTGGTGACAGGTTGGTGACTCCTCACACCCTACTACTTTGTGCAGATAACTACCAAAGCATCCGTGTCCGGACAGCATCTGCACAAGTCGATAGCTGAGGTGACCCCAGCGCCTCTTTACCCAAAGTTGAAGCAAAGGTCTGAGGGCTTCGGTAGTATATTTACCGGCACTCGCACCCGCCAGCTCGCTTTCCCACTCTACTAACAATTGCTGGTCTTCTAAGGCTCGCCACGCGTTTAATTGTTCCAGTGTGGGGTTATCCCCTTTATCCCGAGCTTCGGCCCTCCTCCAATATACTTCGCTAAAAGCAGCCGCATCGAGGTGCCATGGCGCGGTACCGGCTATAACACACACTGCGTCATAAGACACAGTGCGGTACGCCCTCGCAACCCTGGCAGCGACCACTCGCTGCGACTGCCTGAGTATTGCGCGATTGTACCCGGTCAGTTTGTCGGCCCATATGGGACACCCGTACAGTGCTTTTGCCCGGATCACATTAGCGTATAAGAGGCGACACCCCCACTCGGCCCGCCGAGGTTTGGCATTATGCGCGAGAGCATGTTTGCGGTGGCGGTGAGCTTAGGGGCAAGTGCCACGAAGTGTGGTCTGAAAGTCCACCGTGGGTCAAGAATCAGCCCAAGGTATTTGAGCGTGGTACCGACCCGGATAGCTACTCCGCCGACAATGATGTCTGCGTCTTGAGGTGGAGCTTTTCTGTGGCCGTAGAAGCATATAGCTTCTGATTTCTGAAGGGCGACAACAAGGCCGAGCTTCTTAATTTCAGAAACCACCCTAGCTACTCCAGCTGTCGCTCGGAGGCGCGCTTCCTTAAAATTTTCTCCAATAGCGACCACGAGGGTGTCGTCTGCATAGCATATAGTTGACACTCCAGGGACTAGTTTCGCTCGCAGCACCCTATCGTAACCTATGTTCCAAAGAAGGGGGCCAAGAACCGAACCTTGTGGGACGCCGCACTTGATGAGGTGACTCCCTATGCCATTTTGTTTCGGGAAGATAACCCGGCGGCCGTTGAGGTACGATGCTACACATTTTCTTATATAGGCCGGTAAGCCGTGGTGGCGCAGGCCGTCCGCGATACAGTCCCATGGTAAGGAATTGAAAGCGTTCGCGATGTCTAACGATACCGCGAAAACCACTCTGCCCCGTGACACCTGCTCCTCGCAGACGCTTCGCAGGCGCGCAATTGCGTCGATCGTTGACCTATGTTTCCGGAAGCCGAATTGAGCCTCATGTATGTTTGGTCCTATAGTTTCCAAATGATTGTAAATCCGACCGGCAATAATACGCTCGAAGAGCTTGCCGGCTTCATCTAGGAGAACTATAGGTCGATACGCTGATGGTGACTCTGGAGGTTTTCCACCTTTTTTTAGAAGAACTAGCAACCCAGTCTTCCATGTTGACGGAAAGAGGCCATTTCTAAGACATTCCGTGAGGAGGCCTCGAAAGCGCATGTCAAGACCAGCGTCGAGGGCCAGAGCTACCACTCGTCCGTGCATGCCATCGGGACCAGGTGCAGTTTTTTTAGTGGTCATGCGCGCTATTGCTGTCTTCAGCTCCGAAGGAGATACTTCAGACACTGTGACACTGTGTTCCGTAGTCGTCTCATGTGGGGAGCTCAGGGCGTCGCGTTCAGGAAAAAGTTCCGCCACCACTGTGCTGAGCAGTTCCGGCTCCATGTTTTTCGTGAGTGGCGGGGCCCACGAGCGCAGCTTGTTTGTGACAATCTGATACGGGCGTCCCCAGGGATCCCGCTCCAGGGTGTCAAGCAGTTCTTGCCATGCTTTCTTTTTTGCTTCGGCGATACCTATTCGCAGCGCCAGTTTTGCATCTCGGTATACGCTATGGTCTTTCCCTACCCCAGGATATCGGGTTACCAAATGGAAAATCCATTCCGGGACCATTATTAAAAAACACTAGAAACGTCAATGCGAGTCTGTTGCCGGCTTTTGTTTTTATCTAAACAAAGGAAACAAAAGATTTATTATCTTCTATCGCTTATGAATAACACCCTTTGATTATTCAGGTGGACTACACGCGCTTCAACAACACATATGAAGTGGACACGCCGCTCTGTTCCGCGAAACAACTCGACGAGCTCCGAGCAACCGTCTCCACTTCACAGAAATTAGGTATATTTTTCTCTTTATCCTTTTACTTCACATCTAAATATAGTTCATGAGTAAGCAGATTTCTACAGGTTTTATAATTGTGTAATATGTTAAATTATCGTTCGTGACTTTGAATATTTCTTAGATAATATACTCGTATATCAGAGTTTCTCAATCATAATTTTTATTGTTTTCAAAACTTGAAGTTTCTTTGTTATAAAAATAAGTAACGGCATTCTTATGATACATTGAGCCTTTATTCGTTTATATCGACAAAGCCATCAGTTAGGTATACGGGAAGTCCTTTAACCGAAACTATAGGCACAAATTGGATATGATAGTAGTCAGTTTTTTCCCTGGTTTATCATTTTCTTTTATTAGATGGTTATTCATTTATTAGATGATGTTCAGAAATTCAAGATTTTTATCCCGTATTATCTCCAGAAATCGAATGACGTCCGATGGTTTTAGAAATAAATTATAATTAAGATTATTTATGAACGCGACTGTACGCTATTTCCTCAAAAGATTTTGTGACGTTAATAAAAATAAGTGTTATACCTGTCTCATAGCTATTTATAGATTATGAGTAAGCGGTATTTTTTCTCAATTTCTGAGTTACAAGGAAAGTAAACTAAAGATTATGTCACTATTGAAGCCAGATTTATTCTCGGACAATTTAAAAATAAATAATATCTGTGCATGAAAAAATATTTCCAATATAAATAGTATGATTAAATAAGTAAAGTAGAAAAACGCCAGCTATTATAGCTAAATCTTATGACTTTATTGAACGAGCGCGTGAAGATGATAAAATATATTATTAAAACACAGTTAAGAACGAATGATGTATTTATATATTGAACTACGAACGTAAGGCACTTTTTCAAGGCGTGTTTTTAAAATGTTTAATAAAGCCTTCGAAGTCGTTATCCTCGTGATCTTTCAAGAGTACAATGCAAATAATAATTCCGTACAGCGAAGAGTTTGAGGATAATATTGGCATTAAAAATAAAACCGACATATAAATAGGTACAAATCATTATCCTTGTTTATTTTATTTAACATCCGTCGTAGGATTAAGGAGACATAAATTCCTTCAAAAAAATTAAGTACAAAATACACTAAATATTTCTATTGTATTGTGTGTGAGAACGTATTAAACGATAATAAATATCCTCAAACCATTTTATCGATAAAAGTTAATAAACCACCGACTAATAAGCGACTAACCACGACGTGGGGGTGCGACTTTTGGATTTTTTATGAGAAATTTCTGCACATACTGAAAATTATCAGAATGATTACAAAATGCTATAAATCGCTGCAAATAAAATTATTCGACACCTCGTTCATCCAGATTGGTCAACGGACAGCCGAGGTATGCTTGAACATACACGAAAGAGTCACACGTCGAATTGATAACGCCTTACGGTGTTTTATAAGTCGGTTAAAAATCTATTCATATAAAAAAAAAAGATTTGATAATTATGATGATTTAGAGAGAGCTGGCTGAGTTTTTATATTTTATTTTTGGTACGGAATTTAAGGAAAAAATAATACTATGTAACCAATTTACAATAATTATAACAAACTTATCCTTTTGGTCGCTAACGAATAGTTTGACCCTGCGGTATTTCCTCGATGGATTACGATTCTAAAACTGAACTTAATTAGCTTAATGTATTATCGAAATAATAGTTTTACGGTTTCAAAGTCAACGCGTTTGCAAGACATACGATGTCTTTAAAAATCAGTACTTTACTCCATGCTACAACTATGTCTACCTGTTCAGATTAAATTCCCGTTTGTCAAATCGTGTTGTCAAATCAATCAAAAGAGTCAACTTAGGTGAACCAAAACGCACATCTTCCATGATACTCACATAGTACTATTCGTCCCAAGTCTAACAGAACAAAATAAAATTTTATTATTTATCCTTCAATGATTATTATACTTTATAATGAAATTTCCAAATCTATGGATTCTGAATCGTCAAACTATTCAGTCACATAGAAATTACACTAGCCAAATTGGATTTCGAATCTACAGAGGCATTACTACATATATTGTTATGACTTTGAGGTTTCAAAAACTAACACTCTCAAATACATGCGCATACACATCCATTAACACACTCACTCATTCTTAATTTGTAACACTATTTTTTTTTAACTGTTTTAATCATGTACCGCGTAATAATTGTTTTCTAGTTACCCACAACACAGGGCCTCCCTAGTGTGGGGACTAGCGATATATGAACCCTTTTGTCATAAATTAAGTTTAATTATTATTAATAAATTAATATCTACAATATTTAATTACAGATCGTATGCTCGGCACCATTCCGAAAACCTTCTCCAACGACACCTTAGACATGAGCTCCGTCGATTCCATGTCTCTAGACGAGCACATAGAAATAAAGATTCCAGAGTCAAGGGCAAAGGAAAACAGACTCATGGCACAAAACAACTTTGTCCAACACATCAACGAGAAGTCCAGAAATGCAAGTCACACACATTTAGCAGTCGAAAATGATTTGCAGAAAATTAATTCCGCTGCAGCCATGACGGAGAGAGATGGTCATATTCATAGGAGTCATAGCCACGCTAGCATGAAGAGGTTACATGGTCCAACGCTTAATGGCGTCGCGCATATGGCGAATGGCCATGATCATAGGGAACATAATAGAATCAAAAAGTGAGTTTGTTCATAATTAAGTTTCTTCCTTCCTATCCGGTACACTCTTGACAGAGCGGTCGTGATCGCTATGAAGTAGTGGTAATAGAAGAAGCAGATGTGATACGACGTTTCGCCATCGTTGCCTATTAGAGCTCATTCTCATAATTAAGTACTGTTTATAAATTGGTGTTAACTTTGTAAGTTAGACGATTTTGCTAGATAAACCTTTTTTTACTAAAAATAAATCTTTAATTGCAACACAGAAACAGCATTTACAATTTTCTTAACCTACATAGTAATAATAATCAAAGTACATTAGGTACATTACTTATTTTTACTTATGAATAAATAAAAATACATTGCAACAAAACAAACAATTATTATTCAAATTATAAACAGCTTTAGGACAAATTAAATGTAGCCAAAATTTAAATTTCTTAAGGAAGGACAAGGGTAAAGTCAGTCCTTACTTTAGTCGGGATTCACTTTTTTCTAACAACTAGATCCAAGTTTAACGTTATTAACTCAGAACAAAGTCTCCTAATCTCACCTAGTTTAATCGAATCGTAAAAATTCCACCTTAAAAATGTTTTTTCCATTTCAGATCACCAAGTGACAACCATATAACCGATAAAGCTTCAGTAATCCCAATTCTGGTGACGTCACCGGCGCCGGAGCCTGCTTGACGACAGCCCACCCCTCAGTACAACTCTGATTCCAATTGTAATTCACCACCCACTGGGATTTATTACTCAAGTTATTACTTATCCAATCTTAGGGATGTATCTTCTACTTACTTACACTTACCAGGTGACGTACCACATGTAAGTTATACACACTTACCCAGTTCAAGTTTACCTTCTACAAGTTATACAAACCCACCCGGTCATAATAATTTAGTGTCTGGAAGTTATACACACTCACCAGGTCTACATAGCTTACATTCGACGAGTTATACGAACTTATCCGGTCAAAGTGACGTACCTTCTACAAGTTATACAAACTCACCCAAAAAAAATTACTTAATTAGAACGCCCTCTAATCGTTCGGTGGCTAGTAATTTTTCTTCTGAAAAATATGATACTTTGACGATTAATTCTACTCGTAAACTGCACGTTAGGTTTTCTAATAATGAAAAAAACTAAATGAAATTACTTTATAAAAATATCGTCAAAATTAATCAAACTTAAATATAGTTAACATTGAGATGTTTTAGACAGTACTCAATATTTTATATGGGCAATATTCAAAATTTTTATTTACAAGTACAGAATTAATATGACACAATCGAATTTTAAAGGTATTTAAATTATGCTATTAATTTTCGTATTTGAGAAGCTCTCCGTGAGCATATTTGGAACTACACGAAAGCCCAACAAAACATTTAGAATTCGTGCAGATATAAAAATTATAGTATGGAAAATAAATAATGTAATATGTTCATTATTATATTGACATAAATTGTTATATTGATCGTAAAGTACGGACGTATATTTGCTTTCGATTACTATTCGTATAGTAAACTACACCGCATGTATCGAATAGTAATATTTGTACGGCAAGCAATTTTTAAAAGTAAAAACACCGGAAATATTTGAGATTATAGAAATATCGTTTTCGTTTTTAATGTACCAAGTAACTGGCCTTAAGCCAACATTCTCTACGTAGCAATTTATATAAAAACGATTGTGTAAGTCATCTGAATACAGCGTCACCGACCTATGGTCCAAGGGCAACCTGCGACAATATGGTAAATAAAAATGTATTTACAACATTCTTAACCTGCTAGTAATAATAATTATTAAAAATGGATAACTAAAACAAATTTAAGAAGTTTGGTTAAGAAATGCTGGCAGCATTTCCTCGCTGAATTACTTATAGTAAATAAAATTATGAAGCATAATATATGTATTGCGAGTAACCTTTTACCATTTTTGTTCTTATAAATAATTTTACATTAAAAAAAACCGATCACGTCAGTATAAACAATCTGAGTACTGAAAGCCATAATCTGTTATTTACTGTATATACAGTCTTGTATAACTAGAACGCGATTTTTTGGTCATTTGTAACGCATAAAGCAACCCCCACTGCTTCATTATGAAACATAAAAAGTAAGTACCGTATTTGTTATCATAGTTATTATGAAATTACATCGTGGACATGGTAACTATCTAACTTTTACTTACGTTTTATAAGGTCTGAAGCGAAGATTTAGTATTAACGACAAAACAAAATACATTAAATTTGTTATTAATTGGTCCATTCTGATTATTAAGTGTAAGTGAATTTCAAGAAAAAATTCTTCACAGTGGTGGGTGGGGTATACCTAATAATGAACCTTATAATTTCTTGGTTTGGAACAGAGTTGTACATAGAAAAGTATTTATTAATTTAGTGAAATTAAACATAGGGTTAACGGAATTTATATTGAAATATTGTTTAAAAAACGATTTTTACTAATAAATTTCTTCCTTATGTTTAGGTTAAGGCTTCTAGATTTAGAATTTCTATCGCCAGTCAAACTATGGATAGAAAGCTTCCATTAATTAGTTCAAATATAGCCTTTTTCATACAAACGACGATATTCAAGATTTTTGTACGGAGGCCCGTATTCTAGAAATTACATCTTGTTTCCAGAGCTGTCAAACCATTTTTTCTTTACGAAATTATGTTTGATAAGACTGAAATACGTAAGAATACGGACCTTAAAGTATTCTTAATAGAGGAGGTCTTAATTCTTACTTCATTACCAGTTTAATTTCTTATTAATAATTATATTGTGTAATTAATTAATTAAAAGTTTATTACTATTAATAAATTTAAAACCTCCTCTAACAAGGGTACACTTTCGTAGATAATTTTTTTTCATAAGCTATTTTTGTAATATTACAGAAGTGCTTCAATAGATAAATTTAATCCTAGCGCCAAATTATACGAATTTATTAAGGAAATGAAGTATTAAATATTATCCAAATATAAGAGAATAAGGAATGTATAAATTTTTGGGCTTATACAGTTTCTAATTATTATTATTACTATACATTATATTATTTCTATGAATTAATCATAAATTTGAAAATTATTGTATACACCAATTCTAAAAATGATATTTATGTCATGTTGCTAGGTTAAAACAGAATAAATTCATATTTTCACACTCTATTTATCTATGTTTAAAGAAAAATCTAATGAAAGTACTTATCAATATTCGTCTTCCAAGGAATAAGGATAACAAACAGTCTTAATATTATCAAATGTTAATTTAGTGTTGAAAATTTCGATTTAATTCCTAAAATTGTAGTATTTATGGATTCAAAAATCAAATTTTGCGCGGTGCAGGCGCCGCTTAGTAATGCTTAGTCCAATGTGATGCTTTTATTAAAATCAATTACGATTTAATGTTTTAGAATGATTTCAAAATACAAATAATAAATCAGATACTAGTGTTTTATTTACTCCACATTACCGTAAGTTAATTTGACCTAATATGATTTTGTCCCTTTCGATGTCTAGATCCTTGGTCCGTGGGGTTCTAGCGCTATAAGGCTTTTAAAGAAAATAGCAAAAAGGTTAGTCGACATCACAGGAGAACAAACAGCTGGCAGCTACCTCAGTAAAGGATTTAGTCTAGCTATTCGGAACGGACTAAACGGCTAAACGGCTAAAGGGACTCCTTTTTATACTATATTTTAGTTTTTATATTTTAAGTTTAGTTATTTTGTTTTTAATTGTTTAGTTAGTATATTATTGAAATATTAATAATTATGATGTGGTGAACTTTACTAAATAAATAGTTGACCTACGTTTACTTTACGATCTAATAATAACAACCCAGTGGTCAAGTAGATCAGTCACCTTTTGCGTATGTCAGATTTCTACGGTTTGAGGCATTCCGGTTTCCTCGCGATGTTGCTTTCATCGTAGGATCAATTGAATAGAAAGAAGGTTCCATTGGTGCAACGCCGTGCGAACTCAGGGTCGCATACTTAACCCACTAGGTCAGCACTGTTTGAATCAACACTACGATCTTAAGTTACAAAGTATTGTAAGAGATACGGACACAAATTTCTATGTCTGATAAAAGGGAGTAGGAGCCTCGTACCAAAAAAAAATCTCTTATTACTTACTCAGAAGTCAGAAGATATTTTTTTTTTTTTTTTTTTAAACTCTTCATCTATCTGCAATCAGCCTCTTGGCTTTTATCAGATTTTTAGGGGAAAGGTTGGCAATTAGGGAACGCAAATCCAATAATTTTTACTCCCTCCGTAATTTTTAAACTGTCAGATTGCGGCAAGTTTCGCCCTTTTTAGCCGATAGACACTGTCCGTCATTTCCAAGAGGCCCGAAGCTAGGGGGTTCACGTGTTGCTGAAGTCTCATTTTGTATCGCACGGTTGATCTTTTAATGTCTTCCTCGACAGTGGCAATTCCCAAATATTTATGGACTTCAGTATTTCGTGTTAACCACAGCGCACCGCTCATATTTCGCAGTGTTTTGCTTTGTAGCCGCTGCAGGATTTCGATATTAGAGCGGCTTGCTGACCCCCAGAGCTGTATCCCATAGAACCATATTGGTTTAATTACAGTTTTATAGATGAGGAGTTTATTGTCCAAACTGAGTGCCGCATTTCTGCCTAATAGCCAGTTCATGCTACGAAGCCTACCAATAGCATGCTCCTTCTTGGCTTTTATATGGTCTTGCCAAGTCAGGCGTCTGTCCAGGTGCATGCCCAAATATTTCGCTGTAGTCCGTTTTGGCAAAACAGCTCCCTCCAGAGTCACCGGTGAGCACTCTTCTCTTCTTAGTGTGAACGTAACATGAACTGATTTCGCTGGGCTTGCCCGTATCCTCCACTTCTTTAACCATAATCCTATTTTGTCCAGGCATTTTTGTAGTTTTGCGGATGCTTCGTTAGGATTTTTATTGCAGGAAAGGATTGCAGTGTCGTCTGCATAGGTTGCAATGACAACATCGTCCGTAACTGGTATGTCGGCTGTAAAGATTGTATAAAGGAATGGACCCAGCACTGAGCCCTGAGGCACTCCTGCTTCTATTTGGCAGATTGATGATAGATAATCCTCACATTTGACCCGGAACATACGGTTTTGCAAATAAGACTTTAGGAGAAGGTAGGCAGTATTTGGTAGGTTCAACTTTAGCTTACACAGGAGGCCCTTATGCCATACGCGATCAAAAGCCTGCTGTATATCGAGAAATACTGCTGAACAATACTCTTTTCTTTCTAGGGCTTGCCGTATTGTATGAGTAACACGATGTATTTGTTCCATTGTTCCATGTTGTGCACGAAACCCAAATTGGTGGTCAGGTATTACTTCTTGTTCTTTGAGTACTGGTTGAAGGCGAATAATGACTAGTTTCTCAAATACTTTTGATAGCAAGGGGAGAAGACTAATAGGCCTGTATGATGAAACTTCTGTTGGAGGTTTTCCAGGTTTTGGAACCATGTTTATAATGGACACCTTCCATAGTTTTGGGAAATATTGTAGTCTTAATATTGCGTTAAAGAGGATTGTTAACAGAACGATACCTTTTTTCGGTAGTTCTTTAAGTACTTCCGCGGTAATAAGATCGAAACCGGGTGCTTTTTTTTGTTTTAAATTATTAATAGTTTTTTTTAATTCCGACGGTTTAACAAGTTTTAGTGGTAAAGACATTTGCTGATCACTATTTATGATTTCATCAAATTCGTCTTCGGTTTGCATTATGTCCGGTTCGTTAGGTGTAAATACATCCGTTAGAAAGTTGGCAAACAGCTCCGCTTTATCCTGTGGTTTTTGTGCCCATTCGCGATTAGCTTGTCTTAAAGGGGGCATGTGTTCTTTTGGCCTTTTAATGATTTCGTCATCTTCCAGAGTGAATAATCGTCAGCTTTATATGGCGACAATGTCTGTAGTTTATCTTGCAATGTCAGAAGATATTGAAAAAGATCTCATTATAAGGATACAGAATATAAAAGAGCCTGAAATCAAGTATTCTCATAATATTATTAGTATACCTACTGCAATAAAGTGTTAAGAAATAGTATAGACAAACGGCAAAAATGCAATTGCCGGTTTTAATTAAAACCACTTCTAGAAAAGATACTGTTTTAGATCTAGCTTTAAAAATGTTTAGTTTACATTATTAAAGTATTATGCACGAAATATAGAAATAAAAAGATTTTGATAATCATCCTTAATTACTATAATTGTAGCTAATTTGTTGTTAGCTTTGACAATAAAACATAGCGTAAGTTTTGGTAGTTTTATTTTGTTTTTGGTACACTTTGCTAACTCTAACCGTAAGTCTAAGTAAATATGTAACTTATTCCAAATCAGGTCTACAGTACAATTAAAATATACCTAAGCAATTAATATTATACTAATTTTTATTCGTCTATATAAAATAATTATACTATTTTTGTAATTACTTTAATAACTGTCAAAAGATGGCGCTGTTAGAGTTTCAGTTTAATATCGCTATCCGCCGTAGTAGAGCGCTAATGGTCATATAATTGTATCGCACAAAATTTATTACACTGTGCGGATTAAACTATGTAACATACAAATTAATATCAGTGCAGTCCATATTGTCAACTTCGTGCAGAATTTTTCCCTGATTTACGCATTGTCTCTTCCTCACTAGAAGACGATGTGTGATGTGGAGCGTCAAAGAAATCTGGTGGGTACTTGACGGAAGATGGTCTATTGGTAAGACTTGCTCTGTTTAAGGCATCCACGACTAGTCTATCAGACATTCTGGTAATTGGATCAGGTGCTGTTCCAGGGGATGTACTGGAACTATTCATATAACCTGAAAGTAAATAAAAGGTGTGTTTGAAGAGGTGACTGCAAAAGACTTGTCTTTTTAATGATGTTCATTAAGCATTAGTCTCAATTGGTAATGATGTTGACATTCAGGCATATAGCAATTTCTAGAAATTAACTAATTTGACGAACAAAATATACACAAATAAAGTATCTATTATATTTTCTAGCGGTCATCTTTAAATCGTGATAAGTTATTTTAATCAGGTCTAAAGTTTTGAAATGGTTTTAGAAAATAATCACTTAAGTATATCAATTTAAACAACTGCGGTTTAATAAAAGAGAAAAACCGAACTTACACAATGTCCAACACCTCACTCACCAAATTTTTATAGATTATAAAATTTTGAATTATTTTCTAAAGGATTGCATCTTCAAAACAAGCTTAAAGTAGCCGTTTTATTAAACGCGTCGATAAGCTATTTTACTATCATCATGTACGTTGGTTTTAACATTGTTTCGGTTAAACAAAATAATGACTTACCTTGTTACATACATCGAGATTAGCAACGAATGTATTTCAACAATAACAAAAAGCAGCATGGACAACACAAAACGTTTCACATAAACAATCAAATCAAATTGCCTTATTTAAATTAAAATTCCCATGTTTTATTTGATTACCCTAAAATTTATGTTATCTATTTAGCGTCACCAGTTGATGGAAATTATTCTGTACTAATTAAGAAGTATAAGGTACTTTCAAAATGAATAATTATAAACTATAAACTTAAAAAATATTTCAAAAGCCGTACTCAAAGTACTCGTCGTAAAGGTCAACGATTGCCTAAGCCTACTAACAATTTAAGATTTTAAGTATTAGAATTTTAATCAGTAATATATGATGTATGATCACATTTAAAAGTATTTCAAACAAGCATTAAATTTCGTAAATTGTTCCGGAATTCCTAAGATATAAATTGATTACTGTTAATCTAACAAAATGGTTTTTTTGCAGGTCTGTTATTTCTGAATTAGTACGTCTACAACGTGAATGTTAAAATTGTGTTAAGTTTTTAATTTTTATTAAAGCTCAGTTTTACAATAAATTAACATCTATTAACCGTCCGATTGCCCCGGTTAGCGACTAAGGTACATTAATATTGTTAACATGGGATATATTCATTTTTTTTATTGACGAACATTCAAAAAGTGCCTATATACAATTAGACGTGTTTATTTTACATATACTTATTACGTATGTGTGATTCAACATGGTTAAACTAACGAATATATGTGGTGTTTTTTATTTAACATAGCAGGTTATAAATTCTAACAGAGTAATTTACTAAAATACTTAATATGTTTGTATGCTAAAACAAATATTATCAGGGAATTACTATTTAAAGACAGACGGCAAATAGCAGGATAAGGTTATAAAATTAAAGACAAAGAAACATCACAACATGCATTATTCACTTAATATTTACAAATAACAAAAGATTTATTGACACTTTTTTGTAAATAGAAATGAAAATACTGGAATTTAAATATCACTCATCTTAAATATATTACTTAAATCTAATAAACTTTGATATAACACTCGATCGTAACATGGAATGCTTAGAATCATCACAAATATTTATATGAGTTTGAACTATACTTTTAATAATATGTAAAATTTAACATGACTAGTGGGAAGTTATTACTAGTAGCGGGATTATGAATCTAGCTCATCTATGCTGCCCTGCTGTATGCATAATCTTTATTTGATAGTTCGAAAAGTGAGATTCTTCTGCTTTTTCCAAATATGGAATAAATTCTATTTGTTCGATTATAATGTGACGGTGAAGTCTCCATCCTTTTGAACGGCTTTTGGCTCTGGGTTTCTTGGTTCCTTCGGTCGTTCGGGCAGTTTAAGGACCATGGCTTCCGTGCTCTCTGCGATACATCACAAAAATATTTACAATTAATATTACTAACGAAATCAAATGGTAATTTATTTAGTTTCTCTAGGATATAAATGTAGTAATTTAAGCTTAATTAAAAGCACATAATCATAATATTAAAAGTTTTACAAGAAAATGTTCACATATTACACAGAGAATAAGATTTAGCGTCTTAAGAAAGTTTGAGATATTAAAATGTTATTTAAATGTGATCACAAAAATTTAATGGGTGACTGGTAATTTTTATACTTACTTTGATATATACAATATTTATTACATGGGTCCGGTGCAAATTGTAAATCTAATAAACATTTTACATGCATGTGCGTATTATGACCATAATTAATAACACTTATCATTATCTTAAATGAACTATTAAGTTATAACTAAACAGCTATAAATTCATTCTCGAATGAATAACATAAATATTCGGTCAGCATTCTTAAAGCATATATTTAATGCACTTTTAAATAAATTATATTACGTGAGCCTCGCTGAACTGTCGTTAAGTTTTCAAAACGATACTTAAATAATATTATGTCGCATTTAATCCATTACAAAAGCTTTGTTTAAATAATCCTCGCCAAAAATATTACTTACAGAAAATTTAAAAACCAAATATACATTTACTTTTTATAACTCTAGTTTCGTTCTAAGCCAGTGTTTTCCAATGTGGGGTCCACGCCTCACAGGGCAGCAATTTGATTGTGAAAAATAATAAATTTTCGAATAGAAAAATAATTATTCTAAAATTAAATAAATTAATTCCACAAAAACAATTTTAATTTCTATTCGAAAATTTATTATTTTTTAATAGAAAAATAATTATTCTAAAATTAAATAAATTAATTCCACAATTTTTTTTTAACTTTCTATTCGAAAATTTATTATTATTTAAATAATAATTTGGAATTTCAGTCTTTCATTACATGTTATAAAATCAACTAATTGTGTTTCGTTAACAATTTCCTAGTAATTTCTTCCTAAATCCTATAATTTACCTTTCTTTAGTGAGCAATTCAATTTTAGATATTAAAAATTACTCATTAAAGTGCACTTTAATGAGTAGCGCTCAATAATAATCAATATAATTTAAACTACTTGGTGTGAGACTAATGACGTTTATTGATATATTTTTATTGATATTATAACACATTACTCTTATTTAATTAATATTTATATATAATATATTAAACTACTGAAATCGTTTATATGCGTAGAAATAAAATCGTAGCATTGTGCTACGGTTTTGTGAGAGTTAGCTCTTATTAACTTAGTTTTATGAACATACAGAAACATTTACTGTAATAAAATCTATTGTAATATAGTTTGTAATTCTATTAATAATGTAAAAAATTAATTTATGACGCTAAATCAGCATTTTATGTTAATAAAACAGTCAACCCAGTATCAACAAATATAGTTTCAAAATAAGATTCTCAACTATTTGTAAGGAAATTATCTTAATGAGCGCTGATTTAAATGAATATGTGTATTTTATGAGCAAACTTAGTGTTACTAATATTTTCTTTCAATTGATAATAACGCTTGCTTACACACAATTACTAACCATACAAAACAATACCTGTTCTTGTGGTTAAACTTCTCTTTGTTTTTAATATTGCCATCGTATTAAACTAAATAGATATACATAACATCTATAATGTAGATTGAATACATTTTTGCATTTAATATTACTGTCATACAGTCTAAAAATCTAAAAATAAAATTCACTTTAGCAGCACTGTTTCCCCACCTATTTTGTGCCATGCCCCCCCTTAGCCTTTATAAAATTCTTATGCTGAATGTAACATGCGTAATTTTTAATATCTAAAATTGAATTGCTCACTAAAGAAAGGTAAATTATAGGATTTAGGAAGAAATTACTAGGAAATTGTTAACGAAACACAATTAGTTGATTTTATAACATGTAATGAAAGACTGAAATTCCAAATTATTATTTAAAAAATAATAAATTTTCGAATAGAAATTAAAAAAAATATTGTGGAATTAATTTATTTAATTTTAGAATAATTATTTTTCTATTAAAAAATAATAAATTTTCGAATAGAAATTAAAATTGTTTTTGTGGAATTAATTTATTTAATTTTAGAATAATTATTTTTCTATTCGAAAATTTATTATTTTTCACAATCAAATTGCTGCCCTGTGAGGCGTGGACCCCACATTGGAAAAACTAGAGCTTAGAACGAAACTAGAGTTATAAAAAGTAAATGTATATTTGGTTTTTAAATTTTCTGTAAGTAATATTTTTGGCGAGGATTATTTAAACAAAGCTTTTGTAATGGATTAAATGCGACATAATATTATTTAAGTATCGTTTTGAAAACTTAACGACAGTTCAGCGAGGCTCACGTAATATAATTCTAAAATTAAATAAATTAATTCCACAAAAACAATTTTAATTTCTATTCGAAAATTTTTTATTTTTGAATAGAAAAATAATTATTCTAAAATTTAATTAATTAATTCCACAAATTTTTTTTAATTTCTATTCGAAAATTTATTATTTTTAAATAATAATTTGGAATTTCAGTCTTTCATTACATGTTATAAAATCAACTAATTGTGTTTCGTTAACAATTTCCTAGTAATTTCTTCCTAAATCCTATAATTTACCTTTCTTTAGTGAGCAATTCAATTTTAGATATTAAAAATTACGCATGTTACATTCATCATAAGAATTTTAAGAAGGCTAAGGGGGCATGGCACAAAATAGGTGGGGAAACAGTGCTGCTAAAGTGAATTTTATTTTTAGATTTTTAGACTGTATGACAGTAATATTAAATGCAAAAATGTATTCTATCTACATTATAGATGTTATGTATATCTATTCAGTTTAATACGATGGCAATATTAAAAACAAAGAGAAGTTTAACCACAAGAACAGGTATTGTTTTGTATGGTTAGTAATTGTGTGTAAGCAAGCGTTATTATCAATTGAAAGAAAATATTAGTAACACTAAGTTTGCTCATAAAATACACATATTCATTTAAATCAGCGCTCATTAAGATAATTTCCTTACAAATAGTTGAGAATCTTATTTTGAAACTATATTTGTTGATACTGGGTTGACTGTTTTATTAACATAAAATGCTGATTTAGCGTCATAAATTAATTTTTTACATTATTAATAGAATTACAAACTATATTACAATAGATTTTATTACAGTAAATGTTTCTGTATGTTCATAAAACTAAGTTAATAAGAGCTAACTCTCACAAAACCGTAGCACAATGCTACGATTTTATTTCTACGCATATAAACGATTTCAGTAGTTTAATATATTATATATAAATATTAATTAAATAAGAGTAATGTGTTATAATATCAATAAAAATATATCAATAAACGTCATTAGTCTCACACCAAGTAGTTTAAATTATATTGATTATTATTGAGCGCTACTCATTAAAGTGCACTTTCCTGCAGTAACCTAAACATAATAAATCAAATACTATCTAAGACTCATAATAATTTGTTGAACTTAGATAAACATAACATATAATTTATCATAGTATTTTACACTAGTTAATTCATCTTAGGTATGCTTACGTAACTACCTTTGTTAACACATTAAATAAGATATTGTTTCAGTCAGGTTAATTCAATGAAAATACATTAGACAACATAAAAGCAAACATTAATGTCGCACATACAACCAGCCACCACCGGGTCTACGTTTGAAAAGAGACTCACCAATAGATCTGTGGTCCGCTTGACTTCCATAAAATTCGTCTAGTTCTTTCGCTGAACACAATGGGGTATCAACTTGCATAGTATCTTCGAATTTAGAATAATCTACTTCGTATCCCTGACGTTCACGATTGTATGTCACTAAAGGCACAAATCTGTGACCCCACATTAATTCACTAGCCGTATAACTGGACCGGGCCTGGGTCGTCTGCCCGGTTGACTCGATGGTACCTTCTAACACAACCACAATTTCAAACTTTTCTTGAAGAATATCCGCAGCGGAGACTCCATAGAACGGACTGTCCGCGTTTATTTTGTGAACCATAGTGATAGGCCATATGAAAAATAGGTTGCTGTCACACCCATCCGCGTTCAATTCGAGCTCTGTTTGATAGTGGGATAGCACTTCCCCTTCCTTGGTAGTTCTGGATCGAATAAGTTGCGCTCTCACGCTAGCTCCAATTATGTGCGACTTCCTCATGTCTCCCACGCGGAACATAAGACATAGTTCACCATCCCGCTGACATATCACAGCGTGTTTCGAAAACAGCAGTGTTTGTGTTCTCTGCTTCGGTCTCGTCATTTTAGCAAACACTATACCGACCGTAAAAGCTTGAATTGTCACACCCACTATACTTTGGAAACACATTATGAAAATCGCTTCCGGACACTCTTCTGTGGTTGTACGCGCACCGTACCCAATCGTATGTTGAGTTTCTATACTGAATAGGAAACAAGATGTAAATCCATATATTCCCAAGACACAGGGCTTCCAGTTCGATGACTCTTGCATCTCTGGTAGGTGGTCAGGCTCTAGATCTCCATGTGTAAACGCAATCAGCCACCATATGAGTGCAAATATTAACCAGGATACTATGAAAGAGAGTGTAAACAGTAGTAATGTCCATCTCCATTGGGCGTCCACAAAAGTTGTAAACATATCTTGCAGGAAGCGCAATCTTCGCTGGCTGAGGCGCGACTTGAGAATGTTGCACTCGCCATTTTTAAGTATAGCTCGTCGCCTAGATCTTCTAGAAAGACCATGTCTGTGCGAGCGATTCCTGAAAAAATAAAAAAAAGATACTTCAAATCCACGTCGTTCCAATCGAATGGTGCACGGTAATTATAGATCATAAGAGAGCAAACGCGTAGATCACGCGTGAACGATGCTACGACGCTACGACCTTCGTCAATGTTAATGTCGATAATGGACACTAGTTAAAGTTATAGCTAGTTAAGCTATTTCTAAAACAAAACAATAAAATGGAAATTAATGAGTTAATGCAAGAAGTATAAAAGCGAAACAGTACGGGATGGTATTTGTCGGAGACGGCACAGGTGTTCGCTGATCGACGAACCTCTTGGTGCCAGTGGGGTAGTAGACGCCCGGGGAAAGGTTTCCGTTCCCGGGGACGGTTTTGACTTTAAGCCATTCGTCAGGAAGGAGATGAGACTCCTCGCGACTGGCAGGTGACTCGGGGTCGGTTCGCATGGCGCGGTCGGCGTGCGCGCAGCTCACTGGCAGGAGAGCGTATGCGTAGACGGCACCATCCCTCACAGCTCCTGAAGCAGCGCACGCGATAATGCCACGGTCACGACTGCCTCTATCGTTCTCCACACAAAGATGACGCGCTAAATGCTTTATAATTATATCGCGAGATTCTGTATGAAAATTATCAGTTCAGTCGGAAAACAAATTTCAGTTAGTATCAATTTTGCTGTTTCTACATACAGGGTGTGGCATGGGTTGGCATAATTTAAAACACAATGCAACTACAATACTTCACGTTATAACTGCTTTACCCTCAAACTACCTTTAGATATAGTTTAAAGTAAAACTAAGTTAGGTAGATCCTGAAACTTTTAAATAATTTATTGATAATGTTACATATGTTTTTTCATATCACAAAACTTACTTTACGTTTTAGTATTTATTACGTTTATTTTTAATTAAAAACATTCTGTATATTCGGTCCCACCCCACTTCATTTAACTCTCAATTTGACATAGTGTGAATTGATTTGCTAATGCGCAATTTCCCAGACACTAATTTGAATCGCTCGACTCTCTCAGAAGGACATGTTATAAATAAATATGATCTAAAAAAATAATTATGATAACAAAATAAAGGTAAATAAGCAATGTTTTTTTATCAAGTCATCATAACTTTAATAGAAGGAGGTACTCCTACCATATTATTACAGCGTCGACTGGAGTTAATTTAAAATAACTTTCGTAGGCTTTTATATCTAGTAAGTGATAGGTAGTAGAGAGAAAAATACTCCATGAAAATCAAATGTAAATTCATAACAAGTTATACGAGTTAAAATGTATTAGCTAATTTTATAATTATCACCACGCCTCCGTAAGCAGAGATGCATGATCGTATTATTAAAGCCTTAAAGTAAATAATGTGACATCTTTAGTCGTGATGTAGACATCAGCACATAGTAAATAATCGCTATATTAAAATTTTCCGGTTATTTATTTGCAAATACATAATTTATGTAAGAATTGTAGGCGTTGCCTGTGTAGTTTGTTTTTGACCTGACTTCAGAAAACTCGAAGGAGGAGGTGTAACTTCACGTGTTATTTTGTCTCCTGGGTTCCTTAAAAATCAGTTCTAGTCAGTCTCCTCTTTTGTTAATAATTACCTACTTATAGTGTATATCAATAATCCATCTTTTCTATATTTATTTTTGATTTGAATGTTACGTGAAAAACCTATTTAACACTGCTCATTATTTTTCATTTTATTTAAATAGATTATATTTCAGACGTCTATACTACATATCGATAATTCTATTTGAGTTAATGTTTTTATTCCTTACTTTTTAATTATATTATTACCTAAACCTATAAAATATTGGATCGTAGAAACGTCATTACTTTCCTTATTGTTTAGATGCTATATTATTTTAGTTTCAGAGACACCGACCTGTATGTTTAGGTTTATCTACGTATATTGCATTAATCAGTGGGTATCCTTAAGTTTATGGCGTACAATTAAAAAGATAATCTAACTTATCACAGATTACAATGACAATTTTTACTAAAAACATACGTAATTTATGGCTTAAACAAATGCTTATTATAATCTATTTGTTTAAGCATAAAGATAAAAAATACATCTTAATTTTATTTTATTGTAGTAGAGTTTTTAAATTATATGTGTAAGTTATTGTGCTTATTGGATAATCGTTGGACATTACGTATGCACTAGCTGTGTACCTATGAATAGATTTTTCTTATTGTATAAGCTACGCTTACTCGTAAAGAAAACGTCAACTGACGCAGACTTTTTCTTTGACTGCCCACAGATAAATTATTATCAATGACTCACATGCCCCAGAAATGTATTAATCCAACCCGAAATAATAAAAAAAATATTGAGCGTATACGACTACTACCTAGAATACATTTTTGTCAGTTTTAATGGCGTCGTAATTGCGTTATTATGAGGTGTCTTTACTGTACAATAAAAATAATTTGTGTCAAAAAATTGTGTCCGTGCTCCTGTGGTTTTCATATTAACTTGGACCCTACATTATAACCGAAACGCTACCAAGTTCTAGAGACTGTATCACTTATAGTCTATATAAGACTCATTTCTTACAGTCTGTGCTTGTGATGGAAAGATTCTATAGCACGATTAATCATTCATTATCTAGACGCGAACCAATATTTACAGATTTTCGTGGATTTGCTAGATTAAGAGATCCTGAAGAGAGTTATTTGTTAACCTTGGTTACTGATGCTTTTACAGAATATTAAGGTTAAATGGATTAAACACGTGAAAGTGTTTAAACGTTGTATGGGCAATATTTTCTTATTTCTTCTCAAGAGTTTTTTAGTAAGCGATTTGAATTTTGAAAGTCAAAAGGTTTTATGTAGATGAAGTATATTGTTGTTTAGAATTTTTCAATCTCATTTTTGTATAAAAATATTAGTACATAATTTTAGTAATATATTTGTCATCTTAATAAGTAACTTTCAAGAATGCAATCAATATCAGAAAGAAAATTAATTTGCCGAAAAACTTGTTTTGTTTTTTAAACAAACTGTTTTATAATCAAAAAACTACAAAAAAAATTATAGATACAATTACCCTTCAAGATTCAGTCACAATACCTTTTGTAAACGAAAGTAGAACAGACTTGGTCAACAACGATAATGTCACTCTTATCACTATTTGCGCCTACGACGCATTTTCAGAGAACAATTTTTAAAAAATTATCGAAATTAAAATTTTAATTAACAAACATGTTCCTTACATCAACTTAGTCATGAAACTAAGATAATATATAAGTTATCGGTCGTCTGATTAGATATTGGTTTGAGAATGTGATAATAGACTCAAAAGGGGTACGTTTCTGTATAAGACAGTTGCGATTTATAATCAGAATATTATAACTTATTATCGATACAAATCAATCAATAGATGGAAAACCATTGTAACCATGACCACCTGTAACATTTGAACTATTCTATAAAAAGTTAAATACTAGCTGATAGTAAAACAATAATAACTCTAAGTAATTCGTATTAATCTTTTATATTACCTATTATACTAAAAAACCAATAAAAATGGGTTGTATATACGATTGAAAATTAATCTATTCAATCGTGGAATTTGTACAATTTTAATACTGAACATTAATTAATTAAATGTTATGATTATATGAATTGCTAATTGGGCTAAAATATTATATTTAAGCCATTCTTTAATGTCAACGGCTTTACTAAATAGATAATTGGCAAAGACTTTGTTTTTATCTAATCATTAAAATCATAAAAAAAAATTACTTTTATCAAATATTTATCCATCGTTGTGGCTAATAAATGTAATTATAGCAACTTGTTTAATCGGTGCGGATAAAGTTATCACTTGAGGACCTAAGCATTTATGTTTTTGGCAAAGTTCGTAATAACCTTAAAACAATTAAAGAATTAATTATCGTTAAAAGAAAATGCGCCTCAATTTTTATGATTGATAAAAAATTAACTCATTTTTCGTTAATTAAGTTAATCTGTAACGGTACTTTACTTTGCTGTAATGGGGGGACAATGCCATGCATTTGAGCGACCCATGCGAGATATTAAGTATCATATACAAACTCCGTTGTCCATAATACCAGAGACAACGTAACACCTAGATAACAGTAAACAGAAACTCACCTACAACTGTCCACTCTGTAAATCGTGCTTTGTCCTATAGAACTGCTGTATGTTGGTATTCTATGAAGACTGCTCACTGGGTGTATTGAATGCTGTCGTAGTAGACCACTCGCACTGAACCCAAGCATCGGCGATTCTACCACAGAACTCTCAAATACGCTCGTCTCATCCGTTTCCTCCTCAATAACACCTGGTTTGTAAAATATTTTACCAGCAGAGAGTACTGGCTTCGATTTTACATCTTTTTCGATATCTTTTTTTATTTCCATCTCATAGGTTGATGTAGAAGGTTCCATTTTCTTTCTAGTGTATTCTGTGTAGATATTCTAAAGTTATCTTTCTTGATTGTTAAGATGGCCATCGTCTTGGAGATTTGTGTTTTCAGATTCCTGAAAAAAAAATTATTCTGTCTATGATCTATAAAAATATATATTTCCGAAACAAAACACAAAGTGCATCGGCAAAATACAGATACCGTAATTAGCATTCAACCCGCTTATAATATCTATTATATTTTAATATCATTGTTTCCATTCGTAACACATATTGCACATAGAAGGCGTTCAAGTTCTTTGCATATCTCGTTACAGGACATAATAACTAGATCAGTGACAACATACGGATTGAATGTAATTCTTGATTAAAGTTTTAATATTTAAAAATTATCAATACTTTGAACTTTGAAGAAAATGCACAAAATACATGCCTGTTATTATTGAAATTTAGAAAGTATCCTTCTCTTATATTTATAATCATACAATTTTTGTTAAGTGTCATCTCGTGGTGAGTAGAGAAACTAATTAAAACATGAAAGTACGTTCCAACAGTCGTTTTAATAAAATGGTTCAAGTTAATTTCGCAACTAAAGTGATCAATATTACAAGACGGCGGTTATGAAGTGGGTGCGTCCAGGTTTATATATAAGTTTTATAATAACTTCTCATTAAAATCTGATAATCCACGTTTCATTTTATGAAAGAATAATTTTCATTCAATAAGTCGTGAATACAAAGACAGGATATTACCGTTTTTCATGACAACGCAACGGATGCCTTTATTTCCCCGTTTCTTCCCACTAAGATTAATCTCGCATATTGCGGAAAACCTCGTAAAATAGTTAACCCAATCCGTGCTTTAATATGGCGAAAATTACAGTAGATCAAGACAATTGAGCTTAAAATTTACAAAAATCGCCTTGACAATTTAAATTAGGGCAATGATTGCGTCGATTGACCATCATTAAAACTTTGCTAGGCAAAATATGATTTGGCTTCTAATATGTAATTGGTAAAGTTATTAGACAAGTCACACTGTGACGTATAGTCACATTCGTGAAACACAATGTTACCTGAGCCGAAGGCCGATCTTAATTACGCTTCTGAGTAATTAATGAGTTTGCCACGGGGCCCTATTGCTACCCGCACATTAACTGTGAATTGCGATATTGACAATGACATTCGGTATCGAACAGTAGAATATCTCAAGAACGTGTCTTATCAAACGAATTGTTTATTTCTGCTTTTAACCGACTTCAATAAGAGAAGATTTTCAAATAGGTGAATTCTTTTATTTAATGGATATCGACACTAAAATCGATTTAAAAATTAATATATAAATTCATTGGCTTAACAAGGAGTTTATACAGCTGTTAAACTATTCGCACAGATCAAAAGGTGTCCTTAAATAGTAATCTCAATTTTAACGTTCTTTTGTTTGTTTTTACACTCCTTTTTCCTGTAAGATAGACCATAGCGACTGATATCTGTGATAATACAGATACATAGGTATGAATAGAATAGTAATAACATTATAATTGAAAATTTCCTTCGTTTTTATAATTTGCAATGTTGTTTCAAAATATAATAATACTACATATTTCCATTGTTTATGGTTTTCATTCATACGTACGATGCTTTATCTATGAATTACGACATATTTTTAATTAAGCACGCTACTGCGTATTTTTGGTTTCCGTGTTGGATGTAAAGTAGGTACCTAAAGAACAAATTTTATATATCTTATTATATGAAATCTTAACTCTTATGTAATATCTAAAAGTAGAAACCTATATAATTGTATCTAAATAGACATCTAATTATGAGGTCTTTATAGTCCATTTTATACAAAATCTTAGGCCTGTTACAGAATATAATAAAACAAATTTATTCTAAATAAAAAGGAAGTATTTACATTTAAGTTCCGCACGTTTGGCACTTTTTCATTGTATTTAATGTTTCTTTACTAGTGTTACGATGAGATTTTTTATCTATAGAACAGGTAATAGACTCACAGGATGTTAAGTGAAGTATCATTACCACCGCCCAAAAAGAGAGAAATGAGATAGCCTTATTTAATTTTTAGGCTTACGTTATGTATCGATAGATGAATATGAAATAAACTTTATTAACTTTATTAATAATTAATAATAAACTTAACAATAAGCATAAAGCTATGTATTATACTGAGAGACTGGTGCTTGAAAAAGGTTGGGAAAACCTGTTATTACAAGTCACCAGTCCCAAATAAATAGATACATTTGAATATACTACACTGATTTTGATCTCTATGGATAATATTTTATTCTCTAGCAATATTCAACGGTCAGGATATAGTTTATTTAAGATGATTTGCGTGAGACGTAGGGGTCAAAATTCACAAGTGGCACTAGGATGTGCCTAAATTTATTGCAGTAGATTAAAGTATGGCCATCGAAGCAGGAAGTAACTATTTCGGGCTAGTAAATGGGAGTTTTTAAATCATAACAAAATTTAACTAAAAATATACTGCACTAAAAGATTAAATTTCGTTTGTCTACTATCAACTATATTTAAAAAATAAAACGAAGTAAAGTTACGGTATTTTAATATTTATGTTTAATCTAAACCAACATTGTTCTATATCATTTAAAGACTTATTACACATAAATATAAACACACTTGAATCCCGATAATACGATAAAAAAATAGCTCAGTGACCTGCCCACGATGTAATAAGGAGCGAGTGAGTCAACGTAAAATTAGATGTCATATGATACACATAAGAATAACACTTCACCTATTCTGCCTACTCTATTGATATTTCGCGACCTTAACGTTATTAATATGTTCTTTTTTTTATTTAGTCTATGGATAGCTGAATTGAGTGTAATTGTTTAAACAATAGATACGTAGTCTCGATAGTAGGCCATAAAATCTTTAAAAAAAAATAGAAACGTAGTAGAATCCCATTGTAAATAAATGTATGCATGTCACCTATGCTATGTAAACATAATAAGTGTTTTACATATTAAGTACATAAGACTTGAAAAGCGAAGTAGGTTTTGTTCATAACGTTTTTGTTATAAAAAAGACACTTAAGCGTGATATAATTTACTAGAAATATAATTTAAATAATTGATAATAAAATTATCGTCTCGTACCTAATTTGAAAAAAACAATTTGTAGCTATATTAACTAATTAAATATATACTTAAAAACTTATAAGATTAAACAAGCAAATAAAGAGTCAAATAACTTACCATATTTAAATAATATTTGCTATTCGAAAACAAGGGAATTCGCACACAGTTTACGAACACATATTGTCAGTATAAAAAGAGCGGGAAAGCGCGTTAGTTCGTTCCAATTTTGAATTTCATCTTAACAAAAGCGAAAGGATCAGAATGTCTAATCCCAGCGTGTGGATTGATCGCCAGGATACAGATGACTGCCAACCGTATGATGCAGACTCTTGTTGTTGGTACCTATGCCAATTGTAATCCAACTTTATTTGTTAACTAGCCACGCGCTCGGAAACAATTGACGGTGTTCACTCATTCACTGCCAGTGCCTCTGCAGATAAGATTTACACGGACCTTTTAGCTGTCAAGGTATAATAATAATATAAGCCTTTATTCAGACAAGATACAATTTTACTTAAGCTAGAATATAAATGTTTAGTATTGAAAAAAATTAACTTAAATATAGTTGAATATTTACATTCCCTCGACAACCTTGTCTGTTTGCCTTTTGTTGGCAAAGGCCTCCTCCAAATGCAACCATAAATTACCATAAATTATTGACCTGGGGAGTTCGGGTCCATGTGCCACCTGCCACGGCTCTTATTTCACCAATCCACCTTAGGAATGGTCTACCCCTTTTGCTCTTCATGTGACCTGTGTACCAATGCATTAATGATTTGCTTCCATTCTAGCCCACTTCCATTTTAGTTTTTTAATTGTTATAGTCTTTTGTTTTTGTGTGATTTTTTATTGTTGATAATATGTTTATTCTGTCAGAAAGTTTTTTTCCTCATCATGCTTCTATTCATTGCCAAATGGTCAATAACTACTAATAACTATTAGTGTGGTAATAGCTAGTTATAATAGTAATTATAACTACTATTAATTTTAGATCAATGTTGGAGGGTTTTGGTCTAACTCCCCACGGGGACCAGCCGGGTTGGGGAGATCAAGGTATAGAATATGTTTATAAACAATGTAATTGGCTAGTACATTTATCAAGAATTGGTACTTGGTAAAGATAGAGCAATCATGTACGTATTGCAACAAAAATTTGGAAACTATTGTTAGAAGGGATAGATATGGAATAAAAAACCGTGTTATAATAATTTACTATATATAAGACCAAGAAGTGCAAAATACACTTTATCATAACAAAAGGGTTACTATACTTATTTTAATTTCAAAATACTTAAAACAATTTAAATGTATTTTAAAACACATGGCTATGATTTTGAATATTTTTCATAACTATGGCATACCCTAATGCAAGCTTATAATAAAATAATATCGAACATGTATACATTGTTATAGTATTGTCTTTTATTGACATAACCGTTACACATTTAAAGAAAAAACTTTTTAACCGGATTAAAGTTATGTATTATTATAAATTTACAATTATTTAACATAATTAATTAAAAAACGTCGGATAGATTTAAAATTATTTTAAATAATTGTAAATTTATAATAATACATAACTTTAATCCGGTTAAAAAGTTTTTTCTTTAAATGTATACATTGTTATTTTTTTCCTATTAGGTAATAATGACAGCAAGCTTAGACCTATCACAGTTGCTCTTTTGTCAGGGCCGTTGCTCTTTCCGGGCGTCCTCAGGTGCATCCCGCGGGATGTGACACTGGAAATGAACATACGTATTCTTGTCATACCAATAACTCTTCGCGATTAGGTGTTAAGTACTAAAGCGCTTCCATCCGCCCGTTACAAGGTTATATATATCGCACATTTTGCAATATATATAACCTGATATAGACTTTCGTTCGTTATGATCCTTTAAATATTTTATTTTTAACTTTAGTTAATAAAGAAAGACAATACACGCTTTATAATAAGTCATTTTTATTACAGCGCCATCTGATGGGTAATAGAAGTGTTATATCGTAACCAAATCTTATGATTCCATTTAATACAATGTTTTTACGAAAACGTTAAAATTATATGGCCGCGATAGGCTTAAGAAAATAGTGTAGATTTTAAGGAAAGTGATAAATAAATTTTATAACGATTTTCAGAAATTTAGTTGCTATTACCGCATATTTAATACTAAAATATTTTATAGTGGAAAGTAGCAAACTAAGAAAACTATGTGATCGCCGTAAAGTTATTAAGATCCTAGATATGATGTTTGTCAAAGATTGACTGCAACAAGATAGCTATAAAACCTGTCAAAGTATCTTCTTTATCTTTTCTTAGTAAATAAATATTTAATTAGTGATCGTGAATATACACGAAGTTACAGACGGAAGTAAATCTTTAAACCTGTGTGACGCTTTTGAAATGTGTATAACACATTAAAAAATATACCTTATGTATTAATCGTAGACATTATACATCAGTGTATTTGAATAGTACGTACGATACTTGTATGAATTTCGAAATAAATGGGTATGTACACAAAAGAATGCGACACTATTGGAGATGTGCCGCACACACTTTGCAATTGTTCCAGGTAGGTTAGCTATTGAACTATATGAAAAAAAATATTTTGCAAGCCTTTCCTCCATATCACTTTTTTCTATTGTATTATTTTATATACAGTGTTTATTTGCCTGTCAAAATTGTTAAGGTTTTAAATTCATTCTCGTATGATATTATGCTCTACCTACCTACGATCTCTTATAAAATATACTTTCACTTCTTTCTAATTTTAAAGTATATTCTTATCAGGCTTTGTATCTATAAGTATCTACTTATTAATTATAATCCTTAAGTAATTAATATGATACGAAACACAATTTTCAGACACATTCAAAGAAGACGGTCACAACGAGCTAGGTTGCAAGAACGTGTTGTATTTAAATCGGGTGACTTGAACATTGACAATTCAGGTGAAACAAAATTTCGACTGTTCAATGACATAGTCAAAGTCTTTTTAGAGGCACGCTGGAGATGGACAATTCTATATTGCGTTATAGCTTGTGTATTAACTTGGTTCGTGTTTGCTGCCATCTGGTGGATGATTCTGTACCTTCATGGTGATCTCGAGAGCAATCATTTACCCCATGCCTCAAATTTAACAGAATGGAGACCTTGCGTAAGAGAAATTTATAACTTTACGTCCATATTCTTATTCAGCATAGAAGTCCAAACGAGCATAGGTTATGGTTCCAGAGCAATCACCCTGGAATGCCCTGAAGCAATGTTCACAATGTGTATTGAGAGCATAACAGGAAAAATAATACAGTCACTTATTATTGGCATAGTATTTGCTAAGTTAACGAAACCAAAAAAATCGCGCGCAGACTCTGATGTTTTCAAAATACGCTATCATTAACCAAAGAGATGGGAACCTCTGCATGATGTTCAGAGTAGGTAACACGAGGAAATCGCGAATAATAGCTTCAAATATCAATGCTTATCTGATAAAATATGTAGCTGATGGCATTGACCTACTAAATTACCATCAGATAAAGTTGGACCTAAAAGTCGACGCATCCGATGACGTATTGTTCATATTTCCCCTAACTGCCGTACATAAAATAGACCAACGAAGTCCATTCTTCAACGTTTCAGCTAAGGATTTACTTAAATGTAATGTAGAAATACTTGTCGTGTTTGAAGGAACAATTGAGTCAACGGGCCAACCGGTTCAAACTAAATCAAGTTACATTAGCAATGAAATACTTTGGGGAAGACGGTATTTGGAGCCTTATTATTACAAAAAAAGTAAACACGGATTTGTGATAGATTTTTCAAAATTTGACGAAACATATCGCGTCAATACTCCGCTATGCACCGCTAAGGAACTTTTTACTTATTATAAAAATAGGTCGTTGAGAAGACTTCATTAAAATAAAAGAGACATATTCCTACCTGTAAACTTTAATAATGAACTATCTATTAACAGGATGTTTTTCGAGGTATGGATGTAAAATCATGTTAATCTTGCGTAGTTCCATTAAGTCTTTGTAAATATATCTCTGAGCAGCCATTTGTAGTTCCAAGGCACCAAGTCTTATTTTAATGTTCCTAAGTAAATTTTCACACGAATGAACGTCTTTTTCTAACTTTGCAAGTTTCGTTTTGGTAATATTATATTGTTCAAGAATGAAATTAATATTTGTCATCATACAAGTCTCTCACCGATTAAATTTTATATCACAATGCAGTCACAGATATCTTTTTATTTGTAAAAAATTGATATTTTCTGCGATAAGTGATAAACTATGTACATATGTGCGATAATAATAGTGACGAATGTGTGTATTTATTTATCATTCAGCATCAACATTTTATCGTGCGTTAAGTTGTTTGCATAGTCGTTTTCGTATGTTTAGTCTACATTAAATTTATCATTCAAACATTTTTTACTAGAAATGTGTATTTTTAGGAAAGTAGAAAAAGCTAGCAAATTAAATACCGAAAAGACCGGGAACATTACATTCCACTTTTTTTATTATTTCAATGCTACGTATACGTACAGTTAATAATGATATTTAATGATGTTACCAATGATCATTCTTCCTTCTGCACCAACCAAGGGCCTCTAAACAAAACGGATAAAGAACGACAAAAAAGTGTAAAACATTGGTGCCTAAATGCATCATTCATTCACTGCGAGGTTTCAGACAATTTATACAAATTTAAAATTTTGAGATTTGGCGTGTTCTATTATGATGTCACTCATGAGTCATGACTCATCATCCAATACGGATTACGTGTGTATGGGAGAAATAAAATACCTATTTATTTTTATTTAATTTATTTATTAGCCGGATACAAAGTCCATTGGCACAATAAAATACCTATTTGGGCAGTTATTGCCACTGTCAAGATATAAACATTCATGCTTAAATAAATTTTATAATAGCAACATTGTCCTAGAACCTAGAAAACCAACATGGCGATTTTACATCAAGGTTGGTGTTGTCGGTGTTGTTGTGGCCCGAATGTTTGTTTTTCCATGCTATTTCGTCATTTACCCAAACTACGAACGTCGAGTTGAGTTTTAATTCCTCCGTTTATGTTTTGTGCCCGTTTTGAGATAGTGACTCTAGTGCTTCACAGTGAATACGAGATAGTGACTCTTGAAATCTGTGAAAATGTCGGCCGCTAAAGAAAACCGAAAAGAAGACAGTCGCAGGTGTTCGAAGTGTGGCAAATCCACGGCAAAGGAAAACGTTTCTTTGTTTCGTTTTCCAAATCCCGGAGTTCGGAATCTTTTGCGGTACGTACTAAACTAATTAACTTCTTAGTTAACATCACATCAAATCGATTGACAATGGGTATGTTCCGATATACACTGCGAGTACTGTATAGTGCTCCCACTGTTCAAAAATTCGTTCCGCTATGGACGCCAGTATACAGCCGCAGCGTCCTAGGGAAATATATGACGTCACAAATCCCCGCTATACTTCTACTGCGAGCACTGGCGTTTTCGAGGTAAGGTACTCGCAGTGCTTTGATCACGTGATCAATCAAAACCACTTGAATGCCTAACGGCTGATATAACTTGCAGTTTAATAACAAACATTTAAAATTCTAACTTACTTTCTTTGTAGTATTAATTCAATTGACAGTTAATATTAATATAGATTTTTTTAATGCGATAATACTCCAATAATAGTTTTTCTTGTTGAATTGAAAAACTTTGATGCACTCATTTGAAAACTGTGTCGAAAAACGAAGCTGACTAGTATACTGGACTGCGTTCCGTTTTAAATTGTAACCAGTATAGCTGGCTATAGAGAAACGGTTTCACAGTATACTAAATTGACAGTACTCTGTACAGTGGTCGCAGTGTATATCGGAACATACCCAATATTTCAACCTATACGTCAACGTTGGAACTTTTTTGCATTTCCCAAGAAACTAGAAAGCAGTCAACAACGTTTGGTCTTTGTTACAACTGTCAAATTGTCGTGGTTAAAATACAATGTAGTTCAAGTTCTAGTCGATGGAACCTACGCCTTGAATTTGACAAGAATAATTACGTGCTTCTTACTCCTTACCTTTGATATCTACTACATTTATGCCCGTTTATTTTCAGCTGCACCCTGTGGGCAAAATACCTTTTTCCTCGGATGAACAGCACACTTCAATAGCTTTTCAAAAAAAGCTGTATGCTGAGCACAGGATGCTGTGCCAAAATCACTTCCACGAAGGTGATTTTACAGATGGCACTAAAAAATCATTGCTAAGAACTGCAGTTCCGCATGAGGTAAGTTATGAACTTTACTCACCATTGTATTTAATTTAACCAAAATTTGTTATAATTTAAACATAGTAATAGTTTGAAGTATGTAGGCCTACCTACATAAACCTAAAAACATTACGATAGTAAATGAGGACTGTGACTTGATTTATTCTTGTAATTACAGATTGGACCTGTATTCATTCCTGCGGTTACATTGCCCGATAATCTGCAGCCAGGCCCTTCACACATACCTCAAGAACCTCAAGCAGGGCCATCAAAAAGAATCCCTTTGAGGGAGATTGGAAATTTCCAATCAACAACGGATGTTCTTGAATCTGAGAAAATTGACAAAGAGAGCAAGACTTACAAAAAATGCTTGAAATATATGCACAGTGTTTGCCAATTGCGTAATCGAATAAAGAACATGAAACTCAAACTGCAATTAAATGCCCTCACAGAAAGCAACTCCTTACGAAAACTTTCAGAGAAAATCTCACCAACATTCGCTCTTTTGCTCCAAGGGCAATTAAGAAATTATAATAAAAAAATCACTGGAAGGAGATGGACAAAGGAGGAAAAAATTAATTTGGTCCCCCAATGTAGCCTTGAGGCTATTTAAAAGGTCACCAACTTGTTACCGCTTGTTGAGGAGATTATTTTATTTACCATCTCCAGGCACCCTAAAGGCTTTGCTGAACAGAGTGCCTTTTGCTATAGGTATTACCGAGCTAGTACTGGAAGTACTCAAACAATTTTAAAAACACAGCAGCGATCGGACAATAATTATATTTTAATGTTCGATGAAATATCATTAAAGAAACATTTTGATTATAACCCAAAGGAAGATGTCATTGATGGATACCAAGATCATGGGGCACAAGGAAGGTCCCCAATGTGGCATCCCATGCCCTAGTTTTTATGGTTGCTGGCATAAGGAAAACTGTAAAACAACCGATTGCACATTTCTTCTCAAGTGGCTTTTCAACAGCGGACAGGCTTGCAGTGCTTTTGAAAGAGGTATTAACTTAAAAAAAATTTTTGTTACTATTCACCTTTAGAATGCCTTAAACTAATATAAAACAATATCTTTTGTTTCAGATCTTACAGCAATGTTTTGCATCAGGTATTAACATATCTGCCACTGTCTGTGACATGGATGGTGTAAATAGACGAGCACTGTCAATCTTGGGTGAAACTGTGGAGCGCCCATACATAACAGTGCATAACAAAGAGATTGTGACATTATTTGACACACCACATCTTGTCAAATGCTTTAGAAATCTTTTTTTAAAATATGACATTGAGTGCACTACTAACATTTCATCTGAAGACAAGAAAGGAAAAGGTATGTTCTTGTGACTGTTTAAACAACTGTATGATAAATTTTGTAACACTTAGGGCCTATTGCACGACCTGCTAAAAGCATTTAATTTTAAGATAATTCAATTTTTTCTATTAAAAATTAAAAGGCTCTTAAGCTGGTGGTGCACTTAACACTTCCCTCTAGCATCCCTTTTAGTTTTACAATATTTTATTTACGCTTATCATCCAAGTACTTGCCTCTATTAAAAACTACGTTTGTTAATTTACAGGTGTGGCCAAATGGTCTCACATAAAAGATTTCTTTGAAATCGACAACAAAAACCCAAATTTTGTGTTCGCTCCTGCTTTGACAAAGGATCACCTAAACCCAAATGCAAAACAAAAAATGCGCGTCAAACTAGCTGCACAAGTTTTGAGCCACACAGTGGCAGCAGGACTTTATGCAAAGATAGCTGATGGTATGTAACAGTGTAGAAGAAATGTGTCATAAGATAGCTCATTAGTTCTATTACATTTTTTATTTCGTATTTCCAGGCGCGCTCAGTACAGAAGCTGCTGTTACTGCAAATGTGATATCACATATCGACAAGCTTTTTGACGCGCTGAATAGCGACTCAGCAGACTTGCGGCGTGGAAAAATTTTCTCCACAAACATGACAGCGAAAAGCCCACACCACAAATTATTTCAGAATATGAAATATTTTTTCAAAACAATGAAATTTATGGGGTCTTTGCGAACACCCCCATCACAGGAAGGTTGGATTTGGACCATTAATGGCGTCGAGCGGCTGTTTAAGCAATTCGCTAATGAGGGTATAAAGAGCCTGGCCACAAGACGGTTACAGCAAGATCCATTAGAAAATTTGTTTGGCTGCATAAGGGGCAACTGTGGCTCAAATTCCAACCCAACTGTGGGCCAGTTTGTGGCTGGCTTAAAAACATCAATTAAGTGTTTTCGTGGTACCGTTTTTTTTAAAGTGGTTTATGTAAATTATTCATTTGTAGAGAAGAAAACACTGAAACTTTTCATTTGAATTACCTAGGTAATTCGACCACGACTACGAACATTACAAAATTATGTTGATTTCGTGTCCAAATAATAATAAGGATCCATAAAAGTGAAATGAATAATAATTCAATGAGAAAACGTTTTTGTTTTATTTCAAGATCATTTGTTAAATATCTAGTGCTCTTTTGGATGCATAGGCCATTTCATTTGTAAGAAAACTCAAATGAATGAGTTTTCCCATTCATTTGAGTTTTCTTACAAATGAAATGGCCTATGCATCCGAAATTAATAAATTTCTGGGGAACCTGGACCTGCCGGCAATTCAAATTTTTGCCGCCAGATATTCAAATATTGCCGCCACATGTAGTTTTGGGTGGGTTGATAATAGGTGGCGATACATTCGCGTATCTTAGAATCCGTGTTCCTAGTCGTCGTTCTTCCTTTAGGTAATTGTGTTCTGTGGACTGCGGACTGCGGGGTGCTAGCCGCACAGAACACTATTACTTCTAGCGAAGAAGAACAAAAACATAATAGTAAAAATATGTTTACACCAGCGCTCCAGTTAATGCCATCGGTACTATCCGCCATACGCAAGAATTTAAAATGATATGCAAGTATAGAATTTTAAGGAATTATTTCATGTATAGAAATATAACATTTTTAATAATATGACGGTTTTACATAAAAATAAAACCGATATTATGTGCCGAGAAGGAAAACATACAGCATTGTATAATGAAGAAGCAATGTATACTTAGCCATGAAGTGCGATACGTACCGAGTGAAATAGTTCCGCTTAGATAGAAAAGATGGCGCTGTAATCGCCTCAACTTCATACTTATCTTAACCAGCTAGGACGTTGTCATTTCCACAGTCATAGAGTCTTCACCAGGAAGAGCTTCCTACAATGCTGTATGTTTTCCTTCTCGGCACATAATATCGGTTTTATTTTTATGTAAAACCGTCATATTGATGTGCCTCCGGAAAACATACAGCATTGTATAATGAAGACGTGTTTGTTATCTGCTGGTGGATGTATAAAGTACAGTATAAAACACAACGCTATGATGATTATGAAGAATTAAAGTCAGGGCTTTAGCTAAAGCCGTTATTGTTTATATAACAATTTTATTTACTTGCCAATATTCTTAATCAAAGCATAAGTATTTAGCAATTATTATTCTTAGTTACGGTATAAATATAACTATATTGATTGAGATGTACAATTAACATAATAATATAAACTTCCTATCATCACAACAAGGTATTTCTATAATTAAGATGGTGCAAATGTATTAAAGAAAGAGTGATAAGTTTTCTCTACGAGAGTCTATCTCGCGGCAGTAATGATTAAAGAATGTATGTATTTGAAGATTTCCAATTACCCCGTGTAATAAAAAATTGCATCTATTGGTTGAATTTCGACCCAATTATTTTGCTGTTGATGGATATAAAAATATTGTTTAAATTTTTTACTTGAGATCTTCTTGTACCTATTACTCAAAGCTATTTTTTTTTTAAAGACAGTTCACACCAACTGACCCAGTCCCATGCCAAGCCGGTGAAGCCTGTGCCATGGGCACCAGGCAACGGACACACATACATATTATAGAAAGATAGACATACAATCACATATTTAAACACCCAAGACCCAAGCACAACACCAAATGCTCATCACATCAATGCTCGTCCCAGCCGGGAATCGAACCCGGGACCCATGGATCCGCAGTCAGGGGCACCAACCACTAGACCAACGAGTCGTCAGGACTAACTGAAGTCTCACTAAAGTGATAGGGCATATGTTTTATCGTGGTGTTTCGAAAGTTTCCATGTTGACTGGCGTCTTGAGTGTCTGTCTTAGATTCGAATACCGGTGTTAAATAAATGTTACCACCATCATCCACGAATTGCTCGTCAGTAATTTCTAATAAAGTGAACCCTGCGGCCCAATGCTAAATGCAATACTGTGGCTGTTCTGCGAGCCGTATCGAATAAAGTGACCCTAGGGGGGTTGGAAGAAAGCCAGTCTAGTACTATTCGCGGGTCCCACGTGACGGATGATTTCACGACTTTTGGTTTAGCTACTCCTAATACCCTGAGGGTGTGTTTAATAATAAAATTTGAAAATGTTTGTTGTTCTACATGGGGACCGCAAAAAGTTAAAATTGCCGATTTGCGAACAAGGATGGTTGATAGGATAAATTTTCTTCTAGAAAAAGTGATATTAAATTTTTTGCAATATCGGCTGTTTGAGGGGATTTTGGCTTCACTTGAGAGTTGTCACACCATGACAGCCCTCTTTTGATTGCGGGTAAATAAGTGGGCAAGGTGGAGTGACCAACTCTTCAAAAGTAGATATTTTTCCTGTGTGGACCAGTCTTTTATTTGGGCACCCCACCCCCAATTTCCCAAACTTTTAGGGTCAATGCTTGTATTTGTGGAGGAGACAGTGCAATTGTCGTATCTAGGAGTGTCTGCGATAGGTGTTGAATTTCGTGGAGGTGATCTAGAGACCTGGATTTCAGGTCCTGCAGCCAGAAACCTCGCGGCCAATCTGAAGCAACTATCAGATAGGTTCCCGTCACCCGGTTTAGGTGTGCTAAAACTCAGGGTAACAGACTAGGAGGGGGAAACACCCATGCTAGAGAAAGAAGGTGCCACTACGCAGCCTTTTTTAACCTTTATAATCTGTCTGCTATGATCACCCTGGTAGGTAATGTACCGACAGAGTTATGTTGAATTTGTCCGTCAGGTGCAATAGTTTGAAGGTTAGTGTAAGTAACCCTATCGATTTCGTTCCACCTTCTGTTTGAATGTATGCAATCAGAGTTTCATTTGTCCGATTGTATTAACACGTGTGTGTTTTGTAATATTTTTACATTTATTTTTATTGCGGCTATCACTGCATATAAGTCCTTTTTGTTGCAGTGCCACGTTTTCTGTTGGTATGACCATTTTCCTGACAAGGTTCCCGTCAAGGGGATGTGGCCCCCCAACCCCAATCCGAGGCGTCCGTCGCTAGTACATAATACTGTTGATGGTACATAATATTGTTACATAATATTGTTGATGCATTATAAAATTTGTGAGGAAACTCACTTGATTATATAACGCGTCGATCATGGGATCGACCTTTACCTGTGCTACTCGTTTCCTTTTCTTTCGTGGCGGTCCCTCACGCTCCGAGTCGCTATCAGACGCGCTGCTGGTGCACGTGGAGTCCTCTTTGTCTTGTTCGCGACCTTGCTCGACACTTTTTTAGACTACCTGCCTGATCGGCCCCGGCGGCGGCCTTATCGGCATCGTGAGTCCATTACGCACTTGTAATGTATAAATAATGCGTTTTGCTAATAATTAACACTAAGAAAGACTATAAGGTTTTAAGTCGTTATTGAGTCGTTTCGGTTTCAACCGCACGCGGCGAAAGTTCACAACGCTATGACTGTGGAAATGACAACGTCCTAGCTGGTTAAGATAAGTATGAAGTTGAGGCGATTACAGCGCCATCTTTTCTATCTAAGCGGAACTATTTCACTCGGTATGTATCGCACTTCATGGCTAAGTATACATTGCTTCTTCATTATACAATGCTGTATGTTTTCCGGAGGCACATCAATGTTAATATCGCAACACAAAAGCGTCAATATAGCACCACATTAAGAGGTTCTATCTCGTTAAAATGTTGATATCACAACACAAAAGCATCAATTTTGCATTGGAATTTCTTCCTAATTGATGATTATATTTATACACCACAATAAGCTTTTTTGCAGTAGCTCTCTTTTCAGCAAGAACTAATTACGTTAATTCAAACACTGAACTTTTGTAAATAAATCAGGCCGTAGAAAAGAAACAGCAAAACGATTTTGAGATTTTCACTTCACAAATTCTTTTTTTTTGAAACTTCAGGTTTTTCTTGTAGTCCCTTGAAGAAAAATAGGAAAACAAGTTTTTTTTTACATTAGTTATGTACACAATGTAGCTTATTATTCTAATAAATTTAATTATTATAATAAAATAATATGTCTATAGTTACTGATGTTATTAACATTAATAACAAGAAAAAAACTCAATAAAAGTAAGCTAACGTTGAATAATTTTAACTATCATTATGGTAGATATTTATTTAATCAGGTAATATTGTTCTGAATATAGCTGATTGCTTCTTTTGTAGAGCGCTTTCGCATTTTCGTAGATAAAGCCATTGATGATTGATGGCATTGGCTGATACGAAAGCTGCCGTCAGTGGCTAGCCGCCAGCCGCAAATGCAAAGTTAAAATATTGCGGATATATGTATAAGCGGAAAGTAACGTTTTTTTTTTGTTTTATAATTTGATGCTGTTTGTCTCTTGTAAAAATTCTTAATATAATATTTCTATTACGAAATATTTTTTGCTACGTTATTAACGATTGATTTTTTCTTATGATCTTGTTGTTTTTTTCTTCCTGAAAACTCCAATCTACAACTCTCCTACTGCAAACTGAGACACGTTTCTTAAATTTTAATGATATTCCATAATAAATTTGTCGTCCTTGATCAGTGTTGTTTATATGAAAATAGTGCTATTCACCAATAATTTAAACAGTCGAGTCGATAACTCAAAGTTAATTAATTATTAATTAACTTTGAGTTTCGCAATTCGCTAATACCGTTGCCTTTTCCATTAGGGATAAATTAATATCGTCATCATCATTCGCTAATAAAACTATGAATAATCGTTGAATGGTAGAGGCACAGATAATGGTTTTACAATATTTATTGTGTATAATCTATATATACCTTATGAAGTGTTTTGTAACGAATTTTATCTGCGACAATTTGACAATGACAGCTAATTCCCGATATTGATAGTTTAGGGAGAAAAAATAAAAAGATAAAGTGAGCTGTCATTTTTCTATCCACATAAAGATAGTTATTTTATCATTTTTGTCATAATTATTATATGAAAAAAACGTAGAATCTTTTAAAATGTTTCGGGCTACTGTGTTTGATAAATTGCTGGGTGAGTAAATATATACAAATAATTTTAGTATATGTTTAGATCAATGTTTTTACTATTACAATTCACTAATTTACATTTATTTGCATCACTTTCTTTTCCTCTATAAAATTATATATCTAGCTTAACACTACAGATTTTATTTTCAAGGAATGTTTTGAGATGTTTATATAAAATAAGGTGTAACAATTAATTGGGGTCCAAAAATACATTTTTAGATAAAGCGACGAGTAATCTACGCCTAGATCCTGACTGGCCATCTATCTTACAAATCTGTGATTTAATAAGACAGAATGATTGTTCGTGAGTAAAGTGTTTATTTATTATTGGATGAGTGCAATGTCAGTCAATTATTTCCCATATAATATTTGTAACTTTATTTTAGACCTAAATATGCAGTTCCAGCAGTGAAAAAGAAGCTTTATTCTCAGAACCCACACCAAGCAATGTTTGCGCTCCTTACTCTCGAGAGCATTGTTAAAAATTGTGGTTAGTTCTTATTTAAGTGAGATACTTAAGTTTCTTAAAAATAATAGTGATAAAGGATCTCAGTTACACTATGGCCATTAAGTAATTACTAAAATCTTGAAATCCTTTAAGCCTTGGTATCCTTTATGAAAAGAAGTGAAATAATAATTAATAAATCGATTACCTTTTATTATAAACAACTATGACAGAAACTTTTTATAATTGATACAGGGTCTGGAGTACATGATGAGGTGACATCTAAAGTGTTTTGCGAAATGCTCCGTGATTTAGTTAAAACAACACAACATGAAAATTTAAAAAACAAAATTCTTGAACTGATACAAGCTTGGGCATTTGCTTTTAGAAACATCCCTAAATATAGAGCTGTGCAGGTTAGTGACAATATTAACTAGTTTTGTCTGCTTATCGACACATAAATTTGTACGAATCATTTTTGCAATATTGATTTTCATAATCTAATTACAGAATTATCTATGTCAATGTCAATTCTATACATTACAATATGTTGTAAGAAGAGCAGGTCTAGTATCTTATATTTTCATTTTACGCTTGGTGCATTGAAGTTAATAATTCTGTGATAAGATATTTACATTGCTACAGGACTACTTACTAGAGTCAATGTCCTTATTATATCTTTAATATACCAATACAGTTATCTTAATGAATGTGTTTTTGTATAAAATATTTATATTAATTATAATTATACAATAGTAGTCAAGGAGTTTATAGTTTATAGTAAAATGTTACTTTAAAAAATAATAGATACATTTTGATTATCACCTTATCAAATGTGATGAGTCATATTATATGCATCATTCATGTCATATAGCTTTGTTTAAATACACCAGTCATTTGAAAGTCTTCACCATAGTCTGTTGTGTTTTTAAATAAATTTTGTTTATAAACAGGATACAGTCAATATATTGAAGGCTGAAGGTCATAAATTTCCACCATTGAAAGAATCTGATGCAATGTTCTCAGCTGACACAGCCCCTGAGTGGGCAGACGGTGAAGTCTGTCATAGGTTAGTACTTAGTCTAAATTTGGTTACTTTTTGGGTTTTTAATAATAATAATAATTTATTTTCTCCCATATAACATTTACAACAAACAATAAGATTACAGTTGAGAAGGCATTGGGAGACTGGTTTCCAAACTAGGTAAGAACCTGTGATATGGATAACCAGGCTTCCATTCCACAGCAAAGTCATATTGAGTGGTTACAAAAAGTACATACATATATGGGTAGGTAAACAAATTTAACGTTTTAAATAAAGAAAGAAAAACAAAACTTTATGTATACTGTTGACACAATTACATACATATGTGTATAATAGGTGGGACATTGATTAATATACAAGCAAATCTGTAAATACAATTTCTCTTTATAAATGATAATCCAAACTCAGAATGTGTTATTGTTCAAGTCTTAGGAATAGTAAAATAGCAATACAATTGTCAAGAAAATTAATTTTTTCTTTAACTTTTACTGCTGGTTCAATTCTGGTTATTATGCAGTACTTAAATAATTGATTTTAAATATAGGTGTCGTGTAGCATTCTCATTGATTGTCCGTCGTCACCATTGCCGTGCCTGCGGTCAAGTGTTCTGCCAACAGTGCAGCTCTAAGACATCGACTCTGCCAAAATTTGGAATTGAAAAAGAGGTACTAAAAGCGTCTATTACTCATCCATGGTTAGTCTTTACTTTAATCCTATGCAACCAGTTGTCGCAGCAGTTAATTAATTATTATGTGTTGAGGTAACAGTGAAAATTGTTAATTTTATTGGATGATTCCTAAAATAGTTCTATTACAATAATACTAAATAATTTTTAGGCTGGTTAATAAAAAAATTATCAATTTTTTCACAATTTTTGTTTTTTGCTAACAGTTGTTCTTTAACAACAGTATTTTATAATAGGTGCGAGTGTGTGATGCTTGCTTTGATAAAGTGAGCAGACCACCATCATCTACTGCCAAGATTGAAATTAATGACCCTTCAAGTGACTATGGTCCAGCACCAGCTCCGGTAAGAATGATATACTTTCCTAGTAACACACATTTGATTTCTTTATTACACATTCACCTTGGTATCTTGTAGGCTAAAATATGAACTAAAAGATTATATTATAACACATTTTATCTATTGTTTCAAACTATATTTTTATTAATAGTATTATTATAATTGTAATTTAACTTCTCCAAAATAGCTGGACCGTTTTTTGTGCGTTCGAGAATGGTTTGATTTATAAGTAGTAGATTTTTTAATTTAAGATGTTTACTTACAACGTCTGTCAGGTCCGCTATTTATATTTATTTATAACCTTTTGTGTTTCTTTATTTTACTTTTATAGGAAATGCCAAAAACCTTTTAATCTATCTTTAATATATCATTATGATATTGATCTAAGATTATGTAAATAAAACTGGAAATAGAAATTAGAAAGCATTTGTTTATTAACATTAAGAAAACTTAATTATAAGAGGTTTTAATGAATTCTCATTGCCCTTCATATGAGTCACCAGGCATTTCTCCTCCAGGAACCAACATAGCTATATTATTTCCATTAAGAAGTATTTGGTCCAGTTTGGTTATTTTTCTGCCTTCAGGTGTAGATTCATATTCCGTCACGTCATCTAATAACATGTTTACAAAGTCATCAAAACCTTGAAGAGTTCCAACCATTTCTTTATCATTCTTCATAATAATATGAATTCTTGATCCTATACATTTATCCACAAGTTCAAGAGGCAATAATGTATTCGGATTCGGTAGAGGTTGCGACATTATAAAAAATTGTTTTTAAAATTTTAAAGTAGATGGAGAAATAAATCTTTGTTTCTATTTATCTTGTAAAAAATTCAATTGAAGATAACTTCAAGAACAATTCTTTTATAAATAGGCAACATAAGCCAAAAAACAGTATATACTAAATACTACTAAGATCATGAAATTTGACACATGACAGCAAGTGACAATAACTATAGCCGTTACTAATGACAGTTATAACAATAGACAATAAATATTAATATAGCCTATAATTTTTTTACTGGTAACATGGTTTACTTTACGTCTTCATAACGGCCGTCAACAGTTGTGTCAACTATTATCAAAAGGAACTTTAAAATAACGGACCTTTTATCATTATCCATTACTATTGTGTTTTATTGTGTTATTATATATTATATCAAAAATGTCTAAAAATTACGTAAGTCACTTCCGAGGAGATTTTACGCCAAATGATTTACGTATTAAAGATGAGCCATTGTCATCAGATGAGTATTTTGGAGAGCATAATTTTGATATGCCGTTCGACAACGAATTTTGTTCTTTGAAGAAATCTATGTCGATGAGTGATATTACCAAGTTAAAACAAGATTTAGAAAATCTTAATTTCGAGAATGATGAATATATGCACCATCAATATGAACAACAGCTAAGTGGAGGATCTTCAAATATTTCTGTTTCCAAGAAAACAAAATTTGTTTCAATGGCTGAAGCTATATACCATTATCAAAGGGATACTCCAACCAGATTTCGTACAGGTAAACCTAAACAATTTCAAAATGTTATTCGTCAGTCAAGATTGACATTAGCTTTATCTCCACACCTCCGGTGTAAGGAGCGTTCTCGACCTCGGCATATCATGTCTCAAAAAGAAAAAGAAGATCTCGAATTGGAAGAAATTAGGAAATTTAAATTAAAAGCTAATCCTGTTCCACAATCAATTCTTTCTGTACCTCATTTACCTGAAGTGCCTAAAAAGCCACTTACAGTTCCAGAGCCATTTAATTTAACTGAAATACATAAAAATAACAATCCAACTTGTGAAGAAATACACAGTTTTAAAGCTCGTCCTGTACCAAAAGAAATATTAGCTAAACCACATATTCCAGTAAAACTTCCGCCTAAGACCACTAAGCCTGTTACTACAAAATTTATTTCAAAACATGCAAAATCGACAGAATCACTGAATCTTCATCTAAGGCCACGCATCTTATCTTCTAAAGTACAAACTCATCATGATAAAATTGACAAAACAGCTCGGTTGGGCCCCCTGAAACCAGAACCATTCTCTTTTCTGAAACGTGATGAAGAAATAAAGAGACGAAAGGAAGAATGGATAAAAAAACAAATTGAAGAAGAAAAAAGTTTGGCATCTCAGTTCAAAGCTCAGCCATTGCCTGTGGCAGTTAAAAAAAGGACGCAAGTTGCTACTCATGGTGCTACTAGTAGTTCAACTTCATCTGATAATAAGGAAAACTTCAAATTTGAAGCTAAACCACCTGTTGTCTTATATAAGGAGCCATTTAAACCAGTTCTTCAGTCTAACCATAATGTAAAACTAGTACCTTTTGAACTAAACACAGAAAAAAGAGCAGCAGAAAGGGAAAAATTTGAAAAGCAGCTTAAAGAAAAAGAAGAGGAAATGGAACTTCAAAAGCAACAGCTAGAGAAAGAAAGAAAAGAGATGGAAGAGAGGAATATTCAAGAAATGAGAGCAAAGTTGGTACACCACCCAATACCCATTCCAACATACGAGCCATTTATTCCTAAAACTTCTGGACGGATAACAATCCCTGACACACCTAAATTCATAAGGAGATTGAAGGCAAAACAAAGCTGGACTGGGAAATAAAGCACATTTGTTTTTCTCAGCTTTACTCTTTTCTTTTTCATTTTATTGTGGAATTATTATAATGCTGATTATGTATTAGTAATAATTAAAATATATAACTAAATAATTATGTAGTTTTAGCTATAGGTCTATTTTGTATGAACTTTTTGACATATTACAACATAATTATGGAAATTACTGGAATTTTGATAATAAAGTTATATGGTATTGTAATACTGTTTTACTGTCCTTATAGCAGACTTTATAGGCTTAGAATTTAGCTCTTTAAAATCTAACAAACTATTTTATTAACAGTTGACCACTACACAGCAAGTGGATATTTAAAGCAATTTTGAGATATAATACTGTAATCCGATGTAAAAAATCCTTATATATGGCACTCATTCCATATATTTTTTTAGTATTATGTACCTTAATAATCCAATTTATTAGAAACATAATTGTAATATTTTGATTCATTATATGCACATAACATGATTTTTTGGGTATGAAAAATATTTTGTATTTCCTACCATGTGCCGAATTGATGAAATTTACTTGGAATGTATTGAGATATTGAATGTACTCTAACTACAAAGTGCTACTTGAAATTAAAGATAATATAGTCTGCCAAAACTCCTGGATATAACTGTTACAGAAACAATATTCATTAATCAGATTACATTTTTGTTATAAATACCAGACAAACACACATCACATTATTTAAATGTACTATTACACATAATATATTTAATTGTGCATAGTATATTTTTCTTTACCAACCTATATAGCCACCGGTTAAAAATATTGACTAAAAAAATTATTTATTATCTTACTGATTTTACAGCAGAAAAAGCCAGGTAAAACTGCTGAGGAGCTACAAGAGGAAGAGGAGTTGCAGCTAGCTCTTGCACTAAGTCAGTCTGAGGCGGAGCAGAAAGAGAAGGAGAAAGAGAGGCGATCGCGTACCTTTATAGCGCCAGAGCCGACCTCACATCCTACATGTAATATAATTTATGAAGTTTCCTATTAGTATATCTTATTCATGTTATATGTAATTAATGTACTGTGGACTAACTAACATAAGCCCTAACAAATATTAAAACAACAATGTCTTTAGATTAACAAAGATTTGATTATAGAATATTATATAAGTATAGTGGAATCTATAACTCGAATGTCAAGGGCAATGCAAAAAAATCGAGTTCACGAGTTTTCGACTGAACAAGAACTTAGTACTTATGATTTAACTGGTGAAATTTCGACTTTCAGAGGCGCAATATCTAACAGTATTTTTAGATTTGTAGAGTTGAAATTGAATAACGATTCAACTTAAGTTTTGTAGTACCTATTATTATTACATATTAATGAAGTAAACTGTACGGCGTACGCTAAAAAATCCGTTACCTTCTTTTGATTTAAACTATTTACAGATGTTTTATAAACATAACGTTCATATACAGCTGTGAATACTTAGAAAGTTTTGTGAATGTATTCATTCATTGCACGTGGACATAAACAATAGATTAGGAAGCCCCGAACCCACACATTCATTTTGGATTTTATTCTCTTAAAATCTCTTTAGTATCTCCATCGCCTTCATCGGTAAGCCCATCTCCAGAACACAGTACAACTGGGAATTCAGAGTTGTCCCGCTATCTGGATAGAAACTATTGGGAGCAGCGTCTATCCAACACTGCCGCGCCAACCGCACCTTCGTCTCACGGCACCAATGATAATATTGATGTGAGTATGCTATTTATGTAATATATGTTTTCTAGTCTAGGGCGTTTAATATCTATGGGACTAGTCAGCAACGCAGGTATAATTGTAATCTTCCTTAAATCTCATACCATTATGGGACGGATGCCACTTGGGTGGCCCCAAGTCTACTGAATTTTTTTCTTAGTAATGCGTAGCCCAACAGGAGATTTGAAACTAAGACCTTGTCGGCAACTATGAGACTGTTAAGTATAGGTACTTTTAATGAGGAGTGAATATTCGTTTGTTAATTGTTTTTAACCGCGGTTCGCTGATACTTGCCGTCTGCCGAACTTTATTTCCTTCCTTTTTTGTATTCTGTTAAATTATATGAATCATGGATGAACCATATGTATACTTAAGTGCAGTGAAACCAGTTGTGGTCTAAGACATGAGGTTAATCCAGTTCTCTTAGAAAGTAAAATGTTGCAATTATACCATAATTTACCTACATGTAAGCATATAATCGGCTATTTGACAAATTCAAAACAACTTTATTCATATAGGCAAAGAAGTACACTTATGAACGTCAACAGAAAAGATGTTAAATGATTCTAAATTTACATTTACTACCAGTTCGCAAGTCAAGGGCGTGGAGCGAGCAAAAAGAACTGGCGAGAAAACTGAACTCGTTTTAATTGCCAAGTTTTGAGTCATACAAATTGTTTGAATTCTAGCAAATCAATCCCAAGGATTAGGATCATTTAAATAGTCGCTTATAAAAAACTTTATGGATTAGTTTACGTTTAACAAGAGTTTTGAATTTATTCAGTCATAATTCTCTAATTAAGATTTAATACGCCAATTACGGAAATACACATATATTTCGATCAAAATATAGTCTCCGATCATATTAAACTCCAACTCGATTAACTCTGACCGTTTTGTGTCATGTGACTTGCTTTGACATTGCTGCATAACGCTTTTTAAAGCCTTGTTTTATACATATATAATATATCAATATCACTTTATTTTTTATACTGTCAAGTAGCCTATAGTTAAACATTATTTTATAAATAATTTGCAGACAATGTTAGAAAACCTATATAACAATAATTATTGTTTGGGACTAGTAGGTATACTGTGTAGGCAAGTTCTAAGTTTTATAATTATTTTAGGATTTCGTAAAGCCTCCCACCGTTAAGACGCAAGATGACGAACCCGAAGATAAAGAAATAGATGAGTTTGTGGAGAATCTCAAATCGCAAGTCGAGATATTTGTCAATCGTATGAAGAGCAATTCATCGCGGTATGTATGCCTTGCTATAATGGTTGTAGTTGTGGTAGGTATGTAAGTGATAAAACGAGATTTTGCATGAAGAATTATACGGTATCTAAATTTTGATTCAATTTAAAAGTTTTTTTAAGAAATAAAAAATAATAACTTACTAATTCTCTGGTATGGCTAATTTCGTTTTGTTTGGTGAGTTTGGTAATTTTCTAGTTTTATTTCATAATTCCACGTATGTTTTAACATTTCACGTTACAGTCACAGTGCTATTAACATTTTTAAATTTATTTAATTAAGTAGGGTAGAGCGGGGCTAGTTGAGCATAGGGGCAAGTTGGGCAATCGAAATATCTCGGAAACTATTCACCTTACGCGGGAGTATCAAATAGCGAAAAGAAGGAGTGGTAGGAGAGGTAATCATCGCACGATAGCTAGTGGCAGCTCGACGAGTGAGTGAAGTGTCACGGCGTTTTGTTTATTTTGTGACCAAAAAGTAAAAACATTGTTTATCGCAAGTTTTCGTCTGTCTTTGTCAAATGTTCTTTGTTTTCAACCAGGAGAGTGTTAATCTTTCAGAAGATTATTGTATTTTTGATTTGTAAATAGGTTTTGGGTCTAATTCTAGGCATTTATTTACAATCCTACTTTTCTTTTAAAATTCCGGGTTGGGGTAAGTTGAGCAACTATAGCTCAACTAACTCTACGACTTAAACAACTGATGAGTAATGAATCTTTTATTTTTTGTTTGGATGCGGACTTACAAGAGGAAGACTACAAGATGTTCTTACACTACTGAATACTTAAATAATGCTGCAAAGGCTGTCCACGATGAGGGAAAAAGTGTGAATACCGCCGCTAAAGAATTCGGTATTGGTTGACTTTTAAATAAATTAAATGAAGGTGATGATTCATTTATGGGCTATACAACACCGAGGGAAGTATATCCTCTCTCACAAGAGAACTGTTGAAAAAATTCTTGCCACAAATGGCATTTTTCTCCAAAAGACGTCCGTCGCCTTGCCTAAGAGTGTGCTGAAATTCCACCAAGCTGAATTGCAAAAAAGATTTCCGGAAAAGAATGGTTGATGATGTTTTAAGAACAAAAAAATCGAAAAAAAAAGTATTCCATACAGAAACCAGAACCCACCAGCCTTGGTAATCTTTTTTAGAAATTATCGGAAGTAATGGATAGATATGGATGCTCATGTTTTGTTGATTCTAGTTTCGGTTAATTATACAAAGAAAATTTCTTTAAATTTTGTTGTTCTGTCAATAAAAGACTATAAATAAAAAGCTGACTGTCTAACACATATTTTATTTCATCTCAAGTTAACATAGAACCCATGGTTTGGCCTAGACATTCTTAGTGCTCAACTTGCACCATACCCTTGCTCAACTTACCCCACCTATGGGGTACATTGAGCATACTTGACTTTCTGCATTTAAACATCTGTAGCTATTATATTGGACTTGTTACAAAAAAATACTATGGACATTTTTGTTAAGGGATAAATTACTAATCCATCAGGACACATAACAACTCGTTGAGACTTATCATTGAGGAGCTATATCCAAGCAAGTGAAAAATTGCTCAACTAGCCCCGCCCTACCCTACTCGTAAACTAATATTAAGTCTGTTTATTTATTGACAGGCCACTTTTTCCAATATAGCCTCTAACGCTGGCTATTAATTTAGGCTTATATCACGTTAAAAACGTATATCTTAGAGTTTTATTCTTGAATTATTATCATTGAGATAGAAAAATGGATCTAAAAATTATAACATTAACTTTAAACAGTACAATACGGTTGTATTTTTTATATTAAATTTGTATGTAAAACTGTGAAAGTAGCGCGGTTTAATTTATCTATACACTCACGCCTCTTTCCCGAGGGGATGGGTAGGCAGAGACCACAGATCTCCACTTGCTACGGTGGATGAAGCGAGAAAAGCTGACAAATTCTCTCGCGTCATCCACATGACATTCACCGTGCTTGCTCTTTGTTTTTGGGTACTTATGGGGTATGGGTTTTATTTATGTATATTAAATAGGCGAATTAAATTTATTTTTTATCAGAGGACGATCTATTGCAAACGACTCGTCAGTACAGACTCTTTTCATGAACATAACCACGATGCATTCGAAGCTTTTGAAATATATTCAACAGCAAGACGATAAACGTGTTTATTTGGAGAGCTTACAAGTAAGTTATATTTATTTCGAATTATAGAAATGTTTGCAGGCGTAATTCAATCCATAATTTTAAACAATGTTATCGTGTTGGTTGGTTGTCTCGTTTTTGGGATATTTTAACATGACATAGCATGTACTATACAAATCATGTTTGTCATATCAGATGCACATTATGTGAAATACTGGAACATTGTATCTGGAATATTGAAGTTTGCCTGAAAATATTTTTAATTAATTTCCCTAGTGGCAAAAGCGTGTAACTCTCAGCCAAATAGACTTTTCTATGTGCGCATTTAATATAATCGTACTATCGTCACTAGAATAATAACCTCCTATGTCAAAAAAACATTTATTTTTTATTCTTAGACTCTTATATCATTTGAATCGGTAGTTTCAAAAAGAACATTAGTCATAATTTGTGTGTTTTGAGTTATTGTTGTCTATGGTACCCTTGAGGGTAGATCTATAAATCCCTAAAGAAAGAACATTAGTCCGATGAATATCAATGGAGCTACGTGGGATTGAAAATGTCAGTAGATGCAGAAACAACATTAGTCCCACTGAGGTGTGTAAGAACTTTGCAGAAACAACATAAATAACGTTTCAGACAGAACATTTGTCCCGAACTTACATTAGAAAGTTATATTCCTGATACTACACTACTACTACTAATACAACAGTGGATGATATGGAATAATATAATATAGGATAAGTGATAGATATAAGTTATAAAATAAAATATTCTTCCCATATTAGTTGCAGTAAAAACACAAGTCCAAATATTATAAATGTAAATATCTCAAAAAATACAAGTAGTACAATAAAAAACTATAGATGTGCTACTTCAGACTAATTAATTCAATAATTTGTGAGAAAAATCTACAAGACTTCAAAAGAAAGCAGATTGTGACTAATGTTCTTTTGAAATTACCGATTCATTTAACTGGTATAATCTAATGAAGTTAGGACTTATTTATGTTATTAATAAATAAGACCTTTTTACCATCCAAAACTATGGACAAAAGCACATAATAAAATTTTAACGAACATAGACGAAATGAAACATTTTTTCGTTTCCTGTTATGTTTGGTTCTCTGGACATACGAGGTTATCATTCTACAGCGACGCTATGTAAATTACTGAATCCGGTATGCCGTAGACCCAATCGTCGGAGTCACAGAAGGCTGATAACTTATTTATTTTGTATTTACAAAGAAACAATAAAACCGTTACTCTAAGTATGATGGCTTTCTCTTTTAGGATAAAATAAGTCAAGTACGCGATAGTCGCGCTGCATTGGACACGTTACGAGCAGAACACGCAGCGCGACTCGCTCAAGCGGCTGAAGCGGCTGAACGACAGCGACAAATGCAAATGGCGACTAAATTGCAGGCTATGAGGAAGAAGAAACACGAGTATCTGCAATATCAACGGCAGCTCGCCTTGCAACGAGTGCAAGTAAGCGTTTACGAAGTCGTGCATATAATATATTTATTACTTTACCAATATTTTTTTGACGGCTCATTGGTCTAGTGGTTAGTACCTCTGACTGCGAATCCATGGGTCCCGGGTTCGATCCCCGGCTGAGACTAACATCGATGTGATGAGCATTTGGTGTTGTGCTAAGGTCTTGGGTGTTTAAATATGTATTTATATGTGTATCTATCTATAATATGTATGTATATCCGTTGCCTAGTACCCATAACACAAGCTTCACCAGCTTAGCATGGGACTAGGTCAACTGGTGTGAATTGTCCAATCATATTTATTTATTTAAATATATGAGATTAGATAATGTATGAAATGTTATATAACTTGTTATCAATATCATTGTGTAGTTCTAATTAACAATGCAACAGCTTCATAATTACCATTATGATGATATTTCTAGATTAAAGAAGACAGTAACTGGTTAAATATATAAAACCTTAGAATATATTTAACGTTGGCCTTGCGTACTTTCAGGAACAAGAGCGTGAAATGCAAATGCGCCAAGAGCAGCAAAAGCACCAATACAGGATGTCAAGCAGTGGTTTCTATATGCCCGGCATGTCCATGCATCAGTTTCAGCCAGGGTTTCCTAACCAAATGATGTACAACCCTCAATTCCATCCTCAAATGGCTCAGAGTGACAACTCAAATCTCCCTGGCCAACCCCAAATGTCCCAACCAAACATGCCCATGAATGTCGGTCAAATGGGAACCATCTCTCAGTCTATGCCCCAAATGAGCAACACCTTCACAATGTCGAACTCGGCAGCTACCTTGACACAGGTTCCCCCTGTCCAAGTCCCCATGACCCAACCCAATATGCGCCCAATGGGACAACAGCATCCCATGCAGCAGATGATGATGCAGCAAATGCAACAGATGCGGCCACAACCTGGTATGCATCAAATGATGCCCAACGTCCCTCCAGGTCAAACTCAACCTAACCTTCCTAACCAAATGCCTAAAAATATTCCTAACCAATCACAACCCCCGAATACCATGATGCCTCCCATGACGATGCCTCAACCGAATATGCCGCATCAAAGCAATGCTAATAACATGTACGGCATGCAAATGAACATGAGAATGCCCCATACCCAAGGCAATCAACTTAACAACAACCCGTCAATAGCTGTCTCTGGATATCCGGTCAATGCTCAAAATCCACAAGTGTCTACTACGATGCCTAATATGCCGCAGGGAGCGCAAATGCCGGGACAGTCATCTTTACCAGGACATGGTCAACCAATGATGCCGGGCCAAAATATTCCCATGCAGAATCAGATGCCACTAAACCAAAATATGCCCCAATTACCTCCAAATCAAGGACAAATTCAACAACCTCAAATATCACAATCCCAACCAATGCCGGGTCAAACGCATTTCCAAAATCCACATCTTATGCAACCTCCGAATATGTCTCAACAAAACCCTCAGATGAATCCCGGTGCTCCAATTGTACAAAATATGCCCAACCAAAGTGCGCAACAAATTAACCCCAATAACATGGTGCCTTTATCGGTGCCACAACATTTGCACCCATCACAAATACCCCCACAAAGTATGCAACAAGGACAACCAATGGGCCCTCAGAATCAACAACTGCCTCAAAACATGCAGCAGCCTCCGAATTTGCCTCATAATATGCAACCACCACCGAACATGCCACTTCAACATATGCAGCAACAACCTCCAAACATGCCACCTCAAAATATGCAGCAGCAACCTCCAAATATGCAGCAGCAACCTCCAAACATGCCACTTCAAAATATACAACAACAACCTCAAAATATGCAGCAACAACCTCCAAATATGGCACCTCAAAGTATGCAGCAGCAACCTCAAAATATGCAGCAGCAACCTCAAAATATGCAACAGCAACCTCAAAATATGCAGCAGCAACCTTCAAATGTTGCACCTCAAAATATGCAGCAACCTCTAAGTATGCAACAGATTCCAAATATGCCTCATCAAAATTTGCAGCAACCTCCAAGTATGCAACAGCATGCAAATATGCCTCAACAAAACATGCAGCAGCCTATGAAAATGCAACAGAACTTTGGTAACAATCCTCAAAATCCACAAACTGTTGCAAATCAAAGTCAACAAGTCCAAACATTGATGAACAAATCGGAAAGTAATAATAACACTGCAGAACTTATAAGTTTTGACTGAATCAATCAAAAAGTGCTATTGTATGTATAAAATAGTAGGGATTTAGATTATACACAACAAAATATTTAAAATATTATGTAGAATTTTTAGTAGAGATGCTTCAAGGTTTTAATTTCATTGGTCGCGGTTATAGGTTTCGACATTTTTAAATACTTATTACGCAAAATTACGTACTAGATATAGATATGTTATTGTAATGTATGTAAATGTGATAAAGTATAAAAATAACTATGAGTAGTGAATTTAGAAATTGATTTAGTAATATATTGAAAACATTTAAAAACTATTATATTTTCTTTGCAAATAATTGTTTTGTATTAATATTATTGTAAGTTATGATTTCTTATATGAATATAAACAATAAAGTCTTAAACAAAATAAATTGTGTTTATTCATAGGAAATAAGATTCTATAAACTGAAGGAATATAACAATGTGCTTCAGTTTTAAAATGTATTTGACAAAGCGGTTGTCAACATATAAAATAAATATTATGTTAGGCATTTATTAGGCAGGCTATATATTTACAGTTCATTGTGTCAAATAAAATTTGTCTCTTCCTTTCTACAGTTTGTTGCTGCTAAAATGCTATTGGTAAAAACACCTTCAATGTTTTTTTAGATGCACCGTTTTATGCAACGAATTTTAGAGCTGTCTTAGTGTCTTCTATCAAAAAGAAATGTGTGCGTACAAAGTAAACATGACAGAAGTGAAACTTCTTTGGCAAACTAATTTTTAAGTCTTTTTCTATTTATACAAATCTAAAACTAGATTTCCGAGAGTGTCATTTAAATTTTAAGTGTCGAAAATTAATACAAATTATAAATTTTCATAAATTCTCTTTACGAAATTTTAATTTTAAAAATCGAATTTCTATAAGGTTATTCGCCCTTCTCACTCTCTCCCTTCGACAAAAACGCTGCACATCTTCGTGACGCTAATATTATTACTATAGCCCGTAAAAAATTTACACTCATACGCCTAAAGAAGTTTCACTTCAAAAAATTAAGCATAGTTTTCTGAAAAATGGTTGGTTATAATAATGGCTATCGGTCACGGTAATACAAAAGAAAGCCTTGAATTTAGCAAGTTTCATGAGGCAATCCCGCACAGACAATTTTAGTTAGTGAAAACCCTCGGCAGCCATTTTTTGTAACAAAACTATGGATTGCCAAACTATTTTTTTCTGTACAAAGTCAGACAGAGCTCAATACGAGATTGTGACATGAGAAACGAAGTAGAATTTGGACCTCATTAGGATATGATTTCCAAACTCGATTGCGGGCTTGAGACCAGGTCATTTTTAGTTGTTGTGATAATATACAAACACCAAATATATATTATAAAAGAAGAACAGGTCACATTTGTAACTAATAAAATCGATACAAAGATTGTTATTTTATTAAACACTCAAGAAAAACCTACCTACATTACATTGTAAGTTGCAATAAATGGATTGTGATCTGAGTTAAATAAAAAAGTGCGTGCGTACAAAGTAAGGTGATGGGGGCAAAATGCGCCATACTTTTTTCATAGTTGACTTTGGTGCAATATTACTTGTGCTTAAGTTCACGAGTGACACTAAATCATGGTACCATAAGGATCTGTGATGTTTTGCAACAACAACTAATGTCATGTCATTAGAATCTGACGGCAAATTAATGAATTTTAGCATAAAATTTGAAAACAGTCTGACCCGGCGCACTTTGCCGACAAATCGGGGAAGTGCGCCTTGTATTAATAAAACGCAATAATAAAGCATCAGAATAAAAACTGCCCTATATTATTTTAAGAAAACAAGCAACAATACGCATGTTGTTTTTTTTTCATAGCCACATTCTAGAAGAATCTATGTATTTAAAACTAAATTTCGGCTAAATGCGCCATACATTCTTAAGTCAGAGGCTATGAACCTTTTTTCTAAATATTGATAATCGAGTGTCAAGTATATTTTTTCTTTTATTAACGATGGGAACGATGAAACGATGGGATTATAAAGGGACTGAAATAAGAAGTAAGTCATTGAAATTAGTTATTAAGTGTAATATTTATTATAAATTCTAAACAAAACTAGGTAACGAAAAGAAAATCAATGAGAAACATCTTCTAAAACATATAAGTTGTAATTATTCGAAAACATTAATCAAGCAAGGCTTGTTACCCTTACAACTTAATAACTAAAGTGAAAGAGATCGAGTGAAATAATTATTAAAAAACAATAGGCGAATATCTAATAAACTTACGTTATGTTTTGGAATGGCACTTGAGCTTTGGTATATAACAAAATTCAGTAATTCTATATACCTATCTCAGTCAGTTTAATATTAGATAAAAATATTATAAAACTATTAAAATATTTGTAAGTTATAAAAATTAGTAACAGTAGTAACATATGCTTATGCGCGATATATTATCGCAATAACTTACTGCTAGGATCACTTGAATGCTTAAATATTAACTTTTAATAAAATAAAATTCTTTGTAGAAGTAAGTATTACTTAAGCACGTAAATTCAGTCTACGTTGATTTAAGTCTCAAAGTTTCAATGGACCTATTATAAGTTATAAATATAATCTAAGAAATGGCACTTCAACTTTGGTACATATAAAAATGAGTGTAATGAATGAGATACTAAATATACTAAACTAAATTAAGCATGTAAAAAACGTGTTTGTAAAAACAGCTTACTAAAAACGATACGTTACTGTATATTGAAGCTACCAAAATCAACATTGAATGATATTTGGCCCCGACGTGAAACTGTAGGCTTTGGCAAAATTGAAATAATATCTTCAACATGCAGCAATTCACATATATCGTCAACATTGGGGTATACAAAATGCAGTAATCCCTGTTTAGTTTGTGTTTTTCTTAAATATTTTACGGTAGGAATGTCGTTATTTATTTTGACAATCTGCCCCACATAGTGCTTCAGGCTTTTTTTTGCCGAAAATTTAACCAGTACCCAGTCCTGTTCTGTAAATTTGTGGGATTTTTCTTCATAATACTGGATGTCGGTAAATCCAAATGACATATTTTCTATTTCTTCCTCTGAATCTTTATCTTTTAAGTACATTTCAATATACGTTTTGAAGTCCTCATCTGTATCTGAATCATGAAGACTAAATTCACTATCGGTAGACAAGTTATCTTCAATTTGTTTGTTCTGTTTCTTCTGTCTTGGTTTTGTTTGTTTGATTTCGCATTTAATTTTTCTTTTTTTTTTTAAAGTTTTTAAAATAATTTCTCTTGGTTGAACAGGTTTTTGTCCAAAAAATATATCTTCACGAGACACTTTTTTATTTGGTTCTAAAGATATAATATCTTGCAAAACAGTTATTTTCGAGTTTGGATGGGTTACAGATTTTGTGGTTGTTGGTTTTGTGAGTTGTGATGGACAGTCAAACTGGACGATCTTGGAACTGCAATTTCATTTGTGTTAGGGTTGGCTAAATTCGTATTTGTACTTTCCGTAGGCTCTTTGAGTTTGCTCTTCATATCATTTTTCTTTTCTTTATTTTGTTTTTTAGTTTGTTCCTTTAATTTTGATTTTTTTCTTGTTTTCTCTCATTTTTCGTTTTTCTTCCATTTCTTTTTCCTTGTTATCGTCCTTTTTTTTCAGTCTTGCTATAACATCCTCATGAGTTATTACTTCAGCGCTTCCAGAAATCTTCACTAGTTTTTTTTTTGACACCAGTAGTCGGAACTTGTTTTATAGTTTCCAGAAATAAATCTTCAAACGATATTATTTCAGTGGTTTTAGAGTTAATGTTGCTTGTTGAAGTTTTGGTTGGAATTGTGTTTAAGTTCAATGAAAAGTTGATTTTGTTAAGGCATAATTTAGTTAATGTCATCGGAGAGTTTTGAGGAGATACTTGTTTTTTAGCCACCATCTTTTTCCACCTCTTTACAGCGTCGGGGTCTAATTTATGTTCCGGAACTGCATCCCTGCTAAATGGGTAAATCCCACTTTTTGCAAATCCATTTTTTATAATGTCGGGGTTTAAGGCTTCCCACACTTTTCCAACTATCCTCGAAAACTCGGCTTTGGGCAGTTTTTGGCCGTTGTGGGTTCTTTGCCACTTGACCATTTCCTGGTCCCAGGCATCTTTGAAAGGCTTAAAAACCGCCAAGTCCAACGGTTGCAGAATATGGCTGGTATGGGGAGGTAATTTTATGATCGTTATGTTGTGTTGTTTCTTGGGATAGCAAAGGTTAATGCGGCTGCATACCCAGACATTCTACCCGATCGAACAGCTTCGACTGCTTCATTCAAAGCCTCTCTGGACCATGAAGGACCTTCAGTTTTTCTTTCATAGCGCCCCATCTTAAACAAAAATCATAAACAATAAAATAATAATGATTTTATAATTTAACATCTTAATCGGTTTAAGATAACTGCTTTACAATTCATTAGCAAGATTTCACCCGAACATACAAACAAACAAGTAAACAAACATTGCAAGTTAAATAAAAGCTTGTAAAAAAGACACATTTTAAAAAGTTTGTAACCTCTGGATTTCGGCGAAGTGCGCCATATAATAAGTTAGTATGGCGCGCTTCCCCAACTATATAAATTTGAGGTTAGAATATTTAAATTGCAAGAAATATATACATTTTACTAGATAGGAGTGAAATAAAGTCAGAATCTTAAAGCAAAATATTTAAATTGTGCACTTACCTCACTCGTATAACGGTAAAAACTCGATTTCTTGAGATTTACGACGATGATCACGCCATAGTCATCTCTCCTCACCACTTTGAATATGAGTGAAAATAAAATTACTAATAAGACTAGAGCCATCTATGAGTTTCACTAAGAACTATGATTTAGTTTGTAGCATCGATATAAGGTCTTACTATAGGTCTACCAGGATCTGATGGCAAAAAGGGAAAAAAGAAATTGACGCTAGCAATACTGGGGAAATTGGAGTAAAACGTTTTGATACTTTTTTTCCTTATAGTGGCTGATTATGTGTGTGATACATGAAAATATAAAAATGTATCCAATGAACAAGGATAATTTTTGAAAATGTGGGTTTGAAATTTAGATGAAAACTCCAATTACTCTGTTCATGAGTTTATTAATTAATTAAGAACTTGAAAATGGTTCCAAATACTGCACATCCATAAAAAAGTCTTCAACGCCGTATTTATAATAAACCTTTCCTCCTGCATCTCAATTAACCGATCTTGTTCTATGAATTGATTTTCAATTTTTATTACATGTTCACAATATTTTCACCATTCATCGATCCCTATTTGAGAGAAAGAAACAGTGTACAACTCATTTATCTTGTTTCTGATCAATTCTAAATCAAAACTATCCAAGTTTATTTGTAGTATAAGAAACCCCTGAAATAAACCTAAGTTTAGTATAAGTACATAATATAATACACACGAAAAATCCCATAAACCAAAGTATCAAGACGTGTCATTCCTACTAACCAGTCAACGCTTGCACGTGGCTCAATATCGATGATTGTGTATGATCTGCATCTTGTTGACCAAGTATTCTTTGATAAACATTGAAAACAATATGTCTTGCTTGCGGTCGAAGAGGTTTCTTCGACATTTTCATCACTTTTTAAAAGAAATTTGAAGCCAAACCAAAAACAATTCCTCGAAATTTCACTTGACAGATGAATTTTTTCTTTTATTGCCATATGCAAATCGCTAATTTTTAAATTTTTTTTTGCCATCAGATTCTGGTAGACCTATACTAGTATCAAATCGGTAGTTTTCGAGATATTTGTGGTAGGTGCACTTGCCCGGTAGGCGCACTTTGCCACCGTCACCTTACACATGTCAGAAGTGAAACTTCTTTGGCAAACTAATTTTTTTCAGTAATAAAATTTTTATAAGGGTTTTAATGTGTATTCACCCTTCTCACTCTCTCTCAATCAGTCTCAATCACTCTCTCCCTTTTCTTCGACAAAAACGCTGCACATCTTCGTGACGTTCCGTAAAAAATTTACTCTCATACACCTAAAGACGTTTCACTTCAAAGTTTAAGACGATCCGAAAAACGAAAGGCATTAAGTCCATAATCCGCGGATCCGATAACTTACTATAATAAAATTAATAATTACGTAGGCTATTCAAGTGATCTGGTCGAAAAGCTTAAGTCTGCCCTTTGGGCGAAAAAAAGTAGATTCCCGCGAAAAGATGAGTATAAACTATAAAGTATAAACTAAATGATTTATAAACACTAAAGAGTCACACAGTGTAATCTGATTTCTGAATTCTGATTTCTGAATAGTAAAGTCTGAAATCTACGGAACAGACGACTAATAATTTATATGTTAATATTATATGTTTACAAAGTACTGAAGTTAAATTTCGAATTGTTTTGCCTTACCTTGTTCTCTAATAAATATGTATATACTGTTTGTATGAATAATTGGATAAAACGTAAAACTAATTGCCATGGAAGAGGAAAACCAAGATCGAACTTTTGCAGTTTGGCAAATGTTTAATGTGCCCACAATGGTCTTGTTCAATAATTTAGATCATGCAGAAGATGGTCTGGATCGATTGTTAACATCAATATTAAAACTCTCTGGGTAAGGTTATAGGTAACTGAGTTATTATTAATTTGATCTGATTTGTTATTCTATCCCACATATTTTTTTCATTCCAGAGACCGATCGGAAGTATTAGTACCCCGTCCCGGTTGTTCAAAGTGCCTAGAAGTTTATTATTCTGCCTTCAATACATGGTTGTTGGGAAGACTATTCTTTGTGTGTTCTGTACCTGAACTTCAAAGGTCAGAAAAATTTGGATATAATTCTAACAATATTCTATAAGAATACTATAAATAACTAAAAATAATTTGTTACAGAATTCACTCTGCAAGTAAAGATGCCCAATTAAAAGTATTAACTGTGTTATGTATGAATAAAGCATCATTTTTTCATAAGTTACATGAAGAATATTATTCGATACTGCAAAAACTAACACAGTTCTATAAGGAATTTCCTAAAGAAAAGACTGAAGTAGTACTTAAGAACTTTACACCTGACAATGTTAATATTCCACAAGTAAACCTTAACTTGGAGCCAATTTATGTCTGCATCAAAAATATTGAAACATGTAAAAACTTAATAGACATAGTTCTACAACTGTTATCAGAAAGCATCCCCCCCACCCTGATATATGAAAAGAAAGTGGTGAATAAAAACTTATTTCATTTAGCTTTGAATATGTTGGAACATTTCAGTATTGATATTAAAATAGTATGTTTTAGATTTTTTGTTGAACTTATATCCAACATAAAAAGTGTATCTATAATAGATTTTCATTTAGATTATGAAAGTGTACAATTAGATTTTTTGCATCTAATAGAAACATTTGTTCAATCTGTTGCTGTTTTATATGAAAAAGGAGAAATTAATGATAGGTACCTCAGTAGTTTAAATTTATTACTTCTTAAGTTATTGAAAATTATACACCACCACCTTGATAAGAGAAATCTAGACATAATATTAAATATCTGTACAATAGTTCTAAAAAGGACAAATAGCAAATTATTTAGTAGAGACTTGAAATTATTTTGCTTATCTCTAAGCAACATTGTAGAATTTCCTAAAGATATACTTGAAATTCAAAACCGAGATGAGTGTGAAATTGAAAATTTACATAAATATTATACAAAAAGCATATTAGCCACTTTATCTGATGAAACAAATAAGGCTGTGCTAAAAGAAAACTGGTTTTATAATGAAATAATAGAAGTTATAAAGTCAGTAAAGTTGTGTGAAGATTTACATGATGAATTTATAACCACACATCATTTACAAAGATGTAGAATTGCATTAAAATTATTGCAATATGTTCATGGTGCATATAGAAAACAAACATGCAAAGAATTTGATTTTTTAAATAAAGACATCAAAAGATCTGTATGGACAACATTCATAAAAAAGATAAAAAACAGAAGTATTATGCTTGAGGATCTAGATACTATTAAATTAACAATGGAAGTGATTCTTGGCATAAATTTATTAACTGAAAGAGTAACAAACGAGGAGGTTGCTGTAATTTTCCAAATAATATGTCTACAATGCCATGAACACTTCTCAGAGCAGAATTTATTATTCAGTGACCAAGTTAAGGCTGTGGTATTAAAATATTTGTTGATCAATAAATTAGTATTAGGTAAAGTTACAGACGCATGGAACAAATTGATAGTCACCTTCTATAGCTCGCTGTTGAGAAGTAAATCTGCAAGGTTACAGGTGAATTTAAAAAAAAATATTATTGACCATACAAGTTATAAATAATACTCTGATCTGAATTGTTTGTGTGTTACATTTTATAGGTAATTTTTTTATTTTTCAGGTAATACAATTAGTACCCTTACTTTTGAGTAACAAAATTATATCAACCAGCAAAGCGATAAGTGATATTTTTATGCCTGCGTTTCTTCAAAAGACAAAGATTTACAAAATACTATAGCCAGTAAATTATCTATGTTAGTATGTATGTCTCTCAGTACATATAGTGTTGTTAAAACAAATGAACCAATTGGGTATGTGTTGGATGAAAAATGGGATGTTTCTATTGTATGTCATGAATGCCATAAAGATAAAAATTCAACAAACAATTATTCAGAAACAATCAAAAAGACATATAGACAGTATTGCTTAGAAACAAATGCTTCAACACTGACCAATATTTCATCAACAAATGGTTTGAAGAACTTGTTTGGAAAGTTTTTGAACTATCAACAATATTCTGATTTAGATATATCTGAATTTTGGGCTACAATTGGAGAAATCAGCAAACATTATTATGTATTTGATTATGGAGTTTCTACTGCTGTTATTAATCAGCAAAACACCAAATATATTTTGAAAGCTTTGAAACCATTCCTTCAGTGTACTGATGTAAGTCATTTTGTATATATATTTTGTCTTAAACTGATCACAAAGTTAAAAAAAATCTTTTTTATTTGCCAATTGCATTTATAGTGAACTTTACTAAATAGGTGGTTAAAAAAACTATTTTGAAATCTCTAGAAAACCTATATAGATTTGACCTTTTATTTTTTAGGAAAATGAAGATTCCCCAACCCAAGAAACTGTTTTTAATATTTGCATAAACTTACTACTGAAATCCACTCAAGAGAGTTTAGAAACAAATGACTATAATATGCAGACAGAAACCTTAGATTGTGTTAAAGAACTTGGTTTATGTCGCAATGGTAAAGTGATTTTGCCGGTGACTAAACTTTTAGTTTACTTTATAATGCAGCCGCAGTGTTCTCTTGCCCCTAAAGCAGTTGTTTATCTCAGGGATGTTTGTGAATTCCAAGGGTACACCCCTAACCAAACATACCAAAGATATAAAAGGACTATTGCCGACTCTTCGTCGACTGCAGTCTCAATAATGGCAAAGATTTCGCAGTAGCACTGCTTAAGGTCGTCAGAGCCTTCGGATTTGTAGGCTATAGGGACTTTATCTCCAAGGATGTTCACCACTTTCTGCCATATTTGATGCCCTATTGCATTACTATAAAGGAAGTTCCCTTTATGATTGAAGAGATCGCGTCTTTAGTCCAATGTTCAGTATCAGATTTCCTCATAGAAAGATTTCCGCATATATATGTACATATCTATCTGACAGAAAATAAAGATGTTTCCAAAAAATGCTACGGCATTATTGAGAAGTTGACCAAAATGTCGGTTTTAAATTTGATTAAAAGACATTTTAGGATCATACTAACGGAGTTCCTCTTACAATATTGTTGCGATCCAGAAAAAGTGTTAAATGCGTGCAGATATTTAGCATGCCACGATCCGGATGTATCCACTCCTCAAGGAAGTTTATCTATGAGTACAACTCAGATAGCAGATTTTTTAAACCCTAAATTTCTTGGAGTGTTAGCGTACTTTGATCATAAATTAGTGAACGCAAAGGTAGCATTGTCAGTGAAGAGAAAAGCTTTGAAAAGTTTTCCAGACATAATACAGTTAATGGGAGTAAAATACCTAACACCACTGAGATATAAAGTACTCGCTACTTTGAGGTCTGCTTTGCCTCTCGTAAAAGAGTTCCCAAAGATTCTAGCGGAAGCATGGAGCGCTTTCATTCATAACATTGATACCATTTCATTAGGACCTCTGTTGCCCAATCTTGCTGTTTCCTTATTACAACAAATTCAGTACGCGCCGCAAGAGATCAACAAAATTTTTCAATACCTAATTCTAAACAATGAAAACTTATTGAGTTCCTATATTTCTGAACTATTTTTTGTCGACGATGCGAAAATATCCGAGAGAGTAAAGAGCGTAATTAAAAAACATGTAAGGAGAACTCAGCCTGACGGTTTCTTGGAGAAAATAAAATGGTATTTGCAGCATTTAAATCAAGATATTCCGAGCATAAAGGCATATTCATTTTCTCGTTTGAATAAACTGTTGAAATGTAATAGAAAAGAGTTGCACAAGGCTATATTTGGTGGAAAAAACATTGATCCTGTTATAGTAGAACTTATCGACTGTCTCTTAGTTGGTGAGTGTTTTTTCTTATGTAAGATATTTTTAATGACTACTTAAAGTTCGCGACTAAGGAAATTACATTGTATTGCAAGTAGTATCAAGAAGATAGGTGAGTTCTTGCATCGATATAGTAATTCATGGTGTTTTTAAACAAAGGTTTTCAACTTTTTATTAGAGGGTTAAAGACTTGTAATTGAGGGTTTATTATATATAATTGATATTTCTATTTTTTACTTGCCTGTCAAAAAAGTCAGTGAAACAAGCATAAGAATGGGGTCGATTCATTACCCAAGTTTCTTTAATATATCACAAAGAAAATCTCGCAATTTGAAATGATAAAAATTGCTGCTTTTCCCACATATATATTTTTGATTGTTGTATCAGATTGAAATTTATATTTTACAGGTTGCAAAGACCCCAATACCGAAGTAAGTGCTTCGAGTGGGTCATGTTTGGGTCAATTGGGAGCCATAGAGGCCGGTCATTTACCGAGACAATACGTACAACCAGATCGCTCACCATTTGCTTTTTCTATTAATGATAATTGTTTTGCTGCAACCGCGCTGATTGAATTGACTAGAGCTTTTCAGTATGAGAAAGATACTATGGTATGTATGGTTAATTTTTATAGTTACGTATGCTTATTTAACATAAAGGTATTTGTAGTACGAACAGAATTTTTGTATTAAATTGTTCTCGCTAAATATATATATATCATTGTTTACAAACAATTTGTATGACTCAAAACTTGACGATTTAAAAGAGTGGCGGAGAGTTTCTTGCCTTTTTCCGCTCTACGCCCTTGACTTGCGAACTGGTAGTAAACGTAAATTTAAAATCAATTTTCTGTTGACGGTTACCCCCATACGAATAAAGTTATTTTGAGTTTGAGTTTGATTACTATGTTACTAATAGACATTATTACACATGAGGAATTATTTCCAAAATTTCCAAGATGTCTCATAACTATTCATTGATGTACCTTTGTATAAAATTACATTAAAACCAGTGGAGCAAGAAATTTTAACAAAACTCAAGAACACTTCACAAAAATTTCAGAACATGGACTGCTACGCTCTAACAATACAAGAAATTCTGAAAATCTACGACATTTCACCAACAGGTTCCAAAAAGACGTGTGGGATAGTTTCCCCGAGAATATGCATCAAATAATGCTCCCTTTACTCAGCTCTAGATACACATTGGCCTATCCGTCTCAGCCAAAAAAGGCTCATCCACTATTCGGGTCCGTGTACGCTACTACCTTTTTAGAATGGTCGCATAATTGGTCGGGACAGTTGATACCTCTCATAGAATCGGATAATATAAGGGAATTACTTCGAACGGTACATCCAAGCATGCGGCGTGACGTCAGAACTCTGTTTTTGTTTCTACCCTACGTACTGTTACATGCAGTGATGTCGAAGAATAACGTTCAGTATATCCAAGAGGAAATGTTAGCGGTCATAAATACGTGCGCTGAAATTTACGAAAATGACGTCGCAATTACATCTGAACGATCGAAGTATAAAATGATACGCCATATTCGAATGACGCCTAATATTAATTATATACAGGCGGAGGAAGGCAACCAGGTAATAAGAATTATAGCAATCATTTGTTTCTCCTCTTTCTCGAACATTCGCCTCCATGCGGCGTAGCCCGAAGGTTTTTGCGCAGGACTCAGAAAGCAACCAATTAAAGTAGTGATGTTTCCCTAGTAGGAATTTTTATGTGTATGTATATTTCAGGGAAAATATAGCAAGACTGTCTACACTCTTTTAGATTTCCTAAATAGATGGCTTCTAGAGTGGATGCATACTAAGCAGCGTCCTCATGAGAACGAGAATTATAAGTAAGTACCTTTGTCTTCTTTATAAGCCTAGTTAATAAACTAATTTGTTTGATTATCCTTTTTTCATAGGGCAATACAAAAGTTTATAGAGAAATTTGATAAATTGGCAATAGCGAGAGGCAATTTCGCATGTGGGGAGCTGGAAAGGGCTCTACAGTACCTCGAGTTATACATGGATGGTGATAAGCAGAGGATCCAGAGTCAGTTACCATTTCTGGCTGAAATATATGCATTGTTGGATGAACCTGACTCTGTTGCTGGTAAGGCATTTATATAAACGATCTGATTTAAACTTCAAAAAGCTTCGTAAAGTATGCAGAACCGTCCTAGTTCTAACGCTGCTATTCCTAGGATGTGTAAGTTTAAAATTGTCCACTTCCTAACAGTTTCGCAGAGTTACCTTTTCCAACGCTGATTATGTATTAGTAATAATTAAAATATATAACTAAATAATTATGTAGTTTTAGCTATAGGTCTATTTTGTATGAACTTTTTGACATATTACAACATAATTATGGAAATTACTGGAATTTTGATAATAAAGTTATATGGTATTGTAATACTGTTTTACTGTCCTTATAGCAGACTTTATAGGCTTAGAATTTAGCTCTTTAAAATCTAATAAACTATTTTATTAACAGTTGACCACTACACAGCAAGTGGATATTTAAAGCAATTTTGAGATATAATACTGTAATCCGATGTAAAAAATCCTTATATATGGCACTCATTCCATATATTTTTTTAGTATTATGTACCTTAATAATCCAATTTATTAGAAACATAATTGTAATATTTTGATTCATTATATGCACATAACATGATTTTTTGGGTATGAAAAATATTTTGTATTTCCTACCATGTGCCGAATTGATGAAATTTACTTGGAATGTATTGAGATATTGAATGTACTCTGACTACAAAGTGCTACTTGAAATTAAAGATAATATAGTCTGCCAAAACTCCTGGATATAACTGTTACAGAAACAATATTCATTAATCAGATTACATTTTTGTTATAAATACCAGACAAACACACATCACATTATTTAAATGTACTATTACACAATATATTTAATTGTGCATAGTATATTTTTCTTTACCAACCTATATAGCCACCGGTTAAAAATATTGACTAAAAAAATTATTTATTATCTTACTGATTTTACAGCAGAAAAAGCCAGGTAAAACTGCTGAGGAGCTACAAGAGGAAGAGGAGTTGCAGCTAGCTCTTGCACTAAGTCAGTCTGAGGCGGAGCAGAAAGAGAAGGAGAAAGAGAGGCGATCGCGTACCTTTATAGCGCCAGAGCCGACCTCACATCCTACATGTAATATAATTTATGAAGTTTCCTATTAGTATATCTTATTCATGTTATATGTAATTAATGTACTGTGGACTAACTAACATAAGCCCTTACAAATATTAAAACAACTTTGTCTTTAGATTAACAAAGATTTGATTATAGAATATTATATAAGTATAGTGGAATCTATAACTCGAATGTCAAGGGCAATGCAAAAAAATCGAGTTCACGAGTTTTCGACTGAACAAGAACTTAGTACTTATGATTTAACTGGTGAAATTTCGACTTTCAGAGGCGCAATATCTAACAGTATTTTTAGATTTGTAGAGTTGAAATTGAATAACGATTCAACTTAAGTTTTGTAGTACCTATTATTATTACATATTAATGAAGTAAACTGTACGGCGTACGCTAAAAAATGCGTTACCTTCTTTTGATTTAAACTATTTACAGATGTTTTATAAACATAACGTTCATATACAGCTGTGAATACTTAGAAAGTTTTGTGAATGTATTCATTCATTGCACGTGGACATAAACAATAGATTAGAAGCCCCGAACCCACACATTCATTTTGGATTTTATTCTCTTAAAATCTCTTTAGTATCTCCATCGCCTTCATCGGTAAGCCCATCTCCAGAACACAGTACAACTGGGAATTCAGAGTTGTCCCGCTATCTGGATAGAAACTATTGGGAGCAGCGTCTATCCAACACTGCCGCGCCAACCGCACCTTCGTCTCACGGCACCAATGATAATATTGATGTGAGTATGCTATTTATGTAATATATGTTTTCTAGTCTAGGGCGTTTAATATCTATGGGACTAGTCAGCAACGCAGGTATAATTGTAATCTTCCTTAAATCTCATACCATTATGGGACGGATGCCACTTGGGTGGCCCCAAGTCTACTGAATTTTTTTCTTAGTAATGCGTATTTTTAGCCCAACAGGAGATTTGAAACTAAGACCTTGTCGGCAACTATGAGACTGTTAAGTATAGGTACTTTTAATGAGGAGTGAATATTCGTTTGTTAATTGTTTTTAACCGCGGTTCGCTGATACTTGCCGTCTGCCGAACTTTATTTCCTTCCTTTTTTGTATTCTGTTAAATTATATGAATCATGGATGAACCATATGTATACTTAAGTGCAGTGAAACCAGTTGTGGTCTAAGACATGAGGTTAATCCAGTTCTCTTAGAAAGTAAAATGTTGCAATTATACCATAATTTACCTACATGTAAGCATATAATCGGCTATTTGACAAATTCAAAACAACTTTATTCATATAGGCAAAGAAGTACACTTATGAACGTCAGACCGAACAGAAAAGATGTTAAATGATTCTAAATTTACATTTACTACCAGTTTGCAAGTCAAGGGCGTGGAGCGAGCAAGAAGAACTGGCGAGAAAACTGAACTCGTTTTAATTGCCAAGTTTTGAGTCATACAAATTGTTTGAATTGTAGCAAATCAATCCCAAGGATTAGGATCATTTAAATAGTCGCTTATAAAAAACTTTATGGATTAGTTTACGTTTAACAAGAGTTTTGAATTTATTCAGTCATAATTCTCTAATTAAGATTTAATACGCCAATTACGGAAATACACATATATTTCGATCAAAATATAGTCTCCGATCATATTAAACTCCAACTCGATTAACTCTGACCGTTTTGTGTCATGTGACTTGCTTTGACATTGCTGCATAACGCTTTTTAAAGCCTTGTTTTATACATATATAATATATCAATATCACTTTATTTTTTATACTGTCAAGTAGCCTATAGTTAAACATTATTTTATTAAATAATTTGCAGACAATGTTAGAAAACCTATATAACAATAATTATTGTTTGGGACTAGTAGGTATACTGTGTAGGCAAGTTCTAAGTTTTATAATTATTTTAGGATTTCGTAAAGCCTCCCACCGTTAAGACGCAAGATGACGAACCCGAAGATAAAGAAATAGATGAGTTTGTGGAGAATCTCAAATCGCAAGTCGAGATATTTGTCAATCGTATGAAGAGCAATTCATCGCGGTATGTATGCCTTGCTATAATGGTTGTAGTTGTGGTAGGTATGTAAGTGATAAAACGAGATTTTGCATGAAGAATTATACGGTATCTAAATTTTGATTCAATTTAAAAGTTTTTTTAAGAAATAAAAAATAATAACTTACTAATTCTCTGGTATGGCTAATTTCGTTTTGTTTGGTGAGTTTGGTAATTTTCTAGTTTTATTTCATAATTCCACGTATGTTTTAACATTTCACGTTACAGTCACAGTGCTATTAACATTTTTAAATTTATTTAATTAAGTAGGGTAGAGCGGGGCTAGTTGAGCATAGGGGCAAGTTGGGCAATCGAAATATCTCGGAAACTATTCACCTTACGCGGGAGTATCAAATAGCGAAAAGAAGGAGTGGTAGGAGAGGTAATCATCGCACGATAGCTAGTGGCAGCTCGACGAGTGAGTGAAGTGTCACGGCGTTTTGTTTATTTTGTGACCAAAAAGTAAAAACATTGTTTATCGCAAGTTTTCGTCTGTCTTTGTCAAATGTTCTTTGTTTTCAACCAGGAGAGTGTTAATCTTTCAGAAGATTATTGTATTTTTGATTTGTAAATAGGTTTTGGGTCTAATTCTAGGCATTTATTTACAATCCTACTTTTCTTTTAAAATTCCGGGTTGGGGTAAGTTGAGCAACTATAGCTCAACTAACTCTACGACTTAAACAACTGATGAGTAATGAATCTTTTATTTTTTGTTTGGATGCGGACTTACAAGAGGAAGACTACAAGATGTTCTTACACTACTGAATACTTAAATAATGCTGCAAAGGCTGTCCACGATGAGGGAAAAAGTGTGAATACCGCCGCTAAAGAATTCAGTATTGGTTGACTTTTAAATAAATTAAATGAAGGTGATGATTCATTTATGGGCTATACAACACCGAGGGAAGTATATCCTCTCTCACAAGAGAACTGTTGAAAAAATTCTTGCCACAAATGGCATTTTTCTCCAAAAGACGTCCGTCGCCTTGCCTAAGAGTGTGCTGAAATTCCACCAAGCTGAATTGCAAAAAGATTTCCGGAAAAGAATGGTTGATGATGTTTTAAGAACAAAAAAAATCGTAGCTATCCATATTCCATACAGAAACCAGAACCCACCAGCCTTGGTAATCTTTTTTAGAAATTATCGGAAGTAATGGATAGATATGGATGCTCATGTTTTGTTGATTCTAGTTTCGGTTAATTATACAAAGAAAATTTCTTTAAATTTTGTTGTTCTGTCAATAAAAGACTATAAATAAAAAGCTGACTGTCTAACACATATTTTATTTCATCTCAAGTTAACATAGAACCCATGGTTTGGCCTAGACATTCTTAGTGCTCAACTTGCACCATACCCTTGCTCAACTTACCCCACCTATGGGGTACATTGAGCATACTTGACTTTCTGCATTTAAACATCTGTAGCTATTATATTGGACTTGTTACAAAAAAATACTATGGACATTTTTGTTAAGGGATAAATTACTAATCCATCAGGACACATAACAACTCGTTGAGACTTATCATTGAGGAGCTATATCCAAGCAAGTGAAAAATTGCTCAACTAGCCCCGCCCTACCCTACTCGTAAACTAATATTAAGTCTGTTTATTTATTGACAGGCCACTTTTTCCAATATAGCCTCTAACGCTGGCTATTAATTTAGGCTTATATCACGTTAAAAACGTATATCTTAGAGTTTTATTCTTGAATTATTATCATTGAGATAGAAAAATGGATCTAAAAATTATAACATTAACTTTAAACAGTACAATACGGTTGTATTTTTATATTGAATTTGTATGTAAAACTGTGAAAGTAGCGCGGTTTAATTTATCTATACACTCACGCCTCTTTCCCGAGGGGATGGGTAGGCAGAGACCACAGATCTCCACTTGCTACGGTGGATGAAGCGAGAAAAGCTGACAAATTCTCTCGCGTCATCCACATGACATTCACCGTGCTTGCTCTTTGTTTTTGGGTACTTATGGGGTATGGGTTTTATTTATGTATATTAAATAGGCGAATTAAATTTATTTTTTATCAGAGGACGATCTATTGCAAACGACTCGTCAGTACAGACTCTTTTCATGAACATAACCACGATGCATTCGAAGCTTTTGAAATATATTCAACAGCAAGACGATAAACGTGTTTATTTGGAGAGCTTACAAGTAAGTTATATTTATTTCGAATTATAGAAATGTTTGCAGGCGTAATTCAATCCATAATTTTAAACAATGTTATCGTGTTGGTTGGTTGTCTCGTTTTTGGGATATTTTAACATGACATAGCATGTACTATACAAATCATGTTTGTCATATCAGATGCACATTATGTGAAATACTGGAACATTGTATCTGGAATATTGAAGTTTGCCTGAAAATATTTTTAATTAATTTCCCTAGTGGCAAAAGCGTGTAACTCTCAGCCAAATAGACTTTTCTATGTGCGCATTTAATAATCGTACTATCGTCACTAGAATAATAACCTCGTATGTCAAAAAAACATTTATTTTTTATTCTTAGACTCTTATATCATTTGAATCGGTAGTTTCAAAAAGAACATTAGTCATAATTTGTGTGTTTTGAGTTATTGTTGTCTATGGTACCCTTGAGGGTAGATCTATAAATCCCTAAAGAAAGAACATTAGTCCGATGAATATCAATGGAGCTACGTGGGATTGAAAATGTCAGTAGATGCAGAAACAACATTAGTCCCACTGAGGTGTGTAAGAACTTTGCAGAAACAACATAAATAACGTTTCAGAAAGAACATTTGTCCCGAACTTACATTAGAAAGTTACATTCCTGATACTTACATAGAATTTTATCAAACAATATATTTTGATTGGGCAACAACAACAGTGGATGATATGGAATAATATAATATAGGATAAGTGATAGATATAAGTTATAAAATAAAATATTCTTCCCATATTAGTTGCAGTAAAAACACAAGTCCAAATATTATAAATGTAAATATCTCAAAAAATACAAGTAGTACAATAAAAAACTATAGATGTGCTACTTCAGACTAATTAATTCAATAATTTGTGAGAAAAATCTACAAGACTTCAAAAGAAAGCAGATTGTGACTAATGTTCTTTTGAAATTACCGATTCATTTAACTGGTATAATCTAATGAAGTTAGGACTTATTTATGTTATTAATAAATAAGACCTTTTTACCATCCAAAACTATGGACAAAAGCACATAATAAAATTTTAACGAACATAGACGAAATGAAACATTTTTTCGTTTCCTGTTATGTTTGGTTCTCTGGACATACGAGGTTATCATTCTACAGCGACGCTATGTAAATTACTGAATCCGGTATGCCGTAGACCCAATCGTCGGAGTCACAGAAGGCTGATAACTTATTTATTTTGTATTTACAAAGAAACAATAAAACCGTTACTCTAAGTATGATGGCTTTCTCTTTTAGGATAAAATAAGTCAAGTACGCGATAGTCGCGCTGCATTGGACACGTTACGAGCAGAACACGCAGCGCGACTCGCTCAAGCGGCTGAAGCGGCTGAACGACAGCGACAAATGCAAATGGCGACTAAATTGCAGGCTATGAGGAAGAAGAAACACGAGTATCTGCAATATCAACGGCAGCTCGCCTTGCAACGAGTGCAAGTAAGCGTTTACGAAGTCGTGCATATAATATATTTATTACTTTACCAATATTTTTTTGACGGCTCATTGGTCTAGTGGTTAGTACCTCTGACTGCGAATCCATGGGTCCCGGGTTCGATCCCCGGCTGAGACTAACATCGATGTGATGAGCATTTGGTGTTGTGCTAAGGTCTTGGGTGTTTAAATATGTATTTATATGTGTATCTATCTATAATATGTATGTATATCCGTTGCCTAGTACCCATAACACAAGCTTCACCAGCTTAGCATGGGACTAGGTCAACTGGTGTGAATTGTCCAATCATATTTATTTATTTAAATATATGAGATTAGATAATGTATGAAATGTTATATAACTTGTTATCAATATCATTGTGTAGTTCTAATTAACAATGCAACAGCTTCATAATTACCATTATGATGATATTTCTAGATTAAAGAAGACAGTAACTGGTTAAATATATAAAACCTTAGAATATATTTAACGTTGGCCTTGCGTACTTTCAGGAACAAGAGCGTGAAATGCAAATGCGCCAAGAGCAGCAAAAGCACCAATACAGGATGTCAAGCAGTGGTTTCTATATGCCCGGCATGTCCATGCATCAGTTTCAGCCAGGGTTTCCTAACCAAATGATGTACAACCCTCAATTCCATCCTCAAATGGCTCAGAGTGACAACTCAAATCTCCCTGGCCAACCCCAAATGTCCCAACCAAACATGCCCATGAATGTCGGTCAAATGGGAACCATCTCTCAGTCTATGCCCCAAATGAGCAACACCTTCACAATGTCGAACTCGGCAGCTACCTTGACACAGGTTCCCCCTGTCCAAGTCCCCATGACCCAACCCAATATGCGCCCAATGGGACAACAGCATCCCATGCAGCAGATGATGATGCAGCAAATGCAACAGATGCGGCCACAACCTGGTATGCATCAAATGATGCCCAACGTCCCTCCAGGTCAAACTCAACCTAACCTTCCTAACCAAATGCCTAAAAATATTCCTAACCAATCACAACCCCCGAATACCATGATGCCTCCCATGACGATGCCTCAACCGAATATGCCGCATCAAAGCAATGCTAATAACATGTACGGCATGCAAATGAACATGAGAATGCCCCATACCCAAGGCAATCAACTTAACAACAACCCGTCAATAGCTGTCTCTGGATATCCGGTCAATGCTCAAAATCCACAAGTGTCTACTACGATGCCTAATATGCCGCAGGGAGCGCAAATGCCGGGACAGTCATCTTTACCAGGACATGGTCAACCAATGATGCCGGGCCAAAATATTCCCATGCAGAATCAGATGCCACTAAACCAAAATATGCCCCAATTACCTCCAAATCAAGGACAAATTCAACAACCTCAAATATCACAATCCCAACCAATGCCGGGTCAAACGCATTTCCAAAATCCACATCTTATGCAACCTCCGAATATGTCTCAACAAAACCCTCAGATGAATCCCGGTGCTCCAATTGTACAAAATATGCCCAACCAAAGTGCGCAACAAATTAACCCCAATAACATGGTGCCTTCATCGGTGCCACAACATTTGCACCCATCACAAATACCCCCACAAAGTATGCAACAAGGACAACCAATGGGCCCTCAGAATCAACAACTGCCTCAAAACATGCAGCAGCCTCCGAATTTGCCTCATAATATGCAACCACCACCGAACATGCCACTTCAACATATGCAGCAACAACCTCCAAACATGCCACCTCAAAATATGCAGCAGCAACCTCCAAATATGCAGCAGCAACCTCCAAACATGCCACTTCAAAATATACAACAACAACCTCAAAATATGCAGCAACAACCTCCAAATATGGCACCTCAAAGTATGCAGCAGCAACCTCAAAATATGCAGCAGCAACCTCAAAATATGCAACAGCAACCTCAAAATATGCAGCAGCAACCTTCAAATGTTGCACCTCAAAATATGCAGCAACCTCTAAGTATGCAACAGATTCCAAATATGCCTCATCAAAATTTGCAGCAACCTCCAAGTATGCAACAGCATGCAAATATGCCTCAACAAAACATGCAGCAGCCTATGAAAATGCAACAGAACTTTGGTAACAATCCTCAAAATCCACAAACTGTTGCAAATCAAAGTCAACAAGTCCAAACATTGATGAACAAATCGGAAAGTAATAATAACACTGCAGAACTTATAAGTTTTGACTGAATCAATCAAAAAGTGCTATTGTATGTATAAAATAGTAGGGATTTAGATTATACACAACAAAATATTTAAAATATTATGTAGAATTTTTAGTAGAGATGCTTCAAGGTTTTAATTTCATTGGTCGCGGTTATAGGTTTCGACATTTTTAAATACTTATTACGCAAAATTACGTACTAGATATAGATATGTTATTGTAATGTATGTAAATGTGATAAAGTATAAAAATAACTATGAGTAGTGAATTTAGAAATTGATTTAGTAATATATTGAAAACATTTAAAAACTATTATATTTTCTTTGCAAATAATTGTTTTGTATTAATATTATTGTAAGTTATGATTTCTTATATGAATATAAACAATAAAGTCTTAAACAAAATAAATTGTGTTTATTCATAGGAAATAAGATTCTATAAACTGAAGGAATATAACAATGTGCTTCAGTTTTAAAATGTATTTGACAAAGCGGTTGTCAACATATAAAATAAATATTATGTTAGGCATTTATTAGGCAGGCTATATATTTACAGTTCATTGTGTCAAATAAAATTTGTCTCTTCCTTTCTACAGTTTGTTGCTGCTAAAATGCTATTGGTAAAAACACCTTCAATGTTTTTTAGATGCACCGTTTTATGCAACGAATTTTAGAGCTGTCTTAGTGTCTTCTATCAAAAAAGAAATGTGTGCGTACAAAGTAAACATGACAGAAGTGAAACTTCTTTGGCAAACTAATTTTTAAGTCTTTTTCATATTTATACAAATCTAAAACTAGATTTCCGAGAGTGTCATTTAAATTTTAAGTGTCGAAAATTAATACAAATTATAAATTTTCATAAATTCTCTTTACGAAATTTTAATTTTAAAAATCGAATTTCTATAAGGTTATTCGCCCTTCTCACTCTCTCCCTTCGACAAAAACGCTGCACATCTTCGTGACGCTAATATTATTACTATAGCCCGTAAAAAATTTACACTCATACGCCTAAAGAAGTTTCACTTCAAAAATTAAGCATAGTTTTCTGAAAAATGGTTGGTTATAATAATGGCTATCGGTCACGGTAATACAAAAGAAAGCCTTGAATTTAGCAAGTTTCATGAGGCAATCCCGCACAGACAATTTTAGTTAGTGAAAACCCTCGGCAGCCATTTTTTGTAACAAAACTATGGATTGCCAAACTATTTTTTTCTGTACAAAGTCAGACAGAGCTCAATACGAGATTGTGACATGAGAAACGAAGTAGAATTTGGACCTCATTAGGATATGATTTCCAAACTCGATTGCGGGCTTGAGACCAGGTCATTTTTAGTTGTTGTGATAATATACAAACACCAAATATATATTATAAAAGAAGAACAGGTCACATTTGTAACTAATAAAATCGATACAAAGATTGTTATTTTATTAAACACTCAAGAAAAACCTACCTACATTACATTGTAAGTTGCAATAAATGGATTGTGATCTGAGTTAAATAAAAAAGTGCGTGCGTACAAAGTAAGGTGATGGGGGCAAAATGCGCCATACTTTTTCATAGTTGACTTTGGTGCAATATTACTTGTGCTTAAGTTCACGAGTGACACTAAATCATGGTACCATAAGGATCTGTGATGTTTTGCAACAACAACTAATGTCATGTCATTAGAATCTGACGGCAAATTAATGAATTTTAGCATAAAATTTGAAAACAGTCTGACCCGGCGCACTTTGCCGACAAATCGGGGAAGTGCGCCTTGTATTAATAAAACGCAATAATAAAGCATCAGAATAAAAACTGCCCTATATTATTTTAAGAAAACAAGCAACAATACGCATGTTGTTTTTTTTCATAGCCACATTCTAGAAGAATCTACAGGTAAATTAGCTTGGAGAAATTTTTGCGTTTGTAGTAGTGTATGGTCAGCAAATAAAAAAAAAACAACATTTTATTTTTAGTTTTTATTTTTTTAAAGGTAATATACGTTTGTGGCTGGAGCACACCAAATGCGTACACGTCTACGCATACGCACTACGTACTAATACGGACGTGAAAATGTGTATCCACTGCATTGTAATCTATGGAACTGTATGAGGCAGATAAGCCAGTTCCAAATATTACAAGCAGTGAATGCCGGTTTTCACTTCAGTGAAGACGTGTATGAATTAGGTGTTCTCCGGCCATAAATGTTTTATTCTAATAATTCATCAACCCCAGGCATATCACAATCATCCCCATCCTCGCTTTCATCAGATGAATTATTTAAATTAATTATGATTCGTTCTGATATTGTGTCTAAAGCTGCGTCTCTACCCTGATATTTGTTTTCCTCCTCAATAGCATGCAGACAAACTTTTCTCCATTCCTCTACAGTTATGGCGTTCATTTTTTCTTCAGCTAATGACATTATAACCTTCATATTCATTGCGACATTCTTTTTTGCGACATATGTTTTCACTATCCCCCATATATTTTCTATAGGATTAAACTCCGGATGGTATGGTGGTAAACGCAGCACAGTATGACCGTGCTGTCGTAATATTTCGTCTATCTTGTACTCTACAAATCTCGCCTTGTTTTGCAGAATCAGTTCATATAATTGAGGCTTAAGCAACGTGGATGAATGCTCAATGTTTCGCAATGTCAGCCAGTCAATCATTTGCTGTTTTCTAGAATTACTATTCGGTGCAGGATTTTGTATTGAGTTATGATATGGTGCGTTGTCAACAACAACAACACTATTTGGTTGTAAGTTGGGTATTAATTGAGTTTGAATCCACCTTGAATAGTTGTCATAGTTCATATTGTCGTGGTAATCTCCACTTTTTTGGTTGGCTTTAAACATAAGCAATGCATTTGGTATAAAGCCATCCATACCACCGGCATGAACAATGATTAAGCGGTTGCCTTTCGATATATGTTGCTTCAAACCTGAAGTGCTTCCATCTGACCAAGATTTCGAGAGGGTATGTGATGTATGTATATATGTTTCGTCGGTGTAAACAATTGGTCGGCGTTGTTCACGATATTCAGCAATTTTCATCAAATAATTAATTCGCAAGTATCTAATTTCGTGTTTTTCCATAAGAAGTTTCCGGTTATCTTCTGTTTGCTTCCAATTAAAACCTAATGACATGACGTGTTTTCGTAACGTGCTGACACAACCTTTATAATCGATATCTTCTTTTAATTTTGCGTGCAAAGTTTTCAAAGTGGGAATTTCTTTATTTGTGATGTGGAAGTCATGAATTGTTCTTCTGATAACTTGCTGATCAAAGTTATCGATTACTATTGTAGGTTTACGATTCGGTTTCTTTTTAGGAGATTTAAATGTTACTTCCTGATCTGAAGGTCGACATTTGCTTTCTGATACTACCTTTCTGACGGATGCTATTGAAATTCCCGTTGATTTAGCAACTAATTGAGTGGGAGTCATAATACTGCTCGGGTTGTTATTACACTCATTTTCGAAATATTTGTACAAACAGTACAAAACTTCTTTAGTTTGAGAAGTCAAAGGCTTGCCTCGACCATGTTTTAACACTGGAGCCATTTTTAATTAACAATATAAAGTTGCAACACTTACACACAAATTAAACACTTCAACAAATATTATAACAATAATAACAAACAATAACAACAATCAACAAATACAAAATTTAACAATTAACGTAATAATTATAATTTTTGAATGAAATGTGTGCTTTATGTTCTAACAGTACCAAGCGACTGACGCCGGACTGCACGTGGCACCTGCGGACAGCGTAAACTGGTTTATTCTGGTTTTGTGCGTGTTTCCACTTTCCACTATCAAGTGACGATTTTTTGCTTTAGATTGAAATATCTCGGAAACGGTGCGTCCTAGGCCAAAAATAAATTTTGACCCCCCCGTAGACCCCCGGAGTTTTAAAAACCTAGATGAAAGGAAAAAAAATATATATCGGTCTCTCCTCTTTGAAGTTTCACTTCTATCGTGTGTGAATCGCGCACACACCTTTTTTTTATAAAGTCAAAACCTTTTTTTTTAAATAAAAACTTGTTTTTATTGATAACAAAAATCAGAGTGTTGCTAGGGATAAGTATAATATTAAATAGTAATGTTAGGATATCGAAACATTTTTGTATAGGCCAGAACGATATAGTGGAAACGCGCTCTAAGATCTGAGTAATATACACACCACTACATATGCAAAAATTTCTCGAGACTAATTTCACTGTATGTATTTAAAACTAAATTTCGGCTAAATGCGCCATACATTCTTAAGTCAGAGGCTATGAACCTTTTTTCTAAATATTGATAATCGAGTGTCAAGTATATTTTTTCTTTTATTAACGATGGGAACGATGAAACGATGGGATTATAAAGGGACTGAAATAAGAAGTAAGTCATTGAAATTAGTTATTAAGTGTAATATTTATTATAAATTCTAAACAAAACTAGGTAACGAAAAGAAAATCAATGAGAAACATCTTCTAAAACATATAAGTTGTAATTATTCGAAAACATTAATCAAGCAAGGCTTGTTACCCTTACAACTTAATAACTAAAGTGAAAGAGATCGAGTGAAATAATTATTAAAAAACAATAGGCGAATATCTAATAAACTTACGTTATGTTTTGGAATGGCACTTGAGCTTTGGTATATAACAAAATTCAGTAATTCTATATACCTATCTCAGTCAGTTTAATATTAGATAAAAATATTATAAAACTATTAAAATATTTGTAAGTTATAAAAATTAGTAACAGTAGTAACATATGCTTATGCGCGATATATTATCGCAATAACTTACTGCTAGGATCACTTGAATGCTTAAATATTAACTTTTAATAAAATAAAATTCTTTGTAGAAGTAAGTATTACTTAAGCACGTAAATTCAGTCTACGTTGATTTAAGTCTCAAAGTTTCAATGGACCTATTATAAGTTATAAATATAATCTAAGAAATGGCACTTCAACTTTGGTACATATAAAAATGAGTGTAATGAATGAGATACTAAATATACTAAACTAAATTAAGCATGTAAAAAACGTGTTTGTAAAAACAGCTTACTAAAAACGATACGTTACTGTATATTGAAGCTACCAAAATCAACATTGAATGATATTTGGCCCCGACGTGAAACTGTAGGCTTTGGCAAAATTGAAATAATATCTTCAACATGCAGCAATTCACATATATCGTCAACATTGGGGTATACAAAATGCAGTAATCCCTGTTTAGTTTGTGTTTTTCTTAAATATTTTACGGTAGGAATGTCGTTATTTATTTTGACAATCTGCCCCACATAGTGCTTCAGGCTTTTTTTTGCCGAAAATTTAACCAGTACCCAGTCCTGTTCTGTAAATTTGTGGGATTTTTCTTCATAATACTGGATGTCGGTAAATCCAAATGACATATTTTCTATTTCTTCCTCTGAATCTTTATCTTTTAAGTACATTTCAATATACGTTTTGAAGTCCTCATCTGTATCTGAATCATGAAGACTAAATTCACTATCGGTAGACAAGTTATCTTCAATTTGTTTGTTCTGTTTCTTCTGTCTTGGTTTTGTTTGTTTGATTTCGCATTTAATTTTTCTTTTTTTTTTTAAAGTTTTTAAAATAATTTCTCTTGGTTGAACAGGTTTTTGTCCAAAAAATATATCTTCACGAGACACTTTTTTATTTGGTTCTAAAGATATAATATCTTGCAAAACAGTTATTTTCGAGTTTGGATGGGTTACAGATTTTGTGTTGTTGGTTTTGTGAGTTGTGATGGACAGTCAAACTGGACGATCTTGGAACTGCAATTTCATTTGTGTTAGGGTTGGCTAAATTCGTATTTGTACTTTCCGTAGGCTCTTTGAGTTTGCTCTTCATATCATTTTTCTTTTCTTTATTTTGTTTTTTAGTTTGTTCCTTTAATTTTGATTTTTTCTTGTTTTCTCTCATTTTTCGTTTTTCTTCCATTTCTTTTTCCTTGTTATCGTCCTTTTTTTTCAGTCTTGCTATAACATCCTCATGAGTTATTACTTCAGCGCTTCCAGAAATCTTCACTAGTTTTTTTTTGACACCAGTAGTCGGAACTTGTTTTATAGTTTCCAGAAATAAATCTTCAAACGATATTATTTCAGTGGTTTTAGAGTTAATGTTGCTTGTTGAAGTTTTGGTTGGAATTGTGTTTAAGTTCAATGAAAAGTTGATTTTGTTAAGGCATAATTTAGTTAATGTCATCGGAGAGTTTTGAGGAGATACTTGTTTTTTAGCCACCATCTTTTTCCACCTCTTTACAGCGTCGGGGTCTAATTTATGTTCCGGAACTGCATCCCTGCTAAATGGGTAAATCCCACTTTTTGCAAATCCATTTTTTATAATGTCGGGGTTTAAGGCTTCCCACACTTTTCCAACTATCCTCGAAAACTCGGCTTTGGGCAGTTTTTGGCCGTTGTGGGTTCTTTGCCACTTGACCATTTCCTGGTCCCAGGCATCTTTGAAAGGCTTAAAAACCGCCAAGTCCAACGGTTGCAGAATATGGCTGGTATGGGGAGGTAATTTTATGATCGTTATGTTGTGTTGTTTCTTGGGATAGCAAAGGTTAATGCGGCTGCATACCCAGACATTCTACCCGATCGAACAGCTTCGACTGCTTCATTCAAAGCCTCTCTGGACCATGAAGGACCTTCAGTTTTTCTTTCATAGCGCCCCATCTTAAACAAAAATCATAAACAATAAAATAATAATGATTTTATAATTTAACATCTTAATCGGTTTAAGATAACTGCTTTACAATTCATTAGCAAGATTTCACCCGAACATACAAACAAACAAGTAAACAAACATTGCAAGTTAAATAAAAGCTTGTAAAAAAGACACATTTTAAAAAGTTTGTAACCTCTGGATTTCGGCGAAGTGCGCCATATAATAAGTTAGTATGGCGCGCTTCCCCAACTATATAAATTTGAGGTTAGAATATTTAAATTGCAAGAAATATATACATTTTACTAGATAGGAGTGAAATAAAGTCAGAATCTTAAAGCAAAATATTTAAATTGTGCACTTACCTCACTCGTATAACGGTAAAAACTCGATTTCTTGAGATTTACGACGATGATCACGCCATAGTCATCTCTCCTCACCACTTTGAATATGAGTGAAAATAAAATTACTAATAAGACTAGAGCCATCTATGAGTTTCACTAAGAACTATGATTTAGTTTGTAGCATCGATATAAGGTCTTACTACTAGTATCAAATCGGTAGTTTTCGAGATATTTGTGGTAGGTGCACTTGCCCGGTAGGCGCACTTTGCCACCGTCACCTTACACATGTCAGAAGTGAAACTTCTTTGGCAAACTAATTTTTTTCAGTAATAAAATTTTTATAAGGGTTTTAATGTGTATTCACCCTTCTCACTCTCTCTCAATCAGTCTCAATCACTCTCTCCCTTTTCTTCGACAAAAACGCTGCACATCTTCGTGACGTTCCGTAAAAAATTTACTCTCATACACCTAAAGACGTTTCACTTCAAAGTTTAAGACGATCCGAAAAACGAAAGGCATTAAGTCCATAATCCGCGGATCCGATAACATACTATAATAAAATTAATAATTACGTAGGCTATTCAAGTGATCTGGTCGAAAAGCTTAAGTCTGCCCTTTGGGCGAAAAAAAGTAGATTCCCGCGAAAAGATGAGTATAAACTATAAAGTATAAACTAAATTCTAAATGATTTATAAACACTAAAGAGTCACACAGTGTAATCTGATTTCTGAATTCTGATTTCTGAATAGTAAAGTCTGAAATCTACGGAACAGACGACTAATAATTTATATGTTAATATTATATGTTTACAAAGTACTGAAGTTAAATTTCGAATTGTTTTGCCTTACCTTGTTCTCTAATAAATATGTATATACTGTTTGTATGAATAATTGGATAAAACGTAAAACTAATTGCCATGGAAGAGGAAAACCAAGATCGAACTTTTGCAGTTTGGCAAATGTTTAATGTGCCCACAATGGTCTTGTTCAATAATTTAGATCATGCAGAAGATGGTCTGGATCGATTGTTAACATCAATATTAAAACTCTCTGGGTAAGGTTATAGGTAACTGAGTTATTATTAATTTGATCTGATTTGTTATTCTATCCCACATATTTTTTTCATTCCAGAGACCGATCGGAAGTATTAGTACCCCGTCCCGGTTGTTCAAAGTGCCTAGAAGTTTATTATTCTGCCTTCAATACATGGTTGTTGGGAAGACTATTCTTTGTGTGTTCTGTACCTGAACTTCAAAGGTCAGAAAAATTTGGATATTATTCTAGCGATATTCTATAATACTATACTATAAATAACTAAAAATAATTTGTTACAGAATTCACTCTGCAAGTAAAGATGCCCAATTAAAAGTATTAACTGTGTTATGTATGAATAAAGCATCATTTTTTCATAAGTTACATGAAGAATATTATTCGATACTGCAAAAACTAACACAGTTCTATAAGGAATTTCCTAAAGAAAAGACTGAAGTAGTACTTAAGAACTTTACACCTGACAATGTTAATATTCCACAAGTAAACCTTAACTTGGAGCCAATTTATGTCTGCATCAAAAATATTGAAACATGTAAAAACTTAATAGACATAGTTCTACAACTGTTATCAGAAAGCATCCCCCCCACCCTGATATATGAAAAGAAAGTGGTGAATAAAAACTTATTTCATTTAGCTTTGAATATGTTGGAACATTTCAGTATTGATATTAAAATAGTATGTTTTAGATTTTTTGTTGAACTTATATCCAACATAAAAAGTGTATCTATAATAGATTTTCATTTAGATTATGAAAGTGTACAATTAGATTTTTTGCATCTAATAGAAACATTTGTTCAATCTGTTGCTGTTTTATATGAAAAAGGAGAAATTAATGATAGGTACCTCAGTAGTTTAAATTTATTACTTCTTAAGTTATTGAAAATTATACACCACCACCTTGATAAGAGAAATCTAGACATAATATTAAATATCTGTACAATAGTTCTAAAAAGGACAAATAGCAAATTATTTAGTAGAGACTTGAAATTATTTTGCTTATCTCTAAGCAACATTGTAGAATTTCCTAAAGATATACTTGAAATTCAAAACCGAGATGAGTGTGAAATTGAAAATTTACATAAATATTATACAAAAAGCATATTAGCCACTTTATCTGATGAAACAAATAAGGCTGTGCTAAAAGAAAACTGGTTTTATAATGAAATAATAGAAGTTATAAAGTCAGTAAAGTTGTGTGAAGATTTACATGATGAATTTATAACCACACATCATTTACAAAGATGTAGAATTGCATTAAAATTATTGCAATATGTTCATGGTGCATATAGAAAACAAACATGCAAAGAATTTGATTTTTTAAATAAAGACATCAAAAGATCTGTATGGACAACATTCATAAAAAAGATAAAAAACAGAAGTATTATGCTTGAGGATCTAGATACTATTAAATTAACAATGGAAGTGATTCTTGGCATAAATTTATTAACTGAAAGAGTAACAAACGAGGAGGTTGCTGTAATTTTCCAAATAATATGTCTACAATGCCATGAACACTTCTCAGAGCAGAATTTATTATTCAGTGACCAAGTTAAGGCTGTGGTATTAAAATATTTGTTGATCAATAAATTAGTATTAGGTAAAGTTACAGACGCATGGAACAAATTGATAGTCACCTTCTATAGCTCGCTGTTGAGAAGTAAATCTGCAAGGTTACAGGTGAATTTAAAAAAAAAATATTATTGACCATACAAGTTATAAATAATACTCTGATCTGAATTGTTTGTGTGTTACATTTTATAGGTAATTTTTTTATTTTTCAGGTAATACAATTAGTACCCTTACTTTTGAGTAACAAAATTATATCAACCAGCAAAGCGATAAGTGATATTTTTATGCCTGCGTTTCTTCAAAAAGACAAAGATTTACAAAATACTATAGCCAGTAAATTATCTATGTTAGTATGTATGTCTCTCAGTACATATAGTGTTGTTAAAACAAATGAACCAATTGGGTATGTGTTGGATGAAAAATGGGATGTTTCTATTGTATGTCATGAATGCCATAAAGATAAAAATTCAACAAACAATTATTCAGAAACAATCAAAAAGACATATAGACAGTATTGCTTAGAAACAAATGCTTCAACACTGACCAATATTTCATCAACAAATGGTTTGAAGAACTTGTTTGGAAAGTTTTTGAACTATCAACAATATTCTGATTTAGATATATCTGAATTTTGGGCTACAATTGGAGAAATCAGCAAACATTATTATGTATTTGATTATGGAGTTTCTACTGCTGTTATTAATCAGCAAAACACCAAATATATTTTGAAAGCTTTGAAACCATTCCTTCAGTGTACTGATGTAAGTCATTTTGTATATATATTTTGTCTTAAACTGATCACAAAGTTAAATAAAATCTTTTTTATTTGCCAATTGCATTTATAGTGAACTTTACTAAATAGGTGGTTAAAAAAACTATTTTGAAATCTCTAGAAAACCTATATAGATTTGACCTTTTATTTTTTAGGAAAATGAAGATTCCCCAACCCAAGAAACTGTTTTTAATATTTGCATAAACTTACTACTGAAATCCACTCAAGAGAGTTTAGAAACAAATGACTATAATATGCAGACAGAAACCTTAGATTGTGTTAAAGAACTTGGTTTATGTCGCAATGGTAAAGTGATTTTGCCGGTGACTAAACTTTTAGTTTACTTTATAATGCAGCCGCAGTGTTCTCTTGCCCCTAAAGCAGTTGTTTATCTCAGGGATGTTTGTGAATTCCAAGGGTACACCCCTAACCAAACATACCAAAGATATAAAAAGGACTATTGCCGACTCTTCGTCGACTGCAGTCTCAATAATGGCAAAGATTTCGCAGTAGCACTGCTTAAGGTCGTCAGAGCCTTCGGATTTGTAGGCTATAGGGACTTTATCTCCAAGGATGTTCACCACTTTCTGCCATATTTGATGCCCTATTGCATTACTATAAAGGAAGTTCCCTTTATGATTGAAGAGATCGCGTCTTTAGTCCAATGTTCAGTATCAGATTTCCTCATAGAAAGATTTCCGCATATATATGTACATATCTATCTGACAGAAAATAAAGATGTTTCCAAAAAATGCTACGGCATTATTGAGAAGTTGACCAAAATGTCGGTTTTAAATTTGATTAAAAGACATTTTAGGATCATACTAACGGAGTTCCTCTTACAATATTGTTGCGATCCAGAAAAAGTGTTAAATGCGTGCAGATATTTAGCATGCCACGATCCGGATGTATCCACTCCTCAAGGAAGTTTATCTATGAGTACAACTCAGATAGCAGATTTTTTAAACCCTAAATTTCTTGGAGTGTTAGCGTACTTTGATCATAAATTAGTGAACGCAAAGGTAGCATTGTCAGTGAAGAGAAAAGCTTTGAAAAGTTTTCCAGACATAATACAGTTAATGGGAGTAAAATACCTAACACCACTGAGATATAAAGTACTCGCTACTTTGAGGTCTGCTTTGCCTCTCGTAAAAGAGTTCCCAAAGATTCTAGCGGAAGCATGGAGCGCTTTCATTCATAACATTGATACCATTTCATTAGGACCTCTGTTGCCCAATCTTGCTGTTTCCTTATTACAACAAATTCAGTACGCGCCGCAAGAGATCAACAAAATTTTTCAATACCTAATTCTAAACAATGAAAACTTATTGAGTTCCTATATTTCTGAACTATTTTTTGTCGACGATGCGAAAATATCCGAGAGAGTAAAGAGCGTAATTAAAAAACATGTAAGGAGAACTCAGCCTGACGGTTTCTTGGAGAAAATAAAATGGTATTTGCAGCATTTAAATCAAGATATTCCGAGCATAAAGGCATATTCATTTTCTCGTTTGAATAAACTGTTGAAATGTAATAGAAAAGAGTTGCACAAGGCTATATTTGGTGGAAAAAACATTGATCCTGTTATAGTAGAACTTATCGACTGTCTCTTAGTTGGTGAGTGTTTTTTCTTATGTAAGATATTTTTAATGACTACTTAAAGTTCGCGACTAAGGAAATTACATTGTATTGCAAGTAGTATCAAGAAGATAGGTGAGTTCTTGCATCGATATAGTAATTCATGGTGTTTTTAAACAAAGGTTTTCAACTTTTTATTAGAGGGTTAAGGACTTGTAATTGAGGATTTATTATATATAATTGATATTTCTATTTTTTACTTGCCTGTCAAAAAGTCAGTGAAACAAGCATAAAAATAGGGTCGATTCATTACTCAAGTTCCTTTAATATATCACAAAGAAAATCTCGCAATTTGAAATGATAAAAATTGCTGCTTTTCCCACATATATATTTTTGATTGTTGTATCAGATTGAAATTTATATTTTACAGGTTGCAAAGACCCCAATACCGAAGTAAGTGCTTCGAGTGGGTCATGTTTGGGTCAATTGGGAGCCATAGAGGCCGGTCATTTACCGAGACAATACGTACAACCAGATCGCTCACCATTTGCCTTTTCTATTAATGATAATTGTTTTGCTGCAACCGCGCTGATTGAATTGACTAGAGCTTTTCAGTATGAGAAAGATACTATGGTATGTATGGTTAATTTTTATAGTTACGTATGCTTATTTAACATAAAGGTATTTGTAGTACGAACAGAATTTTTGTATTAAATTGTTCTCGCTAAATATATATATATCATTGTTTACAAACAATTTGTATGACTCAAAACTTGACGATTTAAAAGAGTGGCGGAGAGTTTCTTGCCTTTTTCCGCTCTACGCCCTTGACTTGCGAACTGGTAGTAAACGTAAATTTAAAATCAATTTAACATCTTTTCTGTTGACGGTTACCCCCATACGAATAAAGTTATTTTGAGTTTGAGTTTGATTACTATGTTACTAATAGACATTATTACACATGAGGAATTATTTCCAAAATTTCCAAGATGTCTCATAACTATTCATTGATTATGTACCTTTGTATAAAATTACATTAAAACCAGTGGAGCAAGAAATTTTAACAAAACTCAAGAACACTTCACAAAAATTTCAGAACATGGACTGCTACGCTCTAACAATACAAGAAATTCTGAAAATCTACGACATTTCACCAACAGGTTCCAAAAAAGACGTGTGGGATAGTTTCCCCGAGAATATGCATCAAATAATGCTCCCTTTACTCAGCTCTAGATACACATTGGCCTATCCGTCTCAGCCAAAAAAGGCTCATCCACTATTTGGATCCGTGTACGCTACTACCTTTTTAGAATGGTCGCATAATTGGTCGGGACAGTTGATACCTCTGATAGAATCGGATAATATAAGGGAATTACTTCGAACGGTACATCCAAGCATGCGGCGTGACGTCAGAACTCTGTTTTTGTTTCTACCCTACGTACTGTTACATGCAGTGATGTCGAAGAATAACGTTCAGTATATCCAAGAGGAAATGTTAGCGGTCATAAATACGTGCGCTGAAATTTACGAAAATGACGTCGCAATTACATCTGAACGATCGAAGTATAAAATGATACGCCATATTCGAATGACGCCTAATATTAATTATATACAGGCGGAGGAAGGCAACCAGGTAATAAGAATTATAGCAATCATTTGTTTCTCCTCTTTCTCGAACATTCGCCTCCATGCGGCGTAGCCCGAAGGTTTTTGCGCAGGACTCAGAAAGCAACCAATTAAAGTAGTGATGTTTCCCTAGTAGGAATTTTTATGTGTATGTATATTTCAGGGAAAATATAGCAAGACTGTCTACACTCTTTTAGATTTCCTAAATAGATGGCTTCTAGAGTGGATGCATACTAAGCAGCGTCCTCATGAGAACGAGAATTATAAGTAAGTACCTTTGTCTTCTTTATAAGCCTAGTTAATAAACTAATTTGTTTGATTATCCTTTTTTCATAGGGCAATACAAAAGTTTATAGAGAAATTTGATAAATTGGCAATAGCGAGAGGCAATTTCGCATGTGGGGAGCTGGAAAGGGCTCTACAGTACCTCGAGTTATACATGGATGGTGATAAGCAGAGGATCCAGAGTCAGTTACCATTTCTGGCTGAAATATATGCATTGTTGGATGAACCTGACTCTGTTGCTGGTAAGGCATTTATATAAACGATCTGATTTAAACTTCAAAAAGCTTCGTAAAGTATGCAGAACCGTCCTAGTTCTAACGCTGCTATTCCTAGGATGTGTAAGTTTAAAATTGTCCACTTCCTAACAGTTTCGCAGAGTTACCTTTTCCAACATGTTGCTTTCTTCTAAATATTTTTCAAAATCACTTATCATTTATATCTTTTTAAAATCACATTTGTAGTTTCTAAGAATTTTATTAGTTAGCAATTAGTTTTATTGTTATTTTTGTGTGTTCATAAATTAAGCTTTGTAGTGCCCGTTGGCAAATACTTTTTAAATAAATAAATGATTCCAGAAGTTATTTTGTAACGCATCATTTATTTAACATTGTTTATTTGTTATGGAGGCCACAGCGTGCCGCTGAGTATATATAAATTTATAATGATACTTTATATATTGAGGTCTAAGTACAAAATCAACTTAACTCCGTGACTACTATGGTAATATTTTACTGATAAGATTGTGTCGTAAAATTTAGGTTTTAAAAATATGAATGTTTTTTTTTAATTTTTCAATTTAGATGAATTGCTTGAAATCTGTATCGAAGGACCAAATATTTTCAGGAATTTTAACGATAAAGCGATCAGAACCATCCTTGAAGGAGTTAATACTAGCGCAGGTAGTGACAGGACGGTTGCAAGACGCGGCGCTTTGCTACGAGCGGCTTGCGCAGGAGGGACAGCTTGACAGACATAGTCTTCAGGTATTCAAGTATAAGAGTTTAACTAAAATCCCATACATTAATTCAATTTTAAAACGCAACAGACATTCTCTATTACGAAGAAATATTTACATATAACAACATACTTACTTAAGTGTAATTGTTTTTATAATCAGCTTACAAAACTAACCTATTGAGGTGCCGAAATTTCTATGAAAGACACCTGAAGTCATAAACAGCCGTCGCCTTTGTTATTGTTAATTGCATTAGCACGTGTGCCATTATTCTTAGATTACATTGCCTGAAGGAAATTTTGGTCTCGGTTACTAAACGCACCATCGTCAGTCGTTGGACGGATTTAATTTATATATATATATATATATATATATATATATATATATATATATATATATTATCAAAACACTTATTTCAAATTTCTCATTCTTTTCGAAAATTTTGCTTGTGTCTGTCGATCACGGTTCGTTCGCGTTCAGATTGTGATCTGGTAAAATATTATTAAATGAAAAACAATGTGTATTCATACTATCCGTTACCTCTCGTCTCATAATTGTGATGAAAATGAAATCCTAAAGTTCTGCAATTCCTGGATATTTCTTATTCAAACTTGCAATGACTTTTTGGATGATAGGTTTTGTTAAAACTTGACAATTTTAGATACATATAACTTTATAATTTTTTATTGTTTTCTTGAATCATTTTATCTATAAACTAACTTGGATTGACTCGAATGTTGCCATTTTAGGGTATGATCGACTGTTACTTAGGTTTGGACCAGCCATTTACAGCTTATCGACTATTAAGTGAACAAGAAGTAGATGACACTATGATGGAATTATCTGCTGAACCCTTATGGAGATTGGGAAGATTTGAACAACTGGATGAATTAGTCTCTAAATCAGTGGTAAGTAGACTCTTGTGTGAATCCTTTTTATGGCTTATTGACATTAAAAAATAAGTGTTAAGTATAGGATGTGACAGTAATGAATCACTCAGGTAACAGTATTTGTTTTACGACTCGTTCGGTTTAACTTGGAAAAAGGCAAAACGTGAAATTAGAGTTACATCTCGGTTTAAAAAAAACTTTGCATACGCCCTAAAAATCATAGTTTACAGAAATACTGTCCAAAAATCAGATGAAAAAACTCCTTCATTTGGAGTCTTGCCACCATAAACAGACGCAACGGATGTAATTTTTTTGAATCTTTAAAAATTGTGAATACATATTTTAAATATCGAGGGAACTTTACTTAACGTAAATGTTTTTTCTAAACCGCCACAGCGTTCTCTACCCGTACCCGTACCTACCATATTATCCATTCATTACGCCACACACTGTATATCAAAATTACAAGCCAAGATTTCGATTAAGGCACAACTATTTTATAAGTAAAAACTACATATTTTTTTAACATTTTCTTAAATAATGATATGGAAATTATGAGAATTATTTATTATGTCTTCAGAGACAAGAATTCTCTCTGAAGTAAACAAATCTTTGCAGCCATCATCACGTGAAAACTGGGGTCTGTTAATGGGCCGAATTCTACTGTCGTATCGTAAGCAAGAAGAGGATTATTTCAAAGTGTCATGCGCAGACGCAAGGAACAGGCTTCTATTGCAAATGGATGCGGAGACTCGCGGCGAAAGTGCGTTACGTAGTGGTTATCAAAGTGTTTTAGGTCTCCATATCATATCAGAAGCCGGACATGCCGAGGAAGCTCTGAAAGGGTAAATCTTTTAAAAATATATAACATTTTTTATGTGACGGTAAAACACACACACACATTTGGTCACAATTTCTCTGTCCATCAAGCGTCTTCATTCGTTACAATAATACATACTTTAATAATAATTAAATAATTAACTTTAGAATCAATGATAAAGTGTATATAATTAACAAAGCATAATATTTGGTTTACAATGTTGTAGGTTGTACCTATAGTACAGTAGGAACCTATTATAGACGCCTGTACCAAGTGTCGAAGTACAGGAAGTCTTTAAAGTCTCAACCTCAATCGCGCTTATTTTTGCTATCTGTTTCCGATAATTCCGTTTTCATTAACAAAGCGCTGCACTAAGATTTTCGAATCGACTTTCATAGGTTAGATGATACGGTTTTTGTAATAAGACCTTTGATATTTTAGTCGATGTCGATAAATAGTCCCAGAGATTGGTTCTTATCTTCTATCATTTACTCTGTTTGCTGAATGCATTTTAACTGAGTTCCTAGGTTGGATGCCCAGTAAACAATACTTGTAGAGTCAGTACTGATCTGCCAGTCTTTCTGATAAAGAAAAAGATCAACGAAAGAGTGAGAAATGTGTATTTCCGCAGAACTTAAATACATGATTTTGTTGTAAAATGCTTGTATTCTTGTATTAAAGGTTTTAATTTATATGGTGTAGACGCCATGCAACTTCGAAGTATATTAGTCTTTAAACGTTGAAAATTCTTGACTTTGGTTCGCATTCCATATATTGTAACATTTATTTATATATAACAACTCTAATACCAGCAATTGCACATTTCCTTCAACACACGCTATACAATTTACACTGTATTTTAGGCTCAAAAATATCCAAGATGGTGAAAATTATGGTGATGAATTAATAAGTAGTTTACTCGACGAATGGAGGCAGAGATTGTCTGTAGTACAATCTGATGTGAGAACTGTGGAGCCCTTATTACGTATAAGAAGAATATTATTACAACAGACACAGGTATTATGGAAATATTTTATTATTATTCATATGAAATTATTATTTTTATCTATCTGTATATCTCATTTGTTTGACATTAAAAGTTTTCGACGTGTGTTCTGGCGTTTAATAAGAATAATGTTATACTTAAATTATATTACAAAAGTGTATTCCAGTTTTCCGATGTAGTGAGAACTGTAGCAGCCTGTTTTCTAGGTACATGTGCCGTGTAGCAATATATATTAATAATAAATAAAAAATATATATAAATAAAAATAATTTAAATATAAATAACTTTACATTTATTTAAGTGTGACCTTATAAATGGATTTTTATTCTTCACTGAAATTGTAATACTAGGGTAAACTTGGAAACTCAATAATTTATTTATAATTTATATACTTTCCAAAATACATAGTAATAAAATTCTTAATAACATTTTTTATGGTTTCTAAATCAAAAAGCTTTAGTACCTTTTAAATTTTTTGCCTGTTCATCAAATAAAATAAAAAAAGAACATTTTAAAAACCTTATCAAAGAACGTTGGTGTGATGTGATCTATTATTATATTTTTATTTGTATTATTAAATAATCGTGATATTTTCAAATAATATATGTATCTATAACGTTAATCAAACTTAAATCTAGTGTCAGGAACTGTTAAACCAAACCAAGCTGTTTTTCTGAAGTTTGACATATTTGACAGCGCTCAAGACGAGATTGTCTTAAGATCTATGTACCACTGAACTGTATATTTTTATTCGTAGGAGTTATTGGAACCAACTCACCCGATGACGTCAAGTAAACTCCGATCTTGCATCGGGGACTTGTGGCTTCAAAGCGCAAAACATGCAAGGAAAGCCGGAATTTTTCAACAGGTAAAATTAACTGCTTTCATTTCTTGTCTATTCTTGTTAAACCCGTTCTAGGTTCGATTTACGCAAAAAAAATTTTTATTTAATTTTTTAATTTTTAAAACCTACCTCAAGGATGAAATCGCACGCTAAAATCAACTTTCTTTCCTTATTTTTTATAAAAAGATTAATCACAAATGTTTTAATTCTATACCTATTTGAATTTTCAGGCATACATGTACATATTAAACGCAGAGGAATATCAACCAGAACAGTTGTTTATTGAAAAAGCCAAAATGTACTGGGCTAGAGGACAACAGGAGCAGGCGTTTACGACCTTACGACGAGGGTTAGATGATGCCTATCCGCAACTCGAAAATCTTAGCCAGGAACAAAGGTAGGAGTTTTTTTTTAAATTTATAAATCTATGGTTAATTCTATTGTTTTATAAGTTACCTTTTGTTGCTCGTTACGAGCTGTGTTGGCCTAGTTGGCTTCAGCGTGTGAGTCTCATCTCTCAGGTCGTAGGTTCGAACACCGGCTGTGCCCTAATGTATCAATGTACTAATGGACTGACCCCCGGCTGCGACAAAATATTAGTATACGTTCGCATTTAACTCTCGCTCGTACGGTAAAGGATAACATTTTGAGGAAACCGACATGCCTGACCCAAAAAACCGACGGTGTGTGTCAGGCACACAAGGCTGATCACCCGAGTTGGGCTGACATCTGAGGCCCAGACATAAAACGTTGTAGTTCCACTCATTTTACCTTTCAGGTCTGGGCCCCAGATATCTGTATTTATTTCGTGATCATTTACTGTACTTTACTGTACTGTATTTACTGTAACTAGTAGTAGTATATTAGAAAAAGGATATCACCATATTCCTGACGGTGCCTGTGTTTTCCTTAACCGTACGATCAAGTGTTAAATGCGAACGTATACACAAAAAATATTTTGTCGCAGCCGGGGGTCGAACCTACCTCAAGGATGAGAGCCGCACGCTAAAATCAACTTTCTTTCCTTATTTTTTATTAATAATATAATGGTTTTCAGAAAAATATGTGCTAAAGCAAAGTTACTGATCGCGAAATACAACGATGAAACAACGAATGTGGACGTTGACGTTAATATTGGGTACTACAAGGAAGCAGTTGATGTTTTCAAGCAATGGGAGAAGAGTCTTGTGAGTTTCACTTTAATATATATTCAAATATTATTAAAGCCAGAAATCATTATATATTTTTTTTGCAATTACTCAATATTATACTTTGTTGGACAATATGAAGGAAAATTACTAGCAAACCGTCGAAGTCAAATATCAAAAAGTTATATATATACATTTTTCCTAAAATTTACTATTTAACCGGCCGTTATGCAAACTGATAAATTTGTTATTTATCATAATTGTTTTTTCTCTTATATATCAAGATATATCGAACTATAATGACGTAATAGCGTTTTCAACACAATCTGCCGCGACCTTATTGTTAAAGTAAAAATACTTTGTTACCTCTTTTGTATATAATACTGACGTTTATTTACTTTTTGGTGCTGTTACTCCTCCGTAAACTTTTGAAGAAATCTCTTGTACGAAATATTGTTTGCGTTGTTTTAAATTATTTTATTATTATTTTTTCCTCCTGAATTCCTCCAATCTACAACACTCCTACTGCACAGCGAAAACATCCCACTTCATTTCTTAAATCTCACGATAGATCTCTTTCAGTACAGACTAATATAGAGTAAAATATTTTTATAAACATACTGAATAATTAGTTAATAACGTTTTCAGGTATGTTTGGGTTCTTATTACGAGAAAGTGAGTAGTTCTGAAGTAGCAAGCGATAATGGTGCCATGTGGACTAGACGTATTTATGCTTTGAACAGTTATGGGAAAGCTTTACAATATGGACATAAATATTTGTACCAGAGCATGCCTAGGATGCTGTCAATATGGTATGAGAACTTGATGTTTTACCATTGAATTCAGAAAAGTACAAAACTATTTCTTTTGTTTTAAACATAGTTTAATTATCCGGAACACCACTCCCTAGCGTGGGGAGCTTATTAACAATTTGGTCACAACCATTAGCTTTTATATGCGCATGAGTTTTGGTTAGTACTAGTACAACATTTTTTTTGGAAAAAAAAAAAAATTTGGATTATTCCGCATTAACTTTTTTCCGCACGTTTCTTGAAATATTAAAATTCAAATGAAAGGAAAAAAGCTTTAACTTTTAGGTTGGATGTAGAAGTGACGTCATCAGATACAAGTATCCACTCGGTGCTTGCGCAAATGACAGAAATCATCAAAACTTATTCTGAAAGACTACCAATATACCTTTACTTGACTGCCTTCTCGCAAATTGTGTCCAGGATATGCCATCCAGTTAAAGAGGTAACAAGTTTTTACTATTAAATGACAATTTTGTACTTTAGATTATCTATCTCAATATTTATTATCTATGTGAGCCATAGAGATATTTGTTCCTCAAGCACTTGGTTGAATGGTATAAAAAAAGATCGGGATCTTTTTTTATTTTATATTTCTGAATCAATCATGATTATCGCATTTGTTAATCATTTGAGAACACACGTAATACTTGTGTTACAAGTCTGCGCAAAGAACCGCGTGGCGGTTATGCGAAATAATATTATTTATTACTAAGCGTTATTTCACTTACAAAAATTAAATACTGTCGAACTATAATTAAGTTATACAGTTAACATAATAAAAAGGGTAATTTAGTGCTGTGACCCCAAATCCTACGACGTTATTGAAGAAAATTAAATTTAATGATTCCCCTTTTTAAAAGCATTTTTATTTATTTTAGGTGTACCTTCAACTAAAAGCAATAATAGTGAAACTGATAATGGCCTACCCTCAACATACATTATGGATGATGCTCTGTGTAGTGAAGTCCAGTTACCCTCAACGAAAAAAGCGATGTGCTGACGTGTTTGCTGACCCAAGACTCAAAGAACCGCATATGTTGAAACTCGTGTCTGATTTCACACTATTGGCTGAGAAGTTGATAGAACTCTGCAATAAACCTATTGCTGAAAGTGGATCTGTAAGTATGCCGGCAGAAGTAAAAACTTGAATATTGACGTTGTGCATTTTTGATATTTTGGTGGTAATTTTGCACGAATTGCTTTAATTATCAGTATAAAAGTACTATCATTTATGTGGTAGAATACAATATTTATTTATTGCGCTATCGTACACAAACATGACAATTTATATTACATTAAAAACTCCGCGCCAGCTGTCTGCTCTCCATCCGTCTTACGAATTTTCGATCAGATCACGTGTCCTGACGCGAGTTTAACATTTTTTACCCATTCCAAAAAAAGTGTGCAACGCCGATAAAGAAGTTTTCACTTAAAAAAAACAGCAATTTTAGGGCTTGGGACAAAATCACTGCGCCAGGCGTGACCCACTAACGCCGAACGAATTTATATAGAAAACGGTCACGTGACAAAGCTTTGGCGCTATTGTAATTTTCTTACAAATTCCTTTGGCGTTAGTGGGTGATGTGATGTGATAGTGATTTTTCTCTCAAGCTCCTGAGGTCGTGTATCCGAGTCACGGCTGTTATTATATACACTTACTAGTACTATGAATAAAAACGTGAGGAAACCAGCATGCCTTATACCCAAAACACACAAGGCACAGAATGCTGGGTGCCTTCTTTATTAGAAGAAAAATATCAGCAAAACAACTACAAAATATTATTAGGTCAACGTTTTTCTTTAAGGTCAACGGTCAACTTTAAGAATCTAGTTAAACATATGCATAAGTGATAATGAAAACTTATTCCTTTATTCATAATAGAATATTCATACATTATAGAATATTTTATCAAAATATACTTTAACAATATAAAATTCATAATAATCATTGCTATCTGTATTTATAGGATTTATTCTTAGTAAAAATTTCGTCATAGTCGTAGAATAGTGACGGATCTGACAAATAGTAAACTTTACAGGGCAGCCATTTCAAAATAATATAATCATATTAGTTTTTGTCATAACTATTTTAATTCATATTCTCTTATTATGAAAATTGGCATACAAGCAAACACAAGGGTTTGTTTTCAAACAAAATAAAAATAAAAACATTAAATTACACAGTTTTCTAGAAAAATCACTTTCTATCAAATCCGTCACTTTACCGACTGATTAATTTATAATTTAAAACACATGGATTTTTTTTAATGGAGCCGTAATATTTAGTCAATGTAGTATCCAAATATGATAAAAAGTGGATTTTGTTTTTTTTTTTCAGATGCGACATTGTTCTACGATCATGACGATTTATTCATATGGCTAACATACTTTCATATTTTTCAGACAACCAAAGTATCATCGCTAGTCCAAACTCTTCCGCGTCTTCTGGCAAAGGATAACTTCAGCCATATAATGATGCCGTTCCAGGAGTTTTGTAAGATCGTTCTGCCATCAAAAGCGGCTAGACAGGAACGCATAGATTTTAATATACCCGCGGCGCCACCTGTCTATATCGCAGGTATAGAGGAGCAAATACAGATATTGCCGTCTTTACAAAAACCGAGGAAAGTCACGTTGAAAGGTTTGTATTGTTATTTTAGACATTTGCTGAACTTAAGTATCATGAGAGCCTATATTGGCTTTAGCAGTAAGACATTATTTTGCATTTACTTCATTTATTTTATTTTATTTTTCTCCTGTTATTGTGTTGTTGTAATGTAAATAATGTTATTATTATTATTATATTTTATATTATATATTATTAAGGTGTTTTAATAGCTAAACATAGGTACTTTTAAATTACAATTGCTTGCCCTCCATTACATAAAATAATGTACATATTACTTAATATAAACATATGCTCTATAGTCATTTTAAAAAGAGGTATGATAGCAGTGTTGGCCTTGTGGCTTCAGCGTGCTACTCATCCCTAGGGTCTTAGGTTCGATGCTCTATTGTGCACCGATGGACTTTCTGTATATGTCCGCATTTAACATTCGCTCGTACGGTGGAGGAAAACATCGTGTGGAAACCGTGGAGCATTAGACGCAAAAAGTCAACGGCGTGTGTTGCGTACAGAAGTTTCACTATCTACTTGCCTATTACAAATGATCACGAAACAGATACAGAAATCTGAGCCCCAGACCTATCCTAACGTGTTTCTTTTTTCATTGTTACATATTAGGGTTGCCTGGAAGAAATCGCTTGTTAGCGATAAGGCCGTTTGTCGACTAATAACTTATGTAACCTGCTTTTTTGTATAAGGTTACGAAGTGTAAAGAAATAAATAATGTCTAAATCTACTTAACCGATTTTGAAAATAACCTTCCTTACCAATAGAAAGACACAATTTGAGTGTCTATATATTCGAAATGAAAAGTGAAAAGACTTTCTAGTCAATATTTACGGGGCACGGTTGCCTGTGCGAAGCTGGGTCTCTTTCGTTATATATAACATTTGAATTTACTTTCTCATACATAAAATTACTAGACGCTAGGCACACTGAACCTAAAGTATACTGGAATATTTTATAAAATATAAAAAAAAAAACTTTTAAATTCCTTTTACCTTACCTTTTTGATTCCTTACCAAATAATCTAAAAGATATATTTTTAGATATCATTCGGAGTGTATTTTTTTAAATCTTCATTATGTTTATCATGTACTTTTTATTATTTTCAGGTTCAGATGGTAAATCGTACATAATAATGTTGAAACCTCGAGACGATCTCCGAAAAGACTTTCGTCTGATGGAATTCAATGCGGTTGTGAACAGGTTCCTTCAAGATGCGCCAGAAACCAGACGTAGACGGCTTTATATTCGAACCTATAGTGTTTTACCCCTGAATGAGGAATGTGGCCTTATCGAGTGGGTCCCAAACCTCGTAGGCTTAAGGCCGGTGCTTATACATATTTATAAGCAAAAAGGTTGGTTAATCTGAAAAAATCTATAATACTGCCATTTGTCCCATAACGATATTTGCTTGTCTTACTTGACTTTACTAGACTTAAAATTATACACTTCAACTGAATAATCAAGTCCAAATATACTAGTTATATAGCTACTTATCGTTATTATCGGGCGTGGTTTTTTGATGGCAAATCGTTGTTGTGGTTTAAAAAATAAAGCATCCCAAGATTACAGCTGAATTAACATATTATTAACTAGGTATAACTAGTTATTTTTTTAATTAAAAATATAAAAATACAATTTTAATTTTAAATGAAAAACCTCCTTCGGTTTTCAAGTCGGGTAAAAAATAACTTAGTTTGGGAAAAAAGAGAATCGGGCAGGCAGTTAAACTTTTTCTTACATAGCATTTTACTATTATCGACGTTATTGTAACGGTTTTCTATTTATATGCATATAAATAGGCTGACTTCGTAGGGTTGAAAATTCTTTATATATTTTTGGTATATATACAGGTATAATGTAACATTAATGCCGTAATTCGTTACAAACATAGAAATACAAATGTTTTCTCTCTTTAATATTGTCTTATTATTTTCTTTAGGTATCCATACAAGCAACCGCGAGCTAAAAGAAATGATGTGCCTCAACAAAGATCCAGTTGATAAGAAACGGCGTATATTCGAGCAGCAGCTGCTTCTTAGACATCCACCGCTCTTCCAGGAGTGGTTTAGGAGGGTCTTCGCCGATCCATATGGATGGTGAGTCTTTTAAAATATGTATTTCTTTATAGTTCATTTGTGGCTTATGGTAAAAACCTATAGGATTTTGACCCGTATTCTCTCAGAATAATTTTCCTAGTTTTAATACATAACAATAAAAAAAATATTCCCTATATTAATTTGTTTTCTTTTAAAATTAAATTTATCGCTGCGAAATTGTTGCGGTCTTATTAAAAAACGCGTGAATTAGCTAAAATAGTTTAAGACAATTTGCAATTAACCTATTTGAGGCTTTATTTAATTTATTTTTATTTCGTTACCTTAAATAATTATAAATATGAAACAGGGATAATTTGTTAAGTATTTAAGATTTCTAAATGTTTTTTTAGTGATTTATGTCCAGTCCAGCGTTCCCCTACGTATTGACTATTGCCATGCCCCAACTTAGCCTTTCTAAGATTCTTATGCCCCAAACATATATTTTTAATATAAAAAAATTGAATTGTTCACTTAAGAAAGTTAAATGATAGGTTTTGGAGGAAATTACTAGGAAATTGTTAACGAAACACGGTAAGTACATTTACAAAACATATAATGAAAAACCGATATTCAAATTCCTAAAAATTTTAATGAATCAAATTGCCTCCTTGTGGGACATGGGTCCCACGTTAGGAAACATTGGTCTAGACATTCTAATAGTCTATCTGTCGGTAGGAGAATTGAAGTTTTAAAATTATTATCCAAAAACATTTTGTTCTATATTGATTTGTTTATCTATGTGATCTGTTTTGGCTTTCTGTATTGTCTAAGTGTTTTATAATATATATGTTAGCTGTAAGATTACTTATAATTAAATAAATAAATAATAAATAAATCATTAGGTATCAAGCGCGATCGGCATACATCAGAACTACAGCAGTAATGTCCATGGTGGGATATATTTTGGGTAAGTCACTAAGTCTAATTTAGTTTATTCAACTTCGTCTCGATTTTCATAATATTGTGGACAGTCTTTGTTCTTTTGAATTTTTAAAAATACCCTTAGTTGTTTAATTATACCAATAAACGATCTTCTAAATAATCTATAATAAGTAATAACCATAGATTTTGGTACAATTGTTCACCCGAGATTAAGAGCTGTCTGTTTAAAAAAACATTTCTAGGTATTTCCAATGTTTATGGTGTGCTAAGTAACTTAAGTAAGCCTAAAGTTATAATCAGTCCCACCACCACCAGTTAAAATTTGTTATTAAATTTTTCTTACCACTACTACACTCGCGAGCAAACAAATCGACTCAAGCGCTACCTCTGCATTCAAAGATTGTTTTAAGTGAAAGTATACAACATTTTAATAAAAATGATATGTCATTTGAAAGCTTAAAACTTCAGCTTTTATGAGATGTTATTATTATTAATATCCATGTATCCTTTTTTATTATTGGTGTCTGAACTTAAATGGGAGAAAAATGGGATTTTGGGTAAAGGAGTTGTGTTCAGAATTGACAAATAAAACACGTTTTTTTTCTTAAAGAGTATAACATTTATTGGTTCACTAATTGGTATTGCCCCCTAGCCCAAATTACAGCCCGTATTCGGTTCTTCATCAACCTTATTCATTTTTTGACGGTGTCTTGAGGAATACCTTCCCACTCCTCTAACAAAGCTGCTTTCAATTCTTCAAGGCTCGAATGGGCTGGATTTCTTGCTCGTACCCTTTGTTTGAGCTCATCCCATAAATGCTCGACGGGATTTATGTCTGAACTGAGCGCAGGCCAGTCCATTGTGCGCAAATCGACTTCTCGAAGAAACTGCTGAGTAACGCGCGCTGTGTAGCATCGAGCATTGTCATGCATTAGGATGAAGTCTTCGTCAACAAATCCTGCGTAGGGCACAACATGTTCCAGGAGAATATTTGTGATGTACCCATCAGCTGTCAGTCCTGCTCTTCGGCCTACTCCAGGCACGAAAACGAGCTGGGTTTAACCCTCCAACGAGATATCAGCACACATCATGCAAGAACCGCCACCATAGGCAACGATTTCTGCTAATCAGCATTAGTAAAATCGCTCTCCCGGACGCCTGTAGACCCGGCCTCTCCTGTCACTGCCATGCAGACACATCCTGCACTCGTCAGTCAACAGGATCGACCGCCATTACCCAATGCTCCAGTTAAGATGCTCTCGAGCAAACTGTAGCCGAGCTTGCCGGTGGCCTGCAGTCAATTTGGGGCCCGTTGCAGGCCTTTTTGGAGTCAGGTTGGCTTCCTTCAGACTTCTTCTTGCTATCCACTCGCTGACAGCTATACCTCGAACACGTCTCAGCTCGCCCTGCACGTCGACACCCGTAAGGTGCCGATTTCGCAGGGAGGTTGAGACATTGAAACGGTCGTCTCGTTCAGAAGTACAACGGTTGCGGCTGGTTGTTGGTCTCCGAGTAAATGCTCCAGTCTCTTGTCTATCGTCTGTATACTCGGGATACAGCAGATTGACTCAAGTGAAGCTGGGAAGCGACTACTCGCTGACTGAGTCCTTGTTGCAATAAGGCAAAAACTTGAGCGGCTTCTTGAGGTGTGGTATCCATGGTTTCTTGAAAACAAAGAATGCAGGTTGCGGAGATGTGTATCGGTCAACTGTTTATAAGCAACTCATAAAGGTTGAAGGGTAACGGGGTTTTATAGGGGTAGAGGGTAGCGCAACTTGCTGGTAGCGTAGTGAGTAATTTGTCCCATACGCACTAATTGCGCAAATTAACATGTTGGTAGTCGTTTTATTTAATCGTGTTGATGTTTTTTTTAAAGCTTAGGTTTCAAGCTTTCAAATGACATATTATTTTTATTAAAATGTTGTATACTTTCACTTAAAACAATCTTTGAATGCAGAGGTAGCGCTTGAGTCGATTTGTTTGCTCGCGAGTGTATATGACATCATTTACGACTACTAAAACGACACTAGGAGAAGAATTGTTTGTTCTTTTCACACGCATTTATATATCGTAACCTAATACGTTTACCCTTGAACTGAGCTAAAACAAGATAAAAAAAAATACTTGCTTAATAAATAAATTATTTTTATTATAACTCAGTCATGTCTCGTATACCTTCAGATTATAACACAAATTACCAGCAAATAGATATATTTAATGTAACTAAAATAATATTTAAAACTCTGTTATATTTTATTAATGATGGCTTTGTTATTCTTTCTTTTTATTAAATATATATAATAATGATCAATCTATCTTGGAATTTATTACAAATAGTTTTTTTTTAAATAGGTAAAAATGTTTAAATGTGTATTCCGTTTTTGGCTTTTAATATAATTGTTTGGACATTGTTTAGTGAGTAGCTGTAGGAATACTGATGAGCAAATAAATAAATTATTAAAAAGACCCTATATTATCTACGTCTGCAATAATTTGTTATAAATTCAGGACTTGGCGACCGACACGGCGAGAATATATCCTTCGACTCGACCAATGGTGATACAGTTCATGTAGACTTTAATTGTCTCTTTAATAAGGGCGAGGCTTTTGAATGGCCTGAGAGAGTGCCTTTTCGTCTCACGCATAATATGGAGGCTGCTATGGGACCACTAAAGCACGAGGGGATGTTTAGGTAAGTTTTGATTAATAGAAGTCTGGAACAATCGTTTAGTAAGAAAAATAGAGGTTTCATACAGGGTGAGATTTTTGAACGTTGATGACGTTCATGTCGCCTGAATTATTGTCGATCTATGTATAAAATATCCACTTTAAAATATGTTTCAATATCGAAATAATTCTCTTACTTTTATTTTTTCTTCAAGTTTTTGAAGTGCTTGATAAAAGTCGGAATATATTTTTCATTGAAGATATTATTACTTTCAATATATTTATTGTGAAGAACTATATATATATTGATACGTCCGTATATTTGACGAAACCATATCTACTTCGTTCTAAGGCCTCATAAACTATCAAAAATGTACATTTCTTGGTATGGTAATGGTTACTACAATTTTCATAACCATGTAATACATTTGTTGACAAAATTACCCTTAAGTTAGTGCACTTAGGGTCGATTCGACCAAACTTCAATTTATACACGAGTAACTATACCAAGAATAATCTATTCCATGATTTTAATCTCGAGTAAATCCATAGTCGTTTGTCCACGTAATCGATAGTATAATTGCGCTAGGAATAACAATACGCGAATAGCAAGAGAATGGTGAACTAAAATAAAACTCGGCAAATAAATGTTGTTCTACAACGGGACAGTGTAAGAGCATACATCATGTCAACTCGATTTTGCCGTATTATAGAGTGATAAAGTAGCTTTTAACAGGTGTCAAACGACAACAAAAAGTTTTTATTTCTTGTTTGTTTGAGGCTTTCGTCTAAAAAGGAACTTCTGTTGAGCCTAGTTGAATTTCATTCTAATATTATAGAAAATAAAAAATCTAAAAATAAATAATAAATTGTTTAAACGTTTCATTATACAATGCCAGACTATTAATTTAGTGCGTTGCGTTGACTTGAAATTAAAACACAGAATACATATTTGTGAAATGACAGAAATCAGCTGATTGGACTGACTGACGCCATTAAATTATTCTAGGAATAGCTGTTATTCCGTGCGAAACGGCGGTATAGTATTCCCGAATAAGACCACTATTCTTAGAATTTGTAGTTGGTAAAACGTAAAATTGATTTACTCTCGATTAACTGACGATTTATTCTAAGATTAAGATTTACTCTTGTTTGGTCGAATCGGCCCTTATATATTCGAAAATTAATAAATTTAAATAATTTTCAGAAAAAGCTGCGAAGCGGTAATGCGTGCGTTACGAGAACAAACAGCAGCGTTGATGTCAGTGATTGGTCCGTTCGTGTACGATCCCTTGGTATCGTGGGGTCGAGCACGCCTTGACTGCGCTGAAAGGACGAACGAACAAGCTTTACATCATTTAAGACATATAAAACAAAGACTCAATGGCATGGTAAGTAACGAAAAATATCCTTCTCTCCAAACATAAGCAGACATTAAATGAGTTATAGGCATTCATTATAAAGTTTATTAATGACATAATAATTTTTTATAACTTTTATAAACAACTAAATGAACCGGTGAACGTCGTATCACCTACATATATTTGTGTCAAAACTTAATACAATTGGTAAAGCAGTCCAAAGAGATCGGACCGTTGACTACAGCTATAAAACACAAATTTCTAAAGGCATCTATCGATATATGACAACCTAGTGAAAAATTAAAAAAAAAAAAAAACAAAAGACATTTAATATTTCTCAGCTCGAAACAGTTTTTATTGGTTAATAAAATTGTCGGTTTTAGTATTTTATATTTATTTTTCTTATTGTCTGTTAGTGATTTATCTCTTTCCGTTTTAACAATTATTATTATGTAACTTCAATAAAAAATGTGTGCGTGTACTAGGTGTACACACGTAAGCAGTGAAACTTCTTTATGACCTTATTTTTCGAAAAATTATCTGCTTTTACAGAAATTGGTTAAATAAAGTTTAATTAGAAATTAAGTTTAACAAAAGGCTTTTATTATCATAAACATGAATACAAATACAATTATTTCATTTTTACCTCATTACTACTAAGATTATTACAGAATTTCATTAATTGTAATAGAATTATTACTATCAATGTTATCGTTATTATATATTTTTGTTATTAATGGCTTCGAATCTCTTCGGATCAACCGTGGTAGGGACAAGAAAAAGATGGCGCGTAACCGAAAAATGTGACGGTAAATTTTTTCCAACGCCGATAAAGAAGTTTCACTTCAAAAAGAAAAGCTTCAAAAATTTACATTTAGTTGCTAGTTTTCAATCAATCCTCATGAAATTTCAGGTTAAAACGAAGAATAAGCAGCTATCTCTTTCCCTGTCTGCAGAAGGTCAAGTGGAACATCTCATAGTTGAAGCTACGAGTGTACACAACCTGTGTCAGATGTATATCGGATGGGGACCATTTTTGTAAACATTTCTCTAGGGGTATAGATGTACAATAATTTAAGTAATGTACAAAGTGATTAATAAAATATTTAGGTATATGCTATTTTTATTTTTATTATGATTTACTCCTTATATCATCCCCGTAGAAGGTTTAAATCAGTTTTAACCACAAAAACCTGTTTAATAGTATAGTTTTTGTATAAATAACGGGTGGCGCAAAAGTAATGGCACTAAAGAAAATTTGTTTATTTTTTTTATATGACGATAGTTTTCATTCTGTTGTTGAAAATTGTGTAGTGAACAAATGTAAAATACACTGAAAATAAACATGGACCGTTCTACTCCCCAAGAACGTGGAATAATCGTTTCAATGTTCTTACGGAATAATTCATCAGTGATAAAAACACAACGTGAATTTCGTCGACGATTTCCTGCAAGATCGCCCGATCTGACGAGTCCAGACTTCTTTCTTTGGGGTTTTTTGAAATCTCGGGTGTATGTGAACAAGCCACAGACTCTCGCAGCTCTAAAAGAAAACATTCATCAAGAAATAAGGAACATATCGCAGGAAGTATTACGGCAAGTTATGCAAAATGTCATAAATAGGGCTCAAATGTGCATCAACTCTGGACCATTTAACAGACATCATCTTTAAATCCTAATGGTACGAAATTTAATGGCACGAATATACATTAAAAAAACCTAAATCTAGTTTTCTAGTTTAGATTTTTTTTATAGCTGAACCAATATTCCGGAAAAACGGAAAGTCTCTTCCGTATGTAGCTACAACAAAGATAGGCTAAGTAAAAAAATCATATTATGAAACAAAGTTCGCTAGTTTTTCATTCTATTGCAATATTAGTAAAGGAAGAATAACCTTGTTTATTAATGTAAGTGTTACGTGATGAAGTAGCAAGAGCGGTCATAGCAAAAGAAGCGGCGGAAAGACTAAGGTCAAAACCTGAATACGCCGCATACCCCCTGTCATATGTAAAACATCAGATAAGGCAAAAGACTCTAGATGTATGGAATGAACGCTACCTGGGGGTGAAACAGCTGGAACTAAAAAATTATTTATCGCAAATGTTAGAACTGCGTACAAATTAATAAAAGAGAAGCGTTTCACACCCCAGATGGCGCAAATTCTTACAGGGCACGGAGCCTTTGCACATTACCTTCATAGGTTTAAAATTAGGACAAGCCCAGCATGTGACTGCGGCGATGAAGAACAAACAGTAGAACATGTGCTCCTACATTGCCCTATATTTGCATCGTCCAGGCACGACCTGGAGCAACAAATGCAGATGACTGTAGACCGTAACGGCCTACAGGACATGTTAATAAAGCACAGATCGTGCCTGGAACGGTTCTGCGAAAAAATTGTGGAATATGTAAAGGCGGCAAACAAAACCCCAAGAACGGGTCTCGCGAGGAATTGCGTCCCGGCTCGCCCATGAATATTGTTAACAAAAATATTACAGATGTAGCCGGGGCGTCTTTCGCGAGACGTGTGATGTGCAAAGGTCCCTGGACACAATGGCAGGGGAGTAGAAAAGTGATATATTATAAAAAAAAAAAAAAAAAAAAAAAAGAGCGGTCATGGCTCTTAAGACTTACTAGTCTTAAGAGCCCTTAAGCACCAGGTCTTAACTGCGGAAATTTTAAAAGCGGACTTGGCCACCACTTTTGATACGCTTACCTTTTTACGATACCATTATTTGGCAAAATCTGGATCAGCGAGAAGCTTCCAAAGCACTGGAACAGAGAGCTTTGTATAACTATACGTATGTCTTAGAAGGGTGATCTAACCCAATGCAACAATTGTATCACCTTTCTTTTCGTTCCTTCCAAGCTTTTCTGCTGGCTTCCCCTGCTGGCCCTAATAGCTCGTGTACCGACCAAATTAATACAATTCACATCATATTCGAATAGGCATTGGAATAGCAGAGGGAGATTTATATTACCTTTGTTGACTTCAAAAAAGCTTTCGACACACATTGGCCCGCCGAAGACGATCAACCTAGTGCAAACGGGCGTTGACTCTCGTAACTCCTTTCCTGGTTGTTCTCGACAGGATTATGCATCGCACACATCAGAACAAGCGCCGCGGAATTGAGTGGGGATTAACCAATATCTTAGATGATTTGGATTATGCTGATATGCAATCCAAGTTGGAAGACCTGGAACGCGAGGCGGGTTCTGCGGGGATCAGATCAACACTCGGAAAACTAAAGGAATGCCCGCTGGAGTTGAAAACCGCACCAAATTGCGGATGGGTGCAGAGGATTAGGAACGCATTCATAAATTTGTTTACCTTGGAAGCGTCGTGTCTGAAGCTGGACGTACAGAAGAAAACATTAGTTCACGCATTGCCCTTGGCCCTGAGCAACCTTCGCACAACTTCTGGCCTGACAGTACGGAAGTTGACTCGTCGACTCAAGGTTCAAATATTCGGGTATATGTGTTTGAAACGTGGAAGGTCACTAACGACATCTCGTACCGGCTCCAAGTCTTAGTCAACCCGTGTCTTGCCGTATTCTGGGTGTCTGGCCCGAGATAATCTCTAACCACCAACTTTGGGAGCGCTGCCCAGAAACACTGATTAGCTAACAAATCAAGCGACGCGTGATAGGAACCCGCAAGGAAAGCGAAAGCGTTGCGTCCCAAGCAAAACTGGCGTCGTACAGTTGCAGATAAGGCAAAGACCGTCGTAAATACTTGGAGCGATGTAAAATACGAGGCTCAACGCGATGGAGTCTCACTTTGAAAGCCCTCTGCCCCATTTTGGGGTAATAGAACATTAAGTAACTAAGTAATACAGTTTTTAAAAGTAATGGCTTGTGCCATCTATCTGAAATTTTTATTTAAACTAAGTATATATAATTATATCTTTGTTTCCATTACTCATAAATCGTTCTACACAAAAATGATTCTACAAAGTGTATAGGTATACTTAATATATTATTTATGTATCTAATTCATATATAACAAAGATAATTATATTATTTATAACTTTAAATTTCATACGAGAAAAGTTCCTGGCATAGTTCGAAATAATATTTTAATAAAGAACCTTTTTAAATGAACACGTGCGACATTTAATTTCCATAGAGCGTGAAATATTGCAGTTTTCGCGCTCCCTACGCTCCACACAACGTGCTCCAAACCGCAAAATGGGTAACGACTCTTGTGACGCTCATATTGAGTTTTAATATTCAGATCATGCTTTTTAAAGCTTATGTTACATTTTGACAAAATATTCAAATCAAATATTAGATTAAAATTTATTTATCTTGGGCTTCTTGGTCTCGACTGCGAATAAAATTATTTGTATTTGTATGTATATCCGTTGCCTAGTACCCATAACACAAGCTTCACCAGCTTAGCATGGGACTAGGTCAATTGGTGCGAATTGTCCAATCATAAAAAATAAAAATAAAAAAGTACATTATATATATAATGTACTATAATATTAATATCCACAATATATATTATAAGTAAATTACCTTCATTATAATAATGAAATTTACGTTAAATAGCTATGTAGAGCTGGCGTGTACTTCTGCAGCACAGTACGCTATCTAAGCGCAATTAAACTACGATGAAAATTTTACCTGAAAAATAAAAATGTTATTTTACCTGACACAGTGTAATTTGGAAATACTTTTAGGTAGAATATGGAGAATATGGAAATATGGAGATACAATTAAAAAATAATGTTGCTATTTGCATTTATAACCAAAATGATTAAATAAAATTAGTACAACTTTGAAAAATATTGTTACACTCATTTCAAAGATTCCAATTACATACATAAATTATTTCTCATGAATTTTACATGAAGGTACCGTGGTTGCCTGGAAGAGATCGCTCGAAAGGGATAAGCCCGCCTGTTGCCCGCCTTTTTATTTAATTATTTCAATTCTACAATAGATACGTATTTCTGTATTACTTCAACGAAGTATAAATAATTAGATATATTTCTCAAATAATAAGTATTTTTTATTATGTGATTATATTCAATAACTTAATATGTACCTAAATTCTATTTTCAAATCTTATTTTGCAACAATTACTGCTAATATCTAACTTTAAAACGATAGATTGTAAACAGTAATATACATGAGTTTATCTTCAGTCTGGGCTGGTACATCAAACAAGGCGACCACATGACAGCGAATATCCGGGCGATCCATTGATCGGGTCATTGCGGATAATAGACCGCACGCAGTACGCTTCCTTGCGCATTTCAAAGAGTGCTTATTTATAAAAATAAAGAAGTTGCATTATCTCAATCTTTAGCGACATAAAGACATCAAATTGGTAATCTACGGAGTTATTATGCGGCAAGTTATTAAGTAGAAGTGAATTATTATTGAGTGAGTGATAACTGAAGCCCGAAAATTTCATATTAGTACCGCTCATTGCTATATCATAAATTACCTCTGTCATATTGTGTTCAAGAAAGCTCGTCACAGATTACGATACAATAAACTTTTCTTACTAAATGAGTTCTTGATATAAGCCATTTTACATTACCATCTAGCGCAAAATAAGACTAATGAATAATTTTCATGTAATTTAGACGCTACTCTCTACTCTACATCTTATTCTTAGTTACTTTGCGAACGACTTATAAGTTGTGTATAAGCTTAAATAAATAATAAATCAACGGCGCTACAACCTCTTTAGGTCTTGGCCTCAGATTTCTGAATCTGTTTCATGATCATTTTTAAATTTAATAGGCAAGTAGGTGATCAGCCTCCAGTGCCTGAAACACGCCGTCGACTTTTTGGGTCTAAGACATTGCGGTTTCCTCACGATGTTTTCCTTCACCGTTCGAGCAAATGTTAAATGCGCACATAGAAAGAAAGTCCATTGGTGCACAGCCGGGGATCGAACCTACGACCTCAGGTATGAGAGTCGCACGCTGAAGCCACTAGGCCAACAGTGCTCGCACTGTGTATATAAGCTTACTTTAACTAATATTATCCACGTTAAAGCAATCGTGTATTTATATTTATAAAGGCCTGTTGATGACCTACAATATAATGGCGAACACCAGTGGTAACAGACATCACCGACATTTTTATTTTAAATATAAATATGTGATATTAACAGCTTCTACCACTTTGAGAAAAGAAAGATCAATTTTCTAAGATAATAAAATATGATAATTTCTTAACATTTGCTATTGTCTGCTTCAAAGTTACTTCAAAGGACAATGCGCGATCCTGCACCCCTATTTAATTATCATGTTCTGAGGTAAGATTTAAACTGGTAATTATCCATGAATATCTTATTTCTGTTATTAGAGATTTTTACCACCTTTTCACCTTCTGTAGTTCATTTATTTTGCTAGTATACAAATACATATAATTAAGTTTGTGGATTTATTTAAATTGCATTCGTGTAACTCCTACTAAGCCTTAGCGACCTGAAAAGCGTGTGCAGTACACCCTTATAGCATTTGAAAACTGTGTAATATAAATATTTCATATACATTTTTATTCACTTAGTTTACGATATGTATTATGTATGTCTTTTAGAATGGGGTTATAATTGCCCATAAACAAAAATAATCTTTTGTAATTCTTACAAAATACATAGGATATTAGCAAAATACTTGGAACAAAGAGCTGTTAAGTCCCAAGGAATAGGTTTTTTTTTTGTAATAGTAGACAAACGGGCAGGAGGCTCACGAGATGTTAAGTGATACCGCCGCCCATGGACACTCACACTGCCAGAAGGCTCGCAAGTGCGTTGCCGGCCTTTCCAGAATTGGTACGCTCTTTTCTTGAAGGACCCTAAGTCGAATTGGTTCGGAAATACTTCAGTGGGTACTACTACTTAATTAGCTACTAAATTGTATAGTTCTTTTAGTTTAATGGTTATAAAAAAGGCAAGTTTATCGAATATAAACGGTTTTTATATTCACTATTATTAGGTATGTACTACACAGTAGTTAACTAAATATTTTTTATATGAACCTTATTATGAATTATTTGTCCTGGAATGTCTGTCATTTTCTATCCATTTATGTCTTATATTAAAGTAGAGAGATCAGCTAATAAAAATAATTGTTTCCTTATTTGAATTTCGGTAGATCTAGTGATTTTTATACACGAACAGGGATTTACTTCACATTTATAAGTCACTATTACTTATGTTTTTTTTTAATATAACAAGTGAGTTTTTTACACAACGTTGCAGCTCCTTACAAACGTTGTTCTTCTTGCCAGTTCTTCTCTTCCGTTCTACGCCCTTGATTTGAGAACTAGCACTAAATGTAAAGTTAGAAGCATTTCATGTACATTTCTATTTTGACGTTCATAAGTGTACATTGTGTTACCTATGTGATTAAATGATTTTTGACGTTTGAGTTACTTCCATAAGTAGCCTGAAGAGAAGGGAATAGCAAGAGACAACAGAAACACCATGTAGGAACTTCGCTCGTTATGCGCCTACGCTAGTCGCGCGAGCTAGGCTTCGACACGTCTGTCGTGTTTTGCCAGTGACCGTATATATACTTTCTAATTCACGTACTCGTATAAACAGGGGTAGAAGAAATAGTCACGAATTGAAGGAAAGCAAATTCTGATAATACACGATTTAGTGTGCATATCGTTGCTCTTTATAAAAACCACGACTGGATTTGTCCTTGTACGTGTGTATATTGATTAGTAAGACCAGTAAAAAATCTCGTTATCTTATTTATTTCAACTGTCGTAAAAGTGGTTTTGTATAATTCCGAAATGTTGTTATTTGATAGGGATCAGAATTTTAAGTGTATCCAACGTTGAACGTAAAATCAAATAGGGTAGACTGGGTACGGTTGTGCCAGGGTACGGTAGTGACAGTCCTTATAACAGCAAAACTATACGGAATGCGGGTAAGGGTCCAAGGGGAGGGAGAAGCGGCATGCATGTCTAAACGTGTTCCCCACATTGTGTCAGCTAGCGCGCGACGCTAACGTAAGCAGGAATCTGCATTGCTTTTTAATAGTCAAAAGTAAGTTTTTTTGATGAATTTCTTTTAATATTGACTGTTATTTGTATACAGATAGATTATATCTTATATTTTTTTGTTATAAGTTGAATATTAGTAGTTAATTAAGAGTGATTAGTTTTTACGTAGGTTACTTGGCCCAGTCGTGGCGATTATTTGTTTTCGAAAGTATGCGTTGGGTACGGTTGTGACAAATATTGTGGGTACGGTTGTGACATATTGTTTTTTTATATTTTTTCATTTTAGATGCTCAGAACACGCTTGCGGAAGACTGAAAGAGCGCGGTCTAACATAAGTAAATATAAGCATGCTTATGAAGAAGTGAAGCGCGGGACTTCTTTACGCAGAGCTGCGGAAATGCATAACATTAACCGCATGTCGTTGTTGCGATACATCCGCAAACGTGATGAAATGGGTGCGAATCACGATGAAGATAGCATCCATATGGGTTACGTTGCTCATAATAAAGTATTTTCAAAGGAGCAAGAAGAAGAGCTATCAAAATATATCATACGATGTGCGGATATATATTTTGGCCTTGCTACAAAAGAGGTACGGAAGCTGGCATTTGAACTGACAACTAAATACAACATAAAACGACCTGCTACTTGGGTAGAAAATAATATGGCTGGTGAAGAATGGTTCCGTTCGTTTATTAATAGAAACCCATCCCTGTCTGTACGTGTAGCTCAGGCTACAAGCCTTTCAAGAGCTACAAGTTTTAACAAAACTAATGTGGAAGTTTTTATGATAATTTGCAAACTGTTTTGGACAGACACACATATGAGCCACAGGATATATACAATGTTGACGAGACAGGTGTCACTACCGTGCAAGACCAGATAAAGTAGTGGCAAGACGTGGCATACGGCAAGTCGGAGCTGTTACATCAGCTGAACGTGGTACATTAGTAACAGTTGCTTGTGCAGTAAATGCCTTGGGAAATGCCATACCTCCTTTTTTCATTTTTCCGAGAGTTCGTTATCATGATCACTTTGTTAGAGACGGGCCAGTGGGATCGATTGGAACGGCAAATCCTTCAGGCTGGATGCAGGATGAGTCATTTTTAGTATTTTTAGAGCATTTCATAAAATTCTCTAATGCTTCTCTAACACATAAAGTGTTACTAGTGCTGGACAATCATTCCTCTCACATTCATATTAATACACTGGATTTTTGCAAAGAAAATGGAATCACTCTGCTGTCATTTCCTCCTCATTGCTCGCACAAACTGCAACCATTAGACCGATCTGTCTTTGGGCCATTGAAAAAGGCTATAAATACTGCTTGTGACGGCTGGATGAGAAGTCACCCTGGCAAGACAATGTCTATTTACCACATACCAGGTATCATCAAGACTGCTATGCCTCAGGCTTTCACACAAGCGAACATTCAGGCAGGTTTCAGCAAAACTGGTATTTATCCTTTTAATCGTAATTTATTCCAGAATATTGACTTTTCGCCATCTTTTGTAACGGACAGACCAAACCCTGACACCATTCCTACAACACCATCTAGTGATACTAACGCACAAAACCCTGATTCTTTAGATAACAATCCTGGACTCAACAATAAAGTTCTGCCACCTTCTGATTCTTTACTGGGGCAATCTTCGAGTCCAATCATAAATGGAATTCAGCCAGCATCTACTTCAACCACGTCGCCTTTGCTTATGCCTGAAATTGACTGTGTACAAGAGACTGATTTAAGAACAGCCACTCCGCCTGTTTTTTCACCTGAAATTGTTCGCCCTTTTCCGAAAGCTGCTCAAAGAAAAACAAGAGGCACTAGGACAAAAAAGTCAACAATTTACACAGACACTCCCGAGAAAGAGGCAGTTAGGAAAAAACACGAAGAAAAAGAAAAACGTTTGAAGGCTAAGCAGGTAAAGAGAAACTTAGGTGAAGTAAAGCAAAATAAGATAGGGAAAGGAAAAGGCAAAGAAAAAGTCAGTGCCAACAGAAGAAAGACTTCAGAATCGTCATCCGATGAAGAAGAATATTTCTGTCTGGTTTGTGTAAGCGCATATTCTGAAAGCAGGGTTGGCGAAAAATGGATCAAGTGCCAAGGCACATGTGGACTCTGGGCCCACGTAGAGTGCGCTGGTGATAATCACTATTACATTTGTCACAACTGTGATGATAAATCTGACTAGATGTCAGTTTGTTCATATATTCATAAATGTTTATTTTTTTAATAGAAAATCTATTAGTTTCATTTTAGTAAAAAAAGTTCAGTTACCTACTGTTAATTTAATGTTTTGAAGGCCTTTAAGAAGGCTGTAATAAAAGCCTTCTAAGATTTAAGTTTATTTGCTTTAAGTATGTATGTAACTTTTTATAGAAGACCGTTATGTTGTATTATGTTACATATTTCTAACAATAAAAGTAATTATAAACCATTTCTGCGTATGCTTATATTTGTCACTACTGACCCCAACCACTGTCTCAACCGTCCTTGGGCTGTGGTCGGTTGTGACACTTTCTCTTTTTTTTTAAATTAGATGCTATAATTAATACAGCGTATTAAGGTATAATATTTTGGTATTTTTACGTAGACAAAAGTACAAATTAAGATTTAAATTACTTTTCTTGCAGCTAAATAGTAAATTAACAAAATTATTGGGACTCAAATCAAAATTGTCACAACCGTACCCAGTCTACCCTACATTTTACGACAGCTCCCGATTTATAGGGATCTCTCAAAGGAGAGATTAAACTAGAAGTGCGGTTTTCTTTCATACAAAATGCGAAAAAGATTTATTTAAATTATGTTGGTATATACTTTAATGTTGTAATGTTGACAACAATCTTATTACACTATCATCATATATCTTTTATATCCTTTAAGCGAAAAAACTATGTATTTATTTTTATGTTACCATGACAACCACCAAAGCTGGCACAACATAAGCTTCAATTCATACGTATATTGTTGTATTACTTATATACGTTATAATACTTATTCATAAAATACGCCTTAACAAAAAGAAAATGAAACCACCTAGTAGATAATAGACTTCGTAGGCTGGAACTTAGTAGCCATTATTTCTAAGTTAATTTTTTATCCTCTAATATTAACGTGTAATATATTATAAAGGCTTATGACATTAGGTTAAACCTTTATTTTTATCTAGTTTGACGCAATAAACGTAAATATCCGTTTATTATTCAGCCTTTATTTGAATATTGTATTGTTTCGAGGCGATGTTTAAAGTGGTTTCTCTAAGAATCCAATAGAAAGCAGAAAATGGAACTATTTCGGTCTTTGTTCTTTCACAAATGAAATTGTCGTTTCCTGAAATGTTAGCTGAAATAAATGTAACATATTTATCAAAGGTGTTCGCGTTATGTATTCTTTAATAAAAATTGAACTGAATTGGGAAACGTTTGATATAAGGGTCTAAATTGTCTTATGTTGAAGTATTTATAAGATTTTATTAGAATTATATTTGCCTTCTAAGAAGGGCAGCTGAGATCCTACAATAACATATATTTGTTGTTTTTTTTTATATTTTTCGTGATAAGCAATTAAAGACATATGAAAGTAAGTTCTGAGACATCTATGATCTTGAATAGCGAAACGTGTGTTCGTTTTTCCTAGTTTCTTCAGTGTGCGTCTCTCATCCTTGAGGTCGTAAGTTCCCCGACTGTGAATCAATGGACTTTCTGTCTGCACATTTAACAATCGTACGCTGAAGGAAAGCATCATAAGCAAACTGGCATGCCTTAGAACCAAAAAGTCGACGGCGTGTGTCAGGCACAGATAACTGATGACCTTTTTCCCTATTAGGAAAAATCACGAAACAGATACAGAAATGAGGCCCAGACCTAATAGGTCGTAACGATACATTTTTATAATAAGATAGTTTCAAATATAACTAGCTAGTCAATTTGATTTATGAACTTTTTTAATTTAAAACTATTTTTTTCATGGTATATTCCTTTAAATGGAATTATTTCGTACTCTCAATATATACTAGTATGAAAATGTGTAAATCTTTGTCTCTTAACATTATACATTCAATAACTAGATAGAACCTCCTGAGTACCTTTGTCATGTCAGTGTAAACAGACTTAACGTACAGGCTATCACAGTAGCAATAAGACAGCTTCCATAATGCACTATCTGGGACTGCATTACGTCATAACAGTGTCGAGATACGTTCACTATTCAACTCATATACCACAAACTGTTATTGCAATATCCATGGCATTGCAGAGTAGCTCTGAAATATGAACTGAAAGGTAGATTTTTCATTATGATGAGAATTCGGAAATGTATATGTATTTTTGCAGCAAATTTTCAGATTTATTAAAAAAAACTTGTAATATTGTTCAGATGAAGTACTCATTTCTATATTGTTATATTGTACATCGCTGAAATGAAATTCGTTTTTTTAATTCGAAATATTCTTAATTTCGTATCCATCGAAGCTTCATTTATTTGTTATAAGTATCTGTAAAAAATGTTGCCAATGATGTTTATTTTTTTTAATAAACCAAAAATATAAATTAATTTCTTTATGCAGAGCAGGCGGAAAATAATAAATGGCTCAAATACAAGAGTCTTTCCTCCATCTTCGATTTTGTTCCCTTTGGGCTAATTAAAGATAGTACCTACCGGTGACCCCAGAGCTGGTGCTTTCCTTGCTCAACGAATAAGTATCGCAATACAGCGAGGAAATGTTGTCAGACATAAAGGTATACTGCCACAGGGACCAAACATTTTAAATTTATTTTTTAATTATTTTTATTATTTTGTGAGTTAAGAAAATTGTAAATACTGTATATTATTTAATAAATATTTTACATTTTGGTTCACACGGATGCAGTTTTCAGCTAAAATAATGTACCCAAGAAGGTCTATGGCCTCAGAGTGGTTGAAAAATGTTAAAAACGTATCGTCTGCCTCATGCCGCATATTATTCACGAAACAAGACTAAAAGCATGAAGTTTTAGCACACATTAGTTAATGCCCCTTCATATGAATGTAAACATAATGGAATAAAATTAAATGGGTCGGCAGGAATATAACTCATGTCGAAATAAGTGTTCTATACGGAAACGAGGCCGTAGGGGTTAAATAAATCAAAAAGTTTTCAACATAGTTTACTGTCGCATGCCTTTTGAATTTTTGATACACGAATACTCTTTTCAACTGCTCCCGGTTTAAGTTGAATCACGGCATTGTTATTCTAAGAAGCCAAGTTTGATATTAGTATTTCCATGCGAACTGTATGTGCGACTTAAAATTGTTTTATTTAAATAATATTGGCCATTACACAATTAATTTATTTTGCTTTGGAGGACGTGAAACATCCTAGCAGTTTTAAATTTTGAAAATTTGTTGAAAGATGTTGCTATTTACTTTTTTAATCGGTAATTGTCATTATGATAAAAATTCAATAAATTATCTAGTATTTATGAAATTTCGCTTTACATGTAGTCCATCGGTGACCTTACTTGTCGATATAGTAAATAAGTTTCAAGTATAACTTTAACTATGCCCCACCAGACCACGGACAGCCCGCGAAATGTACAAACATAAATTTCTTAATTAACATAAGAGTTTCAACAAATATTGTACGCTAAAACTGCATTATTAAAACCCATAAAGCGTTAACTTGAAACCAAAATATTCTCATTATACGAGTAAAGAAAAATCCAAAGAAACTTGTTCTCGACCAAACGTTCAAAAGTTCTTTTGACTTGCAGCGGGTCACTCATTTAATTTATATTTACTTTGCCACTGACTCGGCTCCAATTACCGACGTTGTTATAGAGGCTTTTATATAATGCTCTAATTAAAGCCTACTGAAAGCCAAGGCTTTATACTAAAGACTTGTCTTACTGTTTAATCTCGTTTAAATAAGGCTAAATTGAGATTGTAGACAGATGCCTTGTCAAAGCCGTTCAAACTTCTATTTCTTTTAACAAAAGATTCTTAAGTAACTATCTCGCAGATATATGCCAAGCCTCATGGTGCGCAAACTAATACCAGATCATCGAATAGGCTTCAGACAATGTCATGGCACAGTGAAACAAGTTCACAGAGTATGTGACGCCATAAGAAAATCCTTAGAACAAAGGGAATACTACTCAGCAGCGTTTCTGGATATCTAAAAGGCATTTGACAAGGTCTGGCATAAAGTTTTTCTATGTAAAATCAAGCAGTTTATTTCCCACTCCTACTTTCCAATATTCAAATATTACCTAGAGGATCGCATATTCAAAACATTGATGCCGGGGTACCATAAGAATCTGCTCTCGGCCCCATGCTCTACACGTTGTACACTGCTGACCTACCGCTATTGCCAGGAATAACCACAGTAATGTTTGCTAACGACACCGCTATATTAGCAAGCAATAAAGACCCAAGACTGGCATCTTGCAGAAGGGCGTTGACAAAGTTAATGAATGGCTCCGAAAATGGAATGGAAGTGGAAGGGAATGCCTCATAGTCAGTACACGTGACCTTCACCCTTAGAAGGGGTGACGTTGTAAAGTTGGACCAATGTATTCTGCCCCACAGCGACCATGTCAGATAACTTGGCTTACGCATTGATCCTGGATTAACGTGAAGGCTACAGCTAAAGTACAACAGCCTATACTGGATGCTAGGAAGAAACTCGAGACTTTTTCTAGACAACAAAATCCTTATATATAGGTATAAAGTCATCTTAAAGCCCATTTGGACAAATGACCTCCAACTGTGGGACAGCGCAAGTGATACCAACATAAATAGGTGTATATTTATATAGGTAGCGACAACAGAACAAGATCCTAAGAGCAATCGCAAAAGTACCATGGTACATAATCAACGACGAAGTTTACGAACATCTTTAAATGAGAACTATCCTTTGATAGTTCTCAGCTGCCAGTCTCCGGATTGCCTCTTTAGGCAATCCGGAGACTGGCAGCTAAATACAAAGAGCTGTTAATCTGTCACCCTAACGCACTTGCTCGCCAACTCACCATAGAACAGTATGTGAGACGACTTAAACGTCATCATATTCTAGAGCTAGAAGACCGGCAGTAGGTCTAGGCAGCTGATGAGTAAATGATTCCAATGAGAAGCCACTCCACATGACAGCACGACAGAACAGATCGCTCATAGCCATAAGGCTGATTACAAATAATCGCAGATAAAAAA